TTTTTTTTTTCGCTTTTCATTTTGATATTTACTCAAGAAAATCTAACAGTCATTCAAAAATGATTTCTACCTGTAAAAAATTTGAACGTCTTAATTCTTGTACAGTCAATTTCATTGTCCATGATCGATTACAATTATAATAAACTCTTGCAACAACTGTTTTAATATATCTTGAATGAAATTCTTTTGCTTCGCGAAGAAATTTCAAACCAGGATGTGTATCTATTATATCTTGTACAAGATAATCCCAATCATCAAGCGTTAAATATTGACGATTCATTGGATATGACGTTGATGATAATGAATGAATAAGTACATAAATAAATTTTAATGCATTGTCATGATTATTTTTACATACTCTACAAAAAAGATTTCTTTTTAATATTTAAAAATATATATATATAGATTTACTTTGTCCAAAATGATTCATATTGTGAATAATTTATAGTTGTAGTAGATGTTATAGTTACTTTTGGACCTAAACAATCGTGTACACATGCACGAAATAATGGTGCTTTCCAATATAGACTTAAGCCGGTTAACTAAAAAGGAAAACAAAAAATAAGATAAATGGATTAGTAATAAAAAACTATACTTGAGCAAGTTTTCCAAAATCTTCTAGATGTAATTTATCATGTTTTGGTAAAAATAATTCTTCTTTAACTTGTCGTAATTGTTTGACTAATATTGTCTCATTTGTTGATGTTGCTGTTAGTTTTCCATTAGGAAAATAAAATTTCGGAATATTTTCAGCTATTTTTTGTTTTTGTTCTTGTTTGTTAACTGTCGGTGTTGTTTGTGGAACAAATGAAGGTGTTGGCATTGGTCGTGAAATTTGTTCATTAGATGATACAGGTGTTTTTGTTGTATTAGCATTTGGTGAAGGTTTATTATTATCAAATCCTTCATATGATATATTATTTGTTTTTGGAGATTGATCACGAATAGCATTTGATGGTGGTTGTAAAACTGGTGTTTGTTGGGATGGTTTTGATGGTGTAGTTGTAGTTGTAGTTGAAGGTAAAACTCGGTTTGGACTGACATATGTTGATGATGTAGCAGATGTTGGAACTATATCAGGTTTTGTTAATTGTGGAGTTGAAAATTTCTCTGTTGTTACCTTAAATATCAATATGTAAAAAAAAATACATTCTAATTCTTTTATGTATATATTACTAATATGAAAATTGTTCATTGTTTTTCAAAAAAATAAAATCTGAAAGTTAGTACTATTAACGATGATATATATGTCGATGTATTCTTCAATTTAGTGAATTTTTATCGAGAATATCATTTGAAATTTTTCAATGAGACTACTACAAGTTTTTTTTGTCAATCAGATTCGGGTTATAAATGTAAGTTATTGTCATATATAAGATTTCCCTGCACAAAAATAATGTTTATGAATTAGGACAGAAGCTCTTTAACTAAACTATAGATTAAAAGCTATCGAAGAATATATAAGTTTTTCTTATTAACGAAAGTAGAAATTTCTCAATCAACAAATTCAAAATTCAATTGATCTGAAGGACATTGTAACACATGAAACGAAAAAATAACTTACTGGTTGTTGGTCAGTAGTAGGAGTGATATTATCTGTATATATCTTCTTCGACGAACGTTGTTTTGGGGCATCATTATTATTATTATTACTTATACCAGGAGTCGTATCACCTATTGAAAAATTATTAGATGAAGTATAACGTGGACTTGAAGTTGTTCGTGGTACAGGCGAAACGGGTGGTGAATCAAAATGTTGTGATTTGGAAAATCCTCCAATACGATTTGTATAAATCTAGAATACAAAAAATATGAATAATTCAATAAAAAATAAACAGACACTTACTTTTGAATAAACGATAGGTTCTGGCATTTTACTATTTGTTCGAACACTATTTAATGCAGAAGATAGAGTAGTACGTGTATCGGGTAATGAAAGCCATTGTAAGAATAAATCATTAACCATCTTTGTGATGGGTATAGACGTATTCGGTGATGTCATTGTACTGCTCATTTTATTATTATTTAACTATCACAAATATATGGACGGCATTTTATCTAGAAATTAAAATGAATTCTTATTATATATGTACTTTGTTTTTCATTAGAGAAATATAAAAGTCAAAATTAAAATTCATCATCATAAAACGAACTTCGTCGAAATATCCATTTATCGCAATCATTATTCGTTTTTTTTCAACTATAATCAGTCATTTAAATTTTTCTTTATACAAACTTGAAATATTTACTATTCAAAAATCAACACTTCGAATAATATGTAATAGTCTATCTGGTTGAAATTTTTTACTACATAATTTACGTGTACATATTTCGAATGCAGAAGCATAAGCTAAATAAAAATCTTTATTTGAATTCATTAAGAAATAACAAGATTATACCAATAAATATAATATGTATATGATATTGTGTTGATGTTTGCTCTTGTTGAATTTGTATATTAAGGATAGTTGTAGCAACAGTATGACTTTGCTTATAAAATTATAATTCATTTTCAAATTGAAATAATTCAAAAATACTGATTTGTTTCTGATAATATATTTTAATAGGATATTTATTTTTTATCAATTACTTCTTTTTTGTCATGCATTGTGACATTTTTAAGATGTTGCTTGTTTCATTAATGATATACCACGCAGTACATTCGAATAAATCAGGGTCAACTCTCTAGATATATTAGAAATTTATTTTTCAAACTTTTATTTCATTGTATTTCTTACCGAATTTTGATTTTATCATGTGCTGCTTGTAAGACTTCAAGTATTTTTGTAGCTGTTCAAATACAATAAAGAAATAGTGATAAATAATAGTAATCAATATTTATATATTTCTCTTTTAACATAGTACATATTCAGTAAAAGATGAATGAAACAAGATCGTCAAAGATCAAATTTAGTTACCAGGACGATAAGCATCTTCAAGACCTTTGCGTGTAAATGATGGTTCAAAATCAAAATCATAAATTGTAGCATGAAATGGTATTGTTTTACTAGGTTAAAAAGAAAAACAAATTATTAGTTCAAGATAATTTTTTGTTTTTAAAAATCGAATATCTTTAATAATAACAACATTCTCCACTAGCGTCAATATCAAGTCATATGATGCTACCTTTTTCATAGTTCTCTATATTCATCTCAAAACAATCTGTTGTGTACCTATGCTTATCAAAGTCTATAGATATCGAATCACCAAAAAAAAAAGTATCAATTGAAGTAGTTTATTATACCCAGTCTGAATACTTGCGGTAAAGCAGGTGAAAAGCGATAAAAATGCTCGTTTTTATCAAATGTTTGCTGTAACCATTATGATGAATAATACCAATCAAGTTTTTCATCATATTGAAGTATATATAAACAAATAGGACCTTGTGTTTTAGGTAATGCACTGATAGTTGGATAAGCTTTTGTATTAACAAGATCAATATGTAATGAATCATTTAATGTTGATGTCATTTCTTGATGATTCAAATATTTTTCATAATGAGTTTCATAAATTTATATTTTGATTTTTTATTGCTAACATTTGAATTAATCAATAGTACAGCTAGTGATTCATTTAAACAAATAATAATCATTGAAAGTGTTGAGGGAAATGCATGTAATCCTGATAAATAATCATTTGTTATTGAATTTAATCGATATTTATTTCTTTTGTAAATGTAGCCACTTTATTACATAAATGTATCATTGATAATGTAGTTGAATTATAATTAATATCTTGCAGAACAAAAAAGAATATATTTCTTGTTCTTGTTCTTGAAAATATTATTCATTATAAGAAGAAACCTTTGAATAATTGATTCATTAATGTTGTTTTTGTTCTTTAATAAATTATTAATTTTCATCATTATTATCGTTTTAAGTTTTGCTGGCATTTGTATTTAATTAGTAGAGACACTTTGATTTGTTTTTTTTCCTTGAGAAAGTGTAAAAAAATCCTTGCACATATGACTGTACCAAATGATTTTTTACCTATGACTACAAATAAATCATAGTAATTAAATTGAAAAAAAATAAAAAAACGAATAAATTCTTTTATGTTACATTCTTATATTTTAGACATCAAAAATAAAAAAATGTGCATAATTATAAGCATACGAAGGCAGTCATGCGCAGGAAGTAGTATACATGAAGTCCTTCATATTCTGTTATTTAGTTTATAAAAGTTAATATTCAAACGGTCATATTTGTATGATTTATTTTTAATATAGATTGATATCTAGTCGAAATTACTATTTGATTTTTTTCATTATAAAAACTGAAAGAACGAAAAACAACATTGTTTCTAAGGAATATTTTTTGCATCATTTTTTTGTTGACATAATATTATTTTTTTTCTCTTTGGACGTACCTGGAGGCATATATAAACAGTCATTTGGTTGTCGATATGGAAGACATTGAAACGAATGCATCTGAACAGATTTTAAGGTCGTAAAAATCCAGTATTAACATGTTGCTATACAACATCCATGAAATAATTTCAAGGCAGTTTTACAAAGGTACAAATATAGGAAAGAAAGAAAAAAATGTGAATGAAGTGTGACAGACAGATGCGTGAAATTAAAGAATTTTTCTCGTTTCTTATTGGTTTTAAATAACCAACAAAACCGTTTTAATGATTGATGTCGCTCTTAAACGATATTTAATACTCATTTCGATCAATATGTCGCATACCTATATCATTTTGTACATTGAGATTGCATTCTTCGTCTTTCTAAATTGATGGCTGTTTGTGATGTAGTACCAAACGTACAGAAACCTATAAAATAGAGCAAACTCATAACATATACAATATGACTATATTTGAAAGTTTGCATTTATGATTTAAATAAAATATAGTGAGTGAAAATATCAAGTTTAAAATATTTAGCTGCACAAATACATAATAGTTTAAGTGCTCAAGTTAATTAACTTTTTTGGAAACATACTTGTACTTAGTTATGAAGCTAAGGATAAATATTTATTTAATAACATAATTCTTAACATTACACTTAATCAAAAATTTTGCAATAAAAATGAACTATAGTCCTTGTTTTTATGTACAAGTAACTAGAACTTCAGTATATTCACAACAGATCTGGTGAATTATAAAAGAAAATGATAATATGATATAATAAAATATCATTATATATTAATGATTTTTTGCTAATTAAATAGAATATTTTCCTAAATATTTATTTTGAATAATAAATAATCATTTTTAATTGAATTTCAGCTAAAGGCTAAGCTGAAGAATTCATGTATTGTAAATAATGATATATTTTTTTAATATAGAATAAAATATGAAAGCTATAATTGAAACTAGATTGAACATGTGCTCTAATCTCTATAAACGCAATATAAATTTTATTCGAATAAAATAAAATTTCCTCATTCATTAATTCATTATTCCTATATCTCAGTGAAATCAGAAAATTTTCTTTTTAAATATTATGACCAGTAATAATTGAAGGATTATCTTTGATCCGTAGAAATGAAGTGACATATAAAATTTTTATTTCTCGTATTATTACACACATATGATGCAATTACTCTCCAGATAATTGAATCCCTAAAGAATTTCATTGTCTTATATTATCAACTAAATTGTACAGAATAATATGAATTTTATCTGTTTCGAAACAAATATATCGTACATATTTTTTTATATGTACGAAGAATTTTCTAAATAAGATGTCGCTATCAATTAATAGATGTTTTTACCATTTCTATTTATTTGTTCCATTGAATATAATATTCTATGGATTGTTTGCGTTTAACGCCCACATTATATTTTTGTCGTTTTTCTCTTCGATACATTTACTCGACTAAGATCTAAATAAAGGAAAATGTCTCTTGCCACACGATCTGTTACACGTATTTTCACATCATCAATTCGAACGGTATTTTTCTATAAAAATAGTCATAGAAAATTATATTCTTTATATATGTATAGAACAATCTCGCTTGTGTACAATCAAAATGTTTTTCATCAACACAAGCAACCGTACGTTTACATTGTTTTTATTCTATAATATATATATATATATTTTGTTTTTCTTTTTGACAAACATAGGATTTAAAAGAAGTTCTCAAAGATCTCATACCAAAAGAACAAAAACGCGTAGCTGAATTTAAAGCTAAAAATAAAGATGTACCACTTGGCCAAGTAACTGTTGATATGGTAATGAAAATAAATATTTTTCACTTTTTATTTCGAATAAAATCTTTTCTTAAGATCTATGGTGGTATGCGTGGTATTAAAGGTCTTGTCTATGAAACATCAGTATTAGATTCAAACGAAGGTATCCGCTTTCGTGGCAAAACAATAACTGAATGTCAAGCAGAATTACCAAAAGCTAAAGGAGGTGACGAACCATTACCTGAAGGTCTCTTTTGGCTTTTAGTTACATCACAAGTACCAACTCAACAACAAGTAAGAAATTATATTTATATATGAACAAAATGAATATTTTTTTAACTTCCTAGGTTGATTGGGTAACAAAAGAATGGAATAATCGTGCTGATATTCCTCAACATGTTGTAACTATGTTGAACAATTTTCCAGCACAACTCCATCCAATGTCACAACTTAGTGCTGCTATTACAGTTCTTAATCTTGGTTCGAAATTTGCTAAAGCTTATTCCGAAGGTGTACCGAAGTCAAAATATTGGGAGGTTAGTTTGAATTGAAAAATTTGATAAACACTAATTTTTAACAGTAAAATATAACCACATTTTTTAATAATGAAAAAACGCTTGAAGGCAATTCATGTCATTCAAAACAGCACTTTAGTAGAAAAAATAAATGAATTATTTTTACGACTAATGTATTTCGATAGACTTGATATTTTCGTTTCAAATACAGATTTTAAAGTTCATATCTGCTCATAAAATGTGAAGCATACGAAATAGAATGATGATTCATTTTATTGAATGTATATGTTAGCGTTAAACGTGAAGTTATCTAATGTCTTCTAAGATTTTTTTCAAATGATTACGCTTTAGAAAATCGCAGTTAATATAAATCTGTATTTTATTTCTAGTATGCTTATGAAGATTCAATGGATTTAATTGCTAAATTACCAACAATTGCTGCTATTATCTATCGAAATTTATATCGTGATGGTACAGCTGTTGGCGCAATTGATTCTAAAAAGGATTGGTCATGGAATTTTGCAACTATGTTAGGTTATGATAATAAACAATTTGTTGAATTACTTCGTCTTTATTTAACAATTCACAGGTAAATCTAGTTCGTTTGTTTTGTATCGTTAATAAAATTTCTTTATTTTTATTTTCATTTAAATTAGTGATCATGAAGGTGGTAATGTTAGTGCTCATACAAGTCATCTTGTTGGTAGTGCACTTTCAGATCCATATTTATCAACTGCTGCAGCTATGAATGGTCTTGCTGGACCACTTCATGGTCTTGCCAATCAAGAAGTATTGATCTGGATAACAAAATTAGTTGAAAAATTAGGTGAAACACCAAATGAAGCACAAATTACACAATATATTCATGATACACTTAAAACAAGTGTTGTACCCGGTTATGGACATGCTGTCTTACGTAAAACTGATCCACGTTATACATGTCAACGAGAATTTGCACTTAAACATTTACCAAACGATAATATGTTTAAAATAGTTTCACAACTTTATAAAGTTGTACCAAAAGTACTTGGTGAACTTGGTAAAGTTAAAAATCCATGGCCCAATGTTGATGCTCATTCAGGTGTTCTCCTTCAAGTAAATTTCATTAGTTTTTCAATTGAATGATTGTTCATTTTTGTATTATTTTTTTTAGCATTATGGTATGAAAGAAATGAACTATTACACTGTTTTATTCGGTGTCTCACGAGCACTTGGTGTTCTCTCACAAATGATCTGGTCTCGAGCATTAGGATTTCCATTAGAACGACCAAAATCATTATCAACTGATGGTCTCATGGCTATAGTAGCTGGACAGAAGAAAGCCGGCACAGAAGCAGGACAAAAAACCAAAGCTGCTTAAATAATTATACTCAAGTTCAATAATCACTCCCAACCAACCACGTGTGGTATTACTTACATGACCAAATTATTTTTATTTTTTTCGATTATCTCTATTTCTTTCGTGTCTGTTTCTCTCTCCTGCTTCTCACAAACATCAGTTATATTGAAGAATACCTTCTTCGTTGTCGTACTATTATTACTTTAGTTAAAATAAAAGAAATAGGAAGAAAAAAGAGTAAAATATCATATTTATCTTGTCTATATGTTCATGTAAAACTTAATAGTTCATATCAAGAATGTCCTCGGACGAAATGTCCTTTTGTTTTTCGTCCTTACATATATACTTATGTGGAAGAACGAAAAACAAAAGGACATTTTGTCCGAGGACATTTTCTAAAGTACATTCTTAACGGATACCTAGAAAATGAAGATTTCTCAAACTAGGTTTTATTTTAATTTATTTGAAACAAGTAATTTCTAGCCTTAGGGTTACTGAAAGCGATTAATACAAAAAAACCTTTGTTTTTGTTTTTGATTGAATAATTCTGTATAGTCAAAATCAATATTTACTCATGGATAAAGACTGTTAATCTGCGGTGACGTTAGTCGCACGTGCGTTTTCTTCGCTAGGTTTATCATATGTTTGCTAAATAATCGGACATTCATGAGCAAATATTAGAATATATGACGTAATCTATTAATTGCAATAGCCAAACAGAGTTTGAATTACTTTACCGGATACTTTCAGAAATAGAAGACATTTAAAGAATATGAATATTTATTGAAAAAATTAGAGATTTATTTTATATAAAATACAAGATTTTTGAAGATTCCAAAAAAAGAGAATGTAATTTTAATTATTAAAATAGTCATCACAGAAAAAATAAAAAATAATTATTCATCATCATCAGACTTTTGGACAAATTTCAACAACACCAATCATAGATGGATTATTACTTGTTACAAGCTGTACATTTGGTTCAACAAGAATAATATTTGAATTTAATGGATCAATTTTCCATTTTAATACTGCATTCACAGTTACATTATAACCTTGTTGTGGAAAATGTAATGGTGGAATATAAATTTCAGTAGGTTCTTTTATTGCTGGATCAATATAATATGATAAATAAAATAAACGTTGACTAGCTATGTATTGCATAGCAAGAGGTTTGCCAGAAATTGCGCGAGCATAAATGCGTGATATACGTTTTATTGCTGATGTATGACCAAAAATATCACCCCAATAAGCCCATGATTGTAAGAATTGATCAGCAGCATCTAAACCCCAATCAAGTTGTTCATCACATGTTGGTGAACCATCACAACCACCAAATTCAGTTAAAAATGCTGAACCACCTAATTGAGCAAGATCAGTTTGTACAGAACGAAAAAGTGCTGGACCTTCAACATCATCGCATAGCAGTCGATCAAAAACTGGTATTGTACTATTATCTGATACAGGTTTAACAGATAAAATTATACAATAATAATGATAAGAAAGAACACTTCGATTACGATAATCATTACCACCAGGTACATGTGTAAATCCAGTACCAAAATACTTACCATTCAATCGAACTAAAAGAATAAAAAATACAATGTTTTTATTATATATTTATATTATAAGACTTCAACATACCACCCCAGGTAACTGGTTCATAAAAAATAAGTGTATCATTATCAACTGAGCGAATAGCTTTCGCAACTTTTTCATATAATGGTTGTAAATTTTTCTCACCAGCAATACCTGGTAGAAATAATGTTGGATTAGCAAAATAATTTCCAGCCCATGGTTCATTAATTATTTCGTAGCTTTAAATCAGAAATAAAATAATGGAAAAATATTGAAAATTTTCTTACCCAAGTATATTAGAATAATTTTTATATGTAGTTGCGACTACTCGCCAGAAATCACTCATTGATTCAATAGCACCACCTATATTGTCATATAAACATTGGAATGCATGTGAACAAGCTTCTGTTAGATAACTAAATATTATGCGAATTAATATATTTATTTTAATCATAAACATACTTACAGATCAAACCAGTTGGCGCCTGCTCCTGATTTAAATGGCCAAGGAACTATGAAACAAAGAATTTAGCTTTCAAAAGAACAGAAGTTTTTTATTAAATATTATTGCCGTACATGGATGATTCGGTGCAGGAAATCGATCGTATAACCATCCTGGTATACCATCATAACTTCCAGTTCGACTGGATAATAAATCTTGATGCATATCAAGTAAAACAAATATTTCATTTGATTCAAGCAATTCAACAATTTGTTTCATTATATTCAAATAAGTTACATTATATTTTTGTGGTTGAGGTTCAACACCAGCCCACATCATACTAAAATATAGAATTAAAACTTGAATAATAATCAATTGAATAAATACCCAAGTCGTACAAAATTGATGCCCCATTGTGATAGATTTGCAACTTTAATTGGATCGAGTAATTCAGGTGGATACCATGGAAATCCTTTCATGACAAAATTAACACCATGATAAATTCTTACACGTCCAGAATCATCAACAATTAATGAATCAGATACATGTACATTAGCTGAACCATGACAATAAATAATAAATAGAAAAAAATAAGTTATGACGAATACAATTGATTGTAATTTCATCTGAAATAATATAATATTCTTCAATTTATTATCTATATAAAAAATAAATATACAAAATGTGATCCATACGTTTTTCGTTATCAATTTTTATTATTTACCAATAGAAAAGGGATTTGATAAAATGACCTTATTTTTATATTCTATTAAATAAATATTGTTTCGTATTATGTTTGATAATTTCAGTCGAAATCGACATCGTATTCATGATCAAACATTCTTTTCAGAATGGAAAAGTATTATTTAAAAGACTATGACACGTATGTCTCAGTTCATTCTATCACCAAAACATCGTACTTCTTAATTCGTTCAGATTTCTTATATCAAAGAGTTGACTATAAACATACTCTTAAGATCTCAAAGTATATAAGTGGTTGTTCAGAATAATAACTATATAGAACAAGTAAAACTCACGTAATTGGAATTTTGATATATAACTGAAAAGAAATATTAAAACCTAAAAAAAGATAATTACAGTGAGTAATTTTCCATTTCAATAGATAATTATAAAAATTCTTGTAAGAGATAAACACATGAACAGAAATGAGAGGTAATAGACCAATGAAGGTTTTTAGTCGATAGAGAGTGCCATAGGTTGATAAAATTCATGACTAGAAGAATATGCTCAATTGAAGATGATTTCATCATATGAGTCAAAAGATTATTGTAATCGATTCCATACATGACATTGTTTTTATAAAAACGATGGTATTCTACTAAAAGATCACTGAAATGATTAGTGCAAAATTTCAAAATATAGTTATCATATTGATCTGCATAATCTCCTACCACGAAGAATTTTATTTTGTCAAATTGAATGGGATCTTTCTGAAATTGAAGAAAAATATATGGCCTGACTGAAGATGTATGAGAAAAGATTTTATGACTCTGGTTTTATCCTCGATCATATGATCTAGAATGCACTGTTTTGTATTTAATTTAATAATATTCTTAATACGAATTTTCGAGATTAAATTTAACTCAAGATGAAAAGTATCTTTTCTCGAATTATTATGAGTCTCATGTAAATTTTGTAGAATGATTTTCGATGGATATTGATGTCTACTAGACGAAATATTATTTCCGAATAATCGGAATGTAAATAACTGGTGCCATCTGATCAAAACTAATAAACATAACTTGGTTAGTTAAGAAACATCGATTTGAATGAAATAGAACGAAACAAATCGTTCTTCGCAAAGAAATTTTATCTCTTCTGAATGACATATCTATTTTGAACAGGTAACAACAAAATGGGTTTTCTTTAACTAATAATTCGTTTCTCTCGCATAAATCTTGATAGTGATTCCAAATTTCAACTAGGACTCATATATTTCTCATGAAAATTAGACAGATGGATGTAGTCAGTAATCAGATTAGAATTCATGTTTTAACTATAAAAATTCTTTTTAGTTTAATGACTAAGCGTAGACAAAGATCAAATATATATATAACCCAATATTTATTACAGTACGATGCTGATACTATTATCCGTAATCGTCTTGTTTTCAATAAGATATTAATCGTGTTACTATTAATAATAGATAATAAAAATAGTCGAAGTAGATCAACCTGAAAAAGATTTTCTTACTAATTCGGCAATATGTATTTTATTTATTTATAGAATATAAACTTCGAAGATTGATTCTATTTAAAAGAAAATTGAAATAACGGTGTCCGCATCACATATAAAATGTAATCACACTTGCTCTAGTTTGTATAGATCCCGTTGTAGATTTTTCAAACAATATAAAATACCCAATGAATCTACTTGAATGTGTTCAATAATTTTCGAGTTTTAAAAACCGTATATATACAGACTTCCTCTCGTATAGATTGTATGCACTGAAAGTCTGTTCGCGAGTATTCATACTGTTGAATTTTTTCAAATATCAATTACTTTCAGATAAAAATGTCATCGAAATCATTAAAACGAAATCTACAAATACCTTCTACATCAAGTAAACAACCTAAGATTGAACTCATATCTGAACGACATTCCGATCTATCAGAAGATGATATAATTCGTTCACGTCTTGCTTATGAAGGTGATCAAGGTAGTGATGATCGACGTATATTAACATTAATGAAAATGTTCAATAAATCAACAAATGATATATCATCATTAGAAATAGAAAAATTACAATCATTACTTTATTCTATTGAACATTCATATCGTCTCTTAAAAGCAACGAGAGATATGGATGTTCATGAACAATTATGTTACACAATAAAAATTAAAAAAATGTATGAAAAAAATAAGCAATTACGTTATAAACGTGCTCTAAGTAAAAAACGTTTAATTGAAGCTGAAAGAAAACGTTCGAATTTACTTGAATATAATCGTCGTATAGATTCAATTAATAAATTAGGTACAAGAAAAGAATTAAGAGCACAACAAGTAGCAACATTAGAAAGAAAACGTTATTTTGAACATCTTCAACAAACATTTGAAACAAAGTAAATTTTGAATATATTCAAAACAGAATAAAAGTTCATTATTTTCTTATAGTTATCGACAAAGATTAAAACAAATAGCTATTTATATGCGACCTATATTAGAATTTGATGAAATTCTAAGACAAGATGCTCATGAAGATGGAATGAATGAATTTTCTAATGAGCTACAAGCATTATCGTCCATGTTATCAATAATAAAAACTGAAAGACCACGAACATATTCTGATTCATCTATGGCTTCAATCGATGGAGACGATAATATGCTTACAATTCATTCGAAAAAAGAACCTAATAAAAATCGTTTAGAAATGATTTCTTTATCATTAGCGAATAATCAACCGCAACCGTTATTTTCAAATGATATTGAACTATATGGTACACAACTTGTTAATCCGTTACTCGTTTTGTCGTCTTCTTCTTCTTTGAACGTAGAATGATTTTAACTGCTATTATATATTTTGTTTTGTTCAAAAAAGATGAAAAAAAAATCTAGTCAATGATGGTAGTTCCACATTGATTTCTTTCTTTAATAAAATATATAGAATATGATAGTTTATGAACTTCGGTAACATAGAAGTTCTCATGTTTAAAAAAAGAATTAAATTTATATCAATAGAAAGCCCGATAGCCACATAAACAAGTAATCCGATGCTCAGCATAAAGTCAAAAGAGCTCCAATTACTTCTAAAAGGAACTAATATAAAATTAATATTTACAAGGAAATAGAACGCAGACGTGCTCGATGGACACTAAATGAAAGCCTTTTTATTAACCATTTTGTAGTCAAATACATTGCTGTTAATGACATAAGAAAGCTAATTACACATATGAATTGGAAAGTACACCACGTAAATCAATATAAATGACATTTGTTTTTTTCTCTAAATTTCAAAAATCATAAAAATCAACACAAACAATTAATACAGTTATGTGATGATTTCGCACATCATAATCAAATCCATTATCGACTATATGACAATGTGCAGTTGTTGAACACATTCGAAATGATATTCCGTTTGATAAAATTAGATTACTTTTTCCTAAATCGTTATCAATAGCAGTAAGAACATTTGATACTTTTTTAGAGGTTTACATTTTCTTATTTTAACTAGATTCTAAAAACCAATAAAATCTCTATAAAACTGAGTTTGTTCTTATTTTATCATTTATTTCTACTCGTCTGCCGAGTTACTATTCAAAATAAATAACAAAAACGAATAGAAAAAAAAGGAAAAGAAAGAATAGTTTATGATCGACAGTTTGAAGACGTAAAAAGGTAGTGATATTATAATTTATGATGACAAAAGATCAAGGTTATTCACATAGTAAAAGAAGTCTTTATATATCTTTCATATTACTTGATTTATTGTAATATATCAAACACATTGTGAAGGTTTAATTTCTCACCGTCTGATATAGTTAAACGACATTTGAAAAAAGACAAATGATTAGTAAATTTTTGCATTGATATTTGATTAACTGACATTCCATTTGATAAACTAAAATCAATCTATCAGAAAGAAATGAAAAAGAAAGTAAGAGTTCATTAAAGTAAATTCTCCGAGAAAATAACAGAGACTTTGACTATGAAATGTTTGAAGTCTTAGAACACATTGTTATACCCTTTTGAATAAATTATAGACTCATTTCTAATGATTAATTCAAACACTTCAGAATGTTACCATTGATCCTTATATTATATTTAATGTGCATGCGCAAGAATACTTTAATGTCTTATATAGGATATATATTTAATAGAAGCATTTTGTTTGTCATCATCATCGTCATCGTCTGTACGAAATAATCTATATAAATCCTTTCAATCTAATGATAAACAACAGAAGAGTGAATTCGTTCTGATTTTGACTTTAGAGAAATTATTAAAGTATTATCTATATTCATAGACTTGTTCTCTATGATCGAAGATATACTATACATCGCATGATTGTACTAACTAGTTTTTAATCATATCCTGTTGTTATGTGATAAACGTATTATTTGTTTCTATCTGAATCGAAAAAGTTCATCTGTTCTACTCATTAAAACATGAGAGCATGAGTAATATTGAATAGAATTCATTTGAATAGATCTGAATGGTTATTTCCTTTTTAGTATTTGTCGAGAGGAAATTAATACATCTCATCATTATGACAATGGCGAAATTAATATTTAGTATTACGGAACGACAAGAGACGTCTAAGAAAATAATGAGACAATAGTGATATGAATTCATATCATTCAAATAGCTCAGACTTCTATTATAAGCCGAAGTTGGTAACGGATAAATATCTGAGGCAAATGATCGACATATATATATGAGTAACAAAAACTATTTATTTTCACAATTAGAAATTAATCTATCATATAATAACAAATTTATAATTATCACTAGTCCTTTCTAAGTCATATCGCATCATATTCTTCTTTTAAATCCCTCTATCTATTTTCTAGTCAAATTTTTGTCTATTCATCTGCATACAATTATTAAGTGTCATATTAACTATAAAAAAGCAACAACATCGGTAGGCTTTATTCTGTTTGATATTGCTTTAAAAAAAAAAGAATACAGTAAGTTCGATTGAAAATTATATCTAAATTCACAAAAAAACTAACAATTTTGAAAAAAATAACATACACATTTTTTTTGAAAACAAAAACATGAAATTGCAAAATAAAAAGATGTATAAAATAATACTGCAACTTCGGTAAATTTCGATGTATTTTATCAGGTAATTGGTTGTCGACAATTTTCACATGAATTCATTATCTGTTCATCATATATTTCAATTTGAATTGTTGATCGATTTATTGAATGATTATGACGAAGCATTTCTTGTACTTCATTCAAAATCCGCAAAGAATCTTGATCATTGTCTAAAATTTTTTTATATTAGAACTTATTATTATCATTGAAAAAATATCACTTACCTATTGCTATATGAACAGATAATGCTATTTTCTGTGTAGATAATGACCATATATGTAAACTATGAGCATTTCGAACACCGGATACATGCATAAGATCTTCGACAACTTGTGTATAATCCACATTTGATGGAACACCTGTTAGATTATGAAATAATTAAAGATGAAATTAACAAATAAATCAAAAAGATTTATTTACCTTCCATAAGAACAAGAACAATATCACGCATGATAGTGATTGTCGTAATAAGAACTAACACTGAGAAAGCAAAAGTACAAATTGGATCAGCTAATTTATATTCAGGCTAAAAAAAATAATTTTATTTATAATTGAATGAAATACTGTTGATTAATATTTGTAATACTTTGATTTTGATTAATATTGCAGCACAAAGAACACCAACACTCTGTACAAAGTCTCCGATAACGTGAATAATAGCTGCACGTACATTAATATTATTAGATGATTTTGATTGTTTAGGTACTGTTTGTTGATTGTCTCTAGATGTAATCTCAACGGATAATAATTCGTTGTCATGTGAATGCTCATGACTAGCAAGATGTGAATGACCATGATGATCGTCATGTAAATGACCGTGATTATCTGCATGTGTATGATTGTGATCGCCGCCATGTGAATGACCATGATTACCCCCATGAGAGTGACCATGGTGAGGTAGCGATTGACCACATACATTAGCATGTAATACAAAAAACATTCTGCAATACAGAAGAAATGGTTTTTTAGTTTTTAAATGATAAGATTAGATGTTTCATACCTACACGATATTGAAAACAACGCCACATGCAGCTACAATAATCATTTCATTTGGCTTTACTTCAAAGGTTTGATCAATACAACGTTGAATAGCCATATAAACAAGAATCCCAGTCACGACCCAAATAAGGAGTACACTAACAAGAGCTCCAAGAACCTCTAAAGAAAAATATTAATGTCTCCGTTTTAAAGGATATGATATATTGTTCATACCCGCTCGAATATATCCAAATGAAAGTTTTTTTGTTGGTCTTTGTGTAGCTAAATATAATGATGCTAATGATATAACAAAACTAGTAACATCAACACACATATGCGCTGCATCAGTTGCAACAGCTGTTGACTTTGAAAGTACACCACCTAAATCAATATAAATGATGTTTTGTTTTTCTTCATAAACTTGAAAACATACCAATAATTTCAATAACCATAAAAATAATACAGACAAATAATACAGCTAAAAGACGATTTCGTGCACCATAATCAAATTTATCATCAGGCACATGGCAATGTGAAGTTGATGAACGTGATCGAAGTGGTATATTATGTGAGGAAGGTAAATCATCTGTTTCTAAATCATCATCAATGATGTTTAGTAGAGGCGCATGTTCTTCAGTAGCATCAACCATCAATAAGAGACTATCATCAGATGTGTTCTCTTCTTTAAAATTATTTTTACTATTCTGATTTTCACGACGATTTGTTATTAGTGATGTCATCAGAAATAGAGAAAAAAAAGAAACAAAATACGGCGTAAGTCAACAGACAACAAGAAACGTGTAGGTAGGATAAGAGAGAATAATTGAAAATTGTCCTTTTACGTGCTGTATTTACATATATATGCATATATATATATTATTCGGTCAGCGAACTTTGAAGACAAAAAAAATGATAGTGCATTTTATCAATTCACCTTTGAGTATTTTACATCATTCCGAATGTATTAAAATAAAAGATTAAGTGAGCTAACTAATATGAAGGTTCAAGATCAGCTCTTATCTCTTTCATGCATAGAGGTCGCTGAGTGTTTTTTTGAAAAATTATCTATTTTATATTATTTAAAATGTACAAAAATATAATTATCATTGAAAAATATAAACATTTTCAAATAACCTTTACAATCTTTATAGGTCTCGCTTGTTCATATCTGATTGGACTATATTAACCATTCAACGTCTTCAACGTTTGTCGGCGCTTTACATCAATATCTAGCTTTCAGCTGTCGAATATTATGGTGTGAATTTTTATATATTTCGCATATTCAACTATAGATAAAAATATTCTTAAATATATTTTTATCCTCCAGTAAAAGCGTCATGCCTCGGTGTAGTAATTTATTATTATATTTATTTGTATTAGTGACCCTGTCAGATTTATTTTTGTCTGGTAAGTTAAAGAAGAAATATATATATTCATTGAATTATTTTATTTATCTTCTCATAGGTGCTAGAGGGGATACGGCGGAAGTAAAAACAGCTGATATTGTAAACGATCATTTAGAGAAAGGAAAAAAGTTATTAGCTACCGGACAATTATCTGATGCTTTAACACATTTTCATTCAGCTGTTGGTATGTAAAATTTTGAAAATATATTCATTAAAATGTTGTTTTTCTTATCTTTATCAAGAGGCTGATCCACAAAATTATCTTAGTTATTTTCGTCGAGCAACAGTTTATTTAGCTATGGGAAAATCGAAAGCAGCATTGCCAGATTTAAGTAAAGTTATTGAACTTAAACCTGATTTTGTTGCTGTGAGTTATTCAAATACATAATAGATTCAAAAATATTTGTTTTTGCTTGATATAGGCTCGTATGCAACGAGGAAATGTTCTGTTGAAACAAGGTGATTTTGATGAAGCAAGAGAAGATTTTCAGACTGTCGTATGTAGACTCATATAGAATGATTTTAATCTATATATTATATTTGAATTTTAGTTAAGATCGGATACTTCAAACGGTGAAGCACATACTCAACTTGATACAACAATACAAATGGGCCAAGTATTTCAAGAAGCAGAAAGTTCTTATACACATCAAGATTATGCGAGAGCAATTGAATTACTTTCCACAATAATTGAGGTTAGTGTATGATTATTGTTGCAGTAAAACTAAAATAATGAAATTGATTGAGTAAAGATGTAGACTATAGACATTGTCCTTTTCCGGCTATTCATACTATGAAAAAGATATATTTTTTTGTTCTCTTGCAATCGCTAAAGCTGGGCTTGAAGAGAAAGAATAACAATTAATAATGACAAAACTCGTTACTATTGTGTTTATATAGTCCCACAGTTGATTATACAAACAAGACAAGTTTATAATGATAGAAACGGACTTTGAGATAATTATACAAATTGATTATGTCTTGTATTAACTGTTATATATTTATTGAGCTATAGTAGACCTGTAATTAATACTTAATGTATAATACTTGTTTAGATTGCATATAAGTTTCTATTTACCAAAGTACAACTAACTAAACTACATATACATAGTTTTATATGACCAATAAAATGAAGATATTGGCTATAAATTTTATTTTTGTAACTCCATTGACGACGCAAACTTTTGATGAATTAGTTTATTGTTCGAAATTAGTTGCTAATTCTTTCTTTCGTTAGATACTAATATAATATATCTATGGATCTTAACTGTAAACATTAAAAAGAATAGAATCAAATAAAATTCTCTACTTCCTACTTTTTTATTTTTATTGTAACTGATATAATGTAAGTGTTGATTGATAGACGTTCTTCTAAAAGATTATATATATAGTGGATAGACTACTGTATCATAAAGGTCATCGTAACCCAATTGTAACTCAGAATTTATTGACATGGTTTTCGATAGTTGCTTTATTTAATTAAGTGAAGAAGATAAAAAATGTTAACCGAATTCAATTCTTTGTTTTCTAGCATTCACCATGGGCAATAAAATTACGTGAATTACGTGCTGATAGTTATTTAAAATCCGGTGATACATTAAAAGCAATAAATGATCTTAAAGCTACAGCTAAATTAATACCGGATAATACTCAAGCTTTTCTTCAAATAAGTGATTTACTCTATTCAATTGGTGACGCTGATGATAGTTTAACGTAAGTATACATATATTTCTTTCTCTTTCGTATACTATTTTTATTTATTTTTTTTAAAGAAACATTCGTGAATGTCTTAAATTAGATCCTGATCATAAAGCATGTCATACACATTATATTAAAGTAAAAAAATTAGCTAAACAATTAGAAACTATACGTGATGCAACAAGTCAATCACGTTGGAATGATTGTCTTGAAAAAGCTAATCAAGTTCTTAAACTTTCTTCTGATCCAGCATCACATACATTTGTTTATCGTGCACATTCATCATTATGTACATGTATGTCACGTGGAAAATCTCCAGCAAAAGATACAATACAAATATGTACAGAAGTTTTAGATACATATCATGTATCTGATTCTGAAATTCTTGTTAGTCGTGCTGAAGCACATATATTAAATGAAGATTATGAAGCTGCATTAGCTGATTATCAACGAGCACATGAACATGAAGATACACAACGTGTACATGATGGAATAAAACGTGTACAAAAATTAATAAAACAATCGAAAAAACGAGATTATTATAAAATCTTAGGTGTACGACGATCAGCTAATAAAGCTGAAGTTTTACGAGCTTTCAGAAAATTAGCTATTAGATGGCATCCAGATAAATATGAAGGTGATGATAAGAAAAAAGCAGAAAAAATGTTTATTGATATTGCTGCTGCTAAAGAAGTTTTAACTGATCCAGGTTTGTATTTAAATAGAAATAAATCTATTTATTTTATTTTATTTCATTTTATTTTTAGAAAAACGTGCTAAATTCGATGCTGGTGATGATCCTCTTGATGCAGAAGAACAAGCTCAACAACATAATCCATTTCAAGGTGGTTTTAATCCATTTGGTGGTGGAAATAATCAAGGTTATACTTTTCGGTTCCATTTTAATTGATAGCATCAATATGATTATGTACAGTTGTCGCGGTTTTGATTGTTTTTAGTCTTGTCTTCTATTTTTCTTTTGGCATAAAAAAAAAAGACCTAGATCGTTCATTGTTATTGTTATTATTTTTAAATATTATCTTCTTTTTTTCTCGATCCATCCAAAAAGATTTAAAAATGCAAAATTTTCGGCTTTTATTCACGATCACAAACAACAAATAACTAGATACGTTAAATGCACTGTCATACTGATGGCTATACATATATAGAATGATGTGATGAAAAAAAAAATAAAATAGAATGATTATTAGGAATTGGAATAAATAAGTTGTTATTATTTAATCAGTCATACTGGCTCCGTTCGACTAAAAAGAAAATATTTCAAATAAAATATTTTAAATTATGAATATTTTCGAAATTTTTACTTGAAGTATAGAGACAATAAGACCAAAAAGACCAATTGCACTAGCAAAAATTTCAATGATAAGTATACGAACAAATAATGATGAATTTTGAGCATCAGCTAAAGCGGCACCGGATCCAACTAAACCAACACAAACACCACAAAATAAATTACATAAACCAACTGTTAAACCAGCTCCAAATAATTTATAACCAGCACGATATCGAAGAGCTAATTCTTCAGGTCTAGTTGTTTGATAACTCTAAAAAATGATTAACAGTATAAATTGTACAATATCATTATTTTGTTTTAATCTTACACTAATTGAACCAGAAATAACAATACCCATAATAAGACCATAGATAGCAACGGCTTCGCACATAATAATTGAAATAAGATTTTTTGTTCGAATACGTGGTGCTTTAACTCCACCACCTATTATACTTACACCAGTTGCAAAAATACCTCTATCAAAAGAAAAAGATTATGTCTATATAGTGAAAAATCATTTTTTTTCTTCTTTACAAAGCGGCTCCAAGAACGGATAATGAAACAGCTAGAGCAATACCAACTAATGCCCATTGATAAGGTGAAATAGATAGAAGAAACCAGCCAATATCAAAACGAAAACCATAACCCGTTAACATATAAGTTAAACCTAGAAGAATCAAGTTAATTGAATGTCATCAATAGAAATAAATTTCCTATATACCAGCATAGATTGCTAAGCCAACACCAGCGCTAAGAGCGCCTTTACTTAAATAAGATGTACTCATGCTATTTATCTAAATAAAACTATAAGAAAATTATATTATATATATATAACTACGTCTCGAACGAACGAACAACTGATGTTATCAGTTAACAAATATATAGTTTCACAGTTTTGTTTTTATTTTATGACGAACGAAGGAACTCAGCAGTTGTGATTTATATATATGATATTCAACAACACATAACATCCAATAACAAGTAACATGTCGAAAGAGGTCCTTCTTATATCATTGAAGAGAATATTTTTCTCCATAAAAAAAAAGAATTCAAATAGTGACATCAAGGACTAAATATATCATCAGTCATTTTACGCCAAGTTAAATTGACAGAAAAATCCGATTTTGTATGACTTGGTATAAATCTTTATTTGAACGTATACAAAATATAAGCAAATAAGTTTTCGTTTTTTTTCTCTCTCTCTAAATTGTTTCAAAAAAATATATATTTATGTTATTAGTGAATAAAAAAAAGCGTAAAGTCTTATTCGTGGTAAAAAAAAACACCGGTGAATAAAATGAAATGTATATAATATAAAATATAAATATATGTTTAAATATTATTCAATGATTGTAAGGATTGTGATCGAGCATGAACACGTAAAAGACGTTCATATTCACGTTGATGTGTTTCTAATAAAATTCTATTGTCACGTATTTGATCTCGATGTTTTATTAAACGTAAATAACTATCTTCACGTCGTGAATGTAACTGAAAAATCAAAATAAACATAGAATGAAAGTAATTGATTAATTATTTTACTTTATCTAATTCTGCTTTTTCTTTAATAATTTGTTCTTCTAATTCTTTTTCTTCATGTTCAGCACGTGATATTTCCTTACGTACATTAATGGCATCTAGTTTTTTCTTACGATTTAATTCTTCTCGTATTTGTTTTACTTCAAGTTCTTTTTTACGTCGTTCATATTCTACTTGTTTAAGTGATTCTTGTAAATCATGTTCAGCCTCTTCATTTTTACTTGCCGTTTTCTATAGAATAGAAGAAAAAAAACCTAAGAATACTTAATTAATAAAAGAATTATTTACTTGAAAATGTCGTAAATGATCTTCATGTTGTCGTGTTTCTTGTTCAGCATATTGTACTTTAGCTTTAGCTGCTCCTTCAGTTTCAAATGCTACTTCTCGTTCAATTTTCTCACGTAAATATTGACTCGCTAATTGTGTTCGACGATTATCAACATCCTAAATTAGAAAAATTATTACTTTATGTTTTTGTTTTAAATAAGAGAAACAAACAGCAATTTTAGTCATTAATTCAGCAGCACGTCGATCTTGTTGAGCAATAGCTGCATCTTCATTAAGTGCTCGTTGTTTAGCATATATTTTTTCCAATCGATTTTTTGTATCAATTATTCGACGTGCAGCTAGAATTTTTTATGATTTGAATTAAACAAATAAAAACAAAGTATTTTCTACCTTCACGTTGTTTAACATCAATAATTGCACGTTGAGCTGTTGCATCAGCAAATAAATGTTGTCGTTCAAGACCATAATTTTTTACATAAACCCTTGTCTTACTAAACGAAATAATTTCTGATTATGACGACAAAAAATATTATACGACAGATTCATAGCAACAACAATAGCAACATGCGGTTACATCGATATACGAATATACAATGGAATAAAAATTACCTTATTTCTATCAAGACGAGAATCATTTCTAATTGAACTTATAATCATCATTGATAAGTAATAAAAACCTAGTTTTAATATATACGTGTCTAAAGTCATCGATTTCTATCGTAATTATAATTTCTAGGACTGGTGATATGTCACTTCTCTGCAGCGCCCGCGCAAAGGGTCTAAGATTGGGGGGGGGGTGTAGCAGGTTTTGAAAGAGTGTAAAATTTTTTGGAGGAGTGTAAAAGGATATTTAGAGCAAAATTTGCTAAAAAAACAAAAAGTTCCAATTATTGCGGGTGGGGGGTGTACACCCCTCCCCTCGCTAGCGTGGGTGCTGCTTTTCTGTATACTGATACTGCTATATTTAATGAAAATATCTGTTTTGTACAAAGTATTTGCAACTTTGGTGTTAAGACTAATATTAAAATGAGAACTAAAAAGGATTCACTTTTGATACGCATCTATCTAAAAACGGTCGTTCTCTTTTAAAACATACTTAAGTCGTTCTTCGAATGTTTCTTCTTGTCGAAGATCATGTTTAATTGTATCAATTCGTTCACGACTCAATAGACTGAAAAATAAAAACAATAGTAATAATATCCATTGTAAATTGATATTTTGTAACATACTTTGAATATTCACTTTTATCATTTTTACCTTTTTGAGATTCTAAATGAAGTGCCATGACTATATCACCTACTTCTTTTTTGGCTCGATTTTCTTCCGCCTAAATGAATAATTCGTTTGGAATAGTTTTTTATTCAAAATAATAAAACAAACCGCTTTTTCTAGACGTTTATTTTCAAATTCGGAATGAATTTCAGCTAATTTCTGATGTTTTGTTTCTATTTCATTTGCTTTTATTCGATACTGTCGAGCAAGATCATTACAAACAAGTACATTTTCACGATCAGCATCTTTACCAGTTTGTATTAAATCAACGACATGATCAGGTCGTTGTTTATTTTGCTATTCAAAATTAAACAAATAAATAGAATTCAAAATCAATAAAATTCTACCTGATCTTTCTTTTTTGATAATTCTTTTTCATCAGGATTTTTCGATTGAAATCTTTCAGCATCAAAACGTTTTTTAGGTCCATCTAAAAATACTTATATGTAATTGAAAAAATAATTCATATACAATAAAACTTACCAATATCAAGTTCTTTAAGAGTATAATGTAATGGTCGTTGTTCTTTTTTAACATCACGTTCTGAACGTTTTAATTCAAGTTCGTTTTCTTTTGATTTTATTACTTGTCCCTAAACATAAATAGATTTATTTTTTTCTCCATGAAATCAAATAAACCTCAATAAGTCTCAATTGTCTATCATATTCTTTTTGATTTTGTTCAATATTTGTTGAAACAGATATAATTGATGGTAATTCAATTTCACTCGGTTGTTTAGATTTTTTCGATGGTTTTAAAGTTGGTGTTGAAGAAGACTTATTAATAGAAGCAGGTAAACTATTTCTTAATGATGAATTTTGATTCTGTGGTACATTTGAATCATTTTGTTGTCGTTGAAGTGAACGAACACGTCGATTAGAATCAAGATAACCACCTTTTGTCATATATCGTTCATGTTTTCTAGATATGAATACATAATTATTAAATAATTCATTTTATATAGTTTTATTTACTTAAGAAATTCAGCATAATTAACAAGATCATCATCATAAGTATATACACTAGTTTCGGCTATAGCTGCATATCGACTATCGAGCAGTGAATGATGAGCAAAGGTAGTCATAGTTTATGTATGGATTCTTTCACTTTATTCAACAATTTAAGAAGAACGAAACAACACTTTTTCCATCATCGTTTTCATATAGTAGACATTCATGTGTCTGTTTCCATGCCAATGACATACGCTTCCACTCAATAATATAAACATTCGAGAACAGATGGCATTGAATAAGAAATTTTTGTAATGCTTCAAAATAGATTTTATCGAAAGAAATAATTAATATATTTTTAAATACTGCTAAATTGATTGCAATATCTAAAGCATTCTTTTTGTCAATTTTTCATTGTTTTAATCGTGATTTTGCATAAAAATTGTTCGCTAATTGCAAATCTTTTTATCAAACAATACCATCTTTTAAGTTTCTTAATTTTTGAATAATCTACGAACTCGAAACAATATTCAAATACGATTGTACATGTAACATAGGAATTAGTACATCGGTACAATAAGTTTGTCATATCATTAGAAAGCATTAATAAATTATTGTAGAGATTATGTTAGATATTAATATATATACAAACTATGAGAGCGAAGATCATTATAATAAATTCAAACAGGAAGAGGGTGTTGGTTTTGATCTGAGCTTTATATTCATCAATATCCTCATCAGCCGTCAAAATCAAAACGTATGTCGCTTCAATGAATATCGACGTGAGTTAGCTCTTTGACTATCAGCATATTTTATACAGTACACATCTATTTTAAGTTCTTAAATAACTCCAAGCTGCAATAAACCTATTGAAATGAAGCTTGATGTATTCATAGACATAAGTCTCACAACCCCCTAATGTGCTTATTTAGATAGTCAGTTTCATAGATATTCAGAATATCCGTTTTATTTTAAAAAGAGGAAGCATGGATGACGTCATTTTCTGAATCCGGAAGCATATTGGTTTTGTTTATTAGAATTAAGAGTACAATGGCACTTTGAGATATTCTAAAAGTTGATTTTGTCATAACTCTCAGTTAGTTTTTGACGCTTATCTATGTACCACACGGTAAAGACAAAAATAGTTTGTTATCATTGCCACGCAGGACAGTATGATAATAGATCAAGCATGACTTGAAAATTTTACTGGAGTTTTCAATTAATAACTTTTAGATATACAATAATATAATACAGAAAGAATATGCAAGATTTATTATACCTATAATCGATCATTAATTTATGAACATAAGTATATATGAAATACGTGTGGCAGTTGATAACACTGAGTTAACTGTTTGAAAACACAATTGATTGAAAATCATGGAAATTTGAATCGATTTTAACAAAAGCAGCAAAATGAATAATTCAAATAGATTCAAATACTCAACAAATATTTTTATATCCGTTTTGAAAGAAAAACGAGTTATAATACACAGACACGTACTAATCATGCGGATACAATTACATGGCAATTATAGAATATCAGGAAAGTTGTATGACTTCGAAGCTTGTAAAAGATAAAATGAAAGTGATTTCTATAGAAAATCAAATAGAAGCTAACAACTTAAGTTACAAGATTTATTCTATACATAGTAATAAATAATATGATTTTCTATCGAATAATAAATACTTCATTTATGACTATTATATATAAAGAAATCTCTAATAGACTTCAATTATATTGTATATATTTACTAATAATTCGTTTTCTCTTCCGAAATCAAGTGAATAGTTAATTGAATTTGGCGATATTTATGTTAAACTCAAATTATATAAATATTTTCTCTTTACAATTGAACTGTTGTAATTATAATCAACATGTTAAATATATATTTCAACATGATATTGGAATGTGATAGTTGACTAGATTTTTTTGTAAAATATTTTATTGGCAATCATCAGTCAATGTCATTATATTGTTGGCTTGGAATAAATAAAAAGAACAGATTGTCAACGTAACGTTCCAGCATGATTTTTCTCATAAAACAGAGCCGAGAATAAAGACTAAACATATATGTCAATTTCTTTTTTTGCCTGTTGATCTTTTTAATTATTTGTTACCGGAAGTTGAAACATTCTTTTTTTTACTGAAAAAACCTCAGTTATCGATGTTATAATGTACTTAAAAATTAGATAAATATTCTTAAAGTAAAAAAATTACAATTCAATACTGACTTTTTTCCTGTTTATGATATACTTATTCATTATTTGCGTTAATATAATATAGAAAAGTACAATATCTATAAATATACGGTAAGTATTTACATATTTTTATATAACCTTCCGGAATGTACCTTTTCACGATGACTCGATATTGTACTTATGGAATCTTTCTCTATCGATTTGATTGATGTGTAATGAAGCATAGAATAATTTGCTTTCCTTTGTTTTTTTTCTCTATATTTTAAACGTCATTTTTAAGTCGATAAAAGTATTAATATTCAAATCTATCATTGAATAATGATTGCTGAGTTCTCATTCCGTTCTTTTAAACTATCGAATACTTATATTCTCATTTATTTATCTGGTAATTGTCATAGGAAAATTGTAATTACATCCGAAGAAATTTGTCAAACTTTTTAAAGCTATTCTGCATTGAATATCTTTCTTTTTCTCCGTGGTATATGTTCTTCTTTGAATAGAACAGAATTTGCTTGCTACTATATATTTAACTTTTGTTTTGTTTCCGTATCGCGGAAGTTCTTCATTGTATTGTATAAATAGAATAAATACAGTTGACATAAAAAAAAAAGAAAACTAGTAACTAATCTATAATTATAATCATCTTATTATCTGTGTAAATATTTTGATTTAATAGATAAAATGAGTAAATTATTAGTTAATGGACGATTAGCACTCAGTCGACAACCCTCACAAAATAATATGCAAACTAACAGGTCTCATATGCAATTGCCATTATCAACTAATCGAAATCGTGGAAATGTATCGTATATGGGTCGACGTCGTGCATTGGATTTATATGGTACTAAAGATATACTATTTATACATGAACGAATGAAGAAAGCAAAAAAAACGATTGGTAATTCAAGAAACGTCTCTGTGTTCGGGTGAGTAAACATTACAAATGTACATGTGATTTTTTTTTCTCCGAGAACTTAGATCTTATTAGATGATGAGAGAGCAAGGACGCATACACTAAGGTCCGTTTCGTCTATGCCCTCAAGAGATAAATAATAGAATATAATTGAATAATCGTTATATCAATTAATAATTTATGGATGGTAAATTATAGAAACATATCGCTTCGACAAAATTGACTTTAATTTGATATTATGACAAAATTTTAAAGTATAACGAAGTATAGCAATTTATATGATAGAAATTGATTTATTTAAACATTCAGACAAAAATATTGATAATTAAGAAGAACATGTCATGAAATATCCTGATAAGAAATCTGACAAGGTCATAGTTTTAGAGAAAATTAATTTTCATACTATATTGTTTTGAACTATTCTCTAATATAGATATGTAATTTAAATTCTAACGAATATTTTTAGAATTTCTATGATTAAGAATTAATTGAAAATACTACTTTTCGTGAGAAATAAACAGTAATGCGCGTTTCAAGGCTGTTAGTTTTATAGGAAATAACATATTAACGTCGCTAATAGCAAAATGGTGTATAAATTATAGAACTGGAATAGTAAATATTCGTATTCTATTGTGTTTGTGTTTTAAGCTGAAAATATTTTAATATAATTCTATAAAATAATGAGAATGAAAGGATAAAACTATTAATATTAAGTCAAGGCATGTTTAATTATTTAATTAAAATGTTTATAAGATCTAGAAATAGTAGGCGCTATTTTTATGAATTTATATTTAAAAAAATTTAATGAATTCATGATAATAATTAGTAACGATTATCTATTGAGAAATTAATCTTTTCCATTACTATAGTTGAATTCCGCCGTTTTTTTCCGAGAGAATGTAGTTTTATATAGAAAAAACATTTATTTTATGTCATTGTGTACAATCACACATTTATCTAATTGTATTAACAAGCTTTTATATAATTGATAGGACGTTTATGAGTTCAGATGGTGCGATACTAAATTGTTTTAGTTCTAGTTGAGATAATTCTCATTTTTCATGCATCGATTCTGATTTATAGATAATTGTTTCACAATTTATTTGTTTCAAATCTATAAAAAAAATGCTTTCTAGTCATACGATGAACGTCACTTTTATTTAAGTTTTATATTGAAAATGACATGATATCATAAAAAAACTTTGCTCAAAACCATAGAACATTTAACTATAATATTCAATTTTGTTTCCGACACTTTCTTTTTTTTCTTCTCGAGGTCGTTATTTTATTCTACGCATCTCTCTATTCGTGAATATTGCCACTTACTACATTATTAGCATATAGCAGACATTACTTTACTATTTATTTTTATAATTAAGTAAATTTATTTTCATTTCGGTTGTTTTTTAATTGTTAATTTTCTTAAGTGAGACAAGAAAATGTTTGAATATCATTGAAAAAAAAGAACTTTTTCTTATAATTAGTTTTTTACTTAAATAAAACTTATAATCAATTAGATTTCATTATTAGACAAGAAAACAAAAAGAGCCCTTGAATCTTCTTATAGACTATATTACCTACTTTCTTCTTTCTTTTTTCTTATTATAAAAATAAATATTAAAATAATTTCTCTTTCATTTCTTCGTCACCTTTTCTTATGAGATAAATATCAATTGAAAAAGAAGTGCTACATTTTCTCTTATGTTTTACAATGTGATCTCAGAGGAATTCTAGCAACAGATTTTAATAACAAAAACTTATGCATTTATTTATATTGAATATATTTATAATAATTGAAAACCTATTCTATACTTCGGCAACTGACATATATTTTCCCATTATTGTGAATTATATCTAACAACATTTGATATCATTAGTATTGATTACAAAATGACGAATGATTGCTTAGTAATTATTATGCTATAAATAAATCTAGTTAAATCGTATTCTAAAGTATTTCTTAGTTTTTTTAATATTGTATTTAAAACAAGTTCTATTATATAGAGAAAGGTATTTATAGTAATAATTTAAATATTGATGTAGATAATTTTATCTTTTCGATAGTGAGAAAAACAAATTTATCTAATCTATAAATAAACTGAAAATATTTTTGTTTATGCTTAAAACTAATGTAAAATTAAGTTATATTATCACATTGAACACCCCATGGGTATGCTTTCAATGTCAAATAATGTCAGGAAATAAAAGAAATCGCACTTGAATCACTTTTTATCTATAGATTATTTAATCAATATTAGACAAAAGAATAATTCTACTAGATTTCTTTATTAATTCATGTTTATAATGAATTATAGATATAGAGAATTGTCTTTCTCATTTTTTGCAATGAATAAATAAAGCTTTTTTTTGCCAAAGCTATCAATTGAATCATTATAAAAACGTGTTTCTCTTTTGTCAAAAAACATTCAATAATATGATGAGAGAAAAAAAAATCTTATTGTTTTCTTTGAAATCATACAAGATTTGAACTAAGGACTGTTTGAGAATCATCAATCATATACTTAAGATCAATAGGATAGGACAAGAAAGTTTTTATATGCTGCTGTTTTGATTAACTATCTTTTGACAATCAATTCTTTTTCTCCACACTTAGTTGCGTCGTGAAATAATAAAAATGACGGGAAAATTCTGTTACATTCTCTGGTTTGTTCTTTCTTCTATACACTATAAAATTGATCATCCTGCTCGTTATTCGTATCGACATTGAATGCCTATAGAAGTCTTAGTTTCATTCTTGCGCTAAAGCTCTGTTGTTCATTCAATTCTGTTGGGGAATCACGTCAAAAGAATGACTAAGAGAAAGAGAGAGAGAGAGAGAGAGAGAGGGAAAGAGACAGCGAAAGAGAGGATTGGCTTTGTTCCGTTTTACATTTCCAACATGGTAGAGAAAAAAATAGAGATTGTTGAACGCCTTTTCTCTTTCTCGTCAGCCGGACCGAGAGTAAAGTCGTGTATGTCAACAGCATTTATTCTTCTTTGCTTCTAGCCGCCTTTTTTTTTTCTTTTTCTTTTTTTTTTTTGTTGTATATGCGTGGTGTTGCTTGCCATTATATTACAACACCCATGTTTCCTTTGCACTGAGAACGAGAAAAGACAGATAATCGTATAAGTTTCAAGGCCTAAATCATGGGCGACTTTAACAATGTATCTGCCATGATCAGGGCTCTGAAAGAAGGTGGCAATTTGGCTGCATTGACCGGCGGCGATCCGCATAATCTTCATTCGGGCCGATTTGGTAAATTCAAAGCTAAAGTGAAAAATTATGCTCAAAAAATCAACGCATCCAATGAACGATCATTATTCATATTTTCAAAAAATAACTGGATACGAAAACGAGCAAATGATGTTATTGAATGGAAGTAAGTATATAGAAGAAAAATTAATTGTTATATTAAAAAAAATGAAAAAAAAATTAATTGAATTTAGTCCATTTGAATATATGGTGCTATTAACAATTATCGCCAATTGCATTGTTTTGGCACTTGAAGAACATTTACCTAACGAAGATAAAACAACATTAGCTAGATCATTAGTCTGTATCAATAGAAAAGAAGAAATTGAAATAATTTATTGGAAAATTAATTTTTGTGTTTTAGGAAAAAACTGAAATCTACTTTATTGGAATATTTTGTTTTGAATCAGCTTTAAAAATAATCGCACTAGGATTCTGTTTACATCGTGGTTCATATCTTCGTAGTCCTTGGAATGCCATGGATTTTGTTGTTGTCGTTACTGGGTAATAAATAAATATTGATGTAAATATTTGTTTTATTATGTTCTTTTTTCCCTTAATACGAATTTAGTTTGGCAACAATTAGTATTAAAAAAAATAGTTCATTCAATTTACGAACATTACGTGCAGTACGTGTGCTTCGGCCACTTAAACTTGTCTCAGGCATTCCAAGTAAATTATTGTACTTAATTAAAATAACGAAAAAAACTCATAATTGATATAATCTAGGTCTTCAAGTGGTGCTTAAATCTATATTAAAAGCAATGGCTCCATTGTTTCAAATAGCTCTTCTAGTTCTTTTCGCTATTATAATCTTTGCTATTATTGGCCTTGAGTTATATTCGGGCATTTTTCATCATACGTGTTTTTATGCAAATCGAACAGGTCAGTAATAAAATATATGTTTAAGCATAAAAACTATCGGAAATGAACTTATTTTGATATTCATCTATATAATGCTTTGTATTTTTTCATTCCCTTCCCATCCTCACCGTGTTCCGGTTTGAACAGCGGAAAACCATAGAATTATAACAATTGCAGGATTTCTTTTTCCTTATACAAAAACATCAATTATTATTCTTTCTGATAGAATTAGATATTTTTTTTTCTTTGTCTATGAACAATGATAGATTTGAGTATGTGATGAATCATTTTATGCATCGATAAATTTCAATAATCAATGTCCTGATTTGTCATCCGGAAGCTGATCATGCCATGATGATTCATAACAAGAATTTTTTGTTATTATGTAAATAAGTCGTATGTTTAGAGAAATAAATAAATATTTGCGTTTAATATGAAGAAAAAAGAATTTTAAATTGAAATTCAATTTTACTTAGAAAATCATTGAAGCATCTACATATGAATGATTTTAAGTGTATAAAAGTTCGTTGTAGAATATTACACATTAAGTGTTTAAAGATAAAATAGTTCTATAAAAATTATCGATTGGCTTATTTCATTAGTTGTACTCATATTTTTCTTCATCGTATTAAAAGTCTGAACATCTTTTTATCTACTGAACGATGAATAAAATTGAGTATTACACTTGAAAAGAACAGCCGATATGATGAAGATTAGATTCCGAAACGTCATATATGACACATTTCACATCAAAGTGTTCAACAAGTTCTATTAATCTAGTGCTTTTCTGCATGACATCTTTTTTTTTCTTCTTCATCACTAATCGACAAATCTTTTTCTGTAATATTTTACAATGAAACGATTGATGAAAAAAAAAAGAAAAAGCTGTTTTTTCACCATTATTTTCTCTCAGGAATTAAAAAATAATATATGACGATCGATCATGTTTACATAAACTCAATAGATAAATAAAACTAGATAATTAGAGAATCTATACTTTTTCTTTTCTTTTTTATATAGCTGCCGATAATGATAGCGACGAATGTGAGTAAAATAAATTAAACTTTTCATTATTTTACTTCTTTTATCTATGAATAGTAATCTATAAGGGTGAAGATGATATGGCGACAACTTGTGGTGTACCCGGAGGTAAATAAAAAAAAAGAATGAAAGAAAGAATTATCTTCTATCCTTTAATTAATTAGAACCTATTTGGGGTTGGCTAAATATAAAACAAGGTGTATTCACATGTAGTAATATCCTACATGAATCACTAACTTGTCGAGAATATTGGGAAGGTCCAAATAAAGGCATAACAAGTTTTGATAATATTGGCTTTGCAATGCTTACTGTCTTTCAATGTATAACAATGGAAGGATGGACACAAGTACTTTATTGGGTAAAGAAAGAAAAAAACAAGAATTTGCATAATTAAATTTTTCTTTTGTATCTATATATGCTCAGACAAATGATGCAGTAGGAACTTTATTTAATTGGCTTTATTTTGTACCATTAATTATACTTGGTTCATTTTTTATGCTCAATCTTGTTCTTGGTGTCTTAAGCGGGTAAATAATATGAGATGTTTTCGAAAATATTTTATATGAACGAATTGATTTGATTAATAGAGAATTTGCAAAAGAAAGAGAACGTGTAGAAAATCGTCGTGCATTCGTAAAAATTCGTCGTCAACAACAAATTGAAAGAGAATATAATAATTATATTGAATGGATTAATCGAGCAGGTAAGATAATTTATATATATATATATATAAAAGAACAAAGTATTTATTATTTTCTAGAGGATGTCATATTAAATGAAGAAAGAACAACAGAACAAGAACGACGTGCAATTCATGAAGGTAAACCAATAAATACATATGTATATATATATCTAGAAGAATATTTTATTTTAGCTCGAAAATATGCAGCATTAAAAAAGGTTCGACATGTTCGAACAGGAAAACAAGCGAGTCTTGATGATGATGAAGAAGACATTGGTATGTTTAAATAGTGATAATATCAGATTCTTAGATGCATCAATTAGAAACGTGCTCAAATATATTTTTTTCTATAAGAGATCTTCTGAAAGATAAATCAAATACATTTTTATTTATTTTGAAAGATGACAAACATTTACATATATTTGTGTACATTGAAAGATAAGAATGAATCACGTAATTATTTCTTTTTTCTCTCATGACACAATCGGATTGAAATGCTATGAGCCTTATGTGTAGGAGAGAAATTAATTTTACAGTCATTTAAACAAAATACGAACAGATTCTTTTTTCTGATATAATGATAATGCATATTGCCTGAAGGGAATTCATAAAAAGACTGTCACATCTTAGATCGCATGACAAAAAATCACTCATAATCAGAACTGACTGTAATTGATGAATATGAGTTCTATATTGTCAGTAAATTTCCATTTCGATAGTTTGAAAGACTCTTTCTGCTAATGAACATTCCAATGTAATCTATGTCTCTTTTTCTTCGATATTATTCAAAGGAAATATATGACAGTGTGATATAATCTAATGATCTTATCAAAAAAAGTTTAAACATTCTCATGCAATGTGTATCTTACAAATTCAATATATAGAAATTTTCCCGTATCTGTTTAATTCAAAAATTAAGTTAGAAGACTTTGATAGCAATTTACAACTGCATAAATATTATGATTCGAAAGAGTTAGACAGTACAATTAACAAGTATTCGGTGCATGATAAATTTTGAAATAAATCCTAAGATCTGCTGTCAAACAGTGATTAACGTACACGATATATTAGCTACAGTAGGAGTGAAATAATTAATGAAAAGATAGATTCTTTGAGACATCACGCAATATATATTTTTTTATTAAGATATAAGTTAATGTTCCGAAAATATTCTAATATACAATATCTTGAGACATCAAAATTTTTTCTCCAAGGGTTTCATCTTGAAAAATGTTTTTCAAGTCTCAAGTTCGATCTTTCATAAACTAATTTATTGCTCAAGAGTTCTATGATGTTCTCTCATAGCAAAAGAACTTTATGTTAATATAGAAATTAGCATAAGAATTTTATATCATCAAATTACAAGCGTAGGCATGCATTGTATTTTCCATACTAATACGATAAGACAACTGATGTATTTATTGAAGATACTTAAGATTGATTTATAACTTATTTAAATATTTGATAGAAGATCTGCTCTATCAATTTCAATTATATAAAGTTACAACAAAAAGTCATTAATCGTTTACTATTATTATATATGTACCTAAGTTTTCAAAAAGAAAGGGGCACTATGAATAATAATATGGTTAGCATCAGAATAAATAATTATTGTTATTCTAAAGAGAAAAGACAAGAAAACTTTATATGTAATTAACAAAGTTTACTGATGTATAATTTATAGACAATGCATTTAATCGTGGTCGTGGTACCGGTGTGGAACGACCCAATCGACCACGAACATTATCACATCGATGGCATATTCAACAACGTGTAATTAAGTAAGAAAAACTAAATATTTCCGAATATATTACTATTAATTATTTGTTTTAGGAGTAAAATTCGTATTTTAGTTAAAACACAAGCTTTCTATTGGACTGTTATTGTACTTGTTTTTCTTAATACTGCATGTGTTGCTATTGAACATGATAGACAACAACAATTTCTTACTGAATTTTTGTGTATGTTTTGATATATATATAAAAATCTATTTTAAATATTTATTTTTAAAGATATTGCTGAATTTGTTTTTCTTGGTTTATTCATTTTTGAAATGCTTTTTAAAATGTATGGTCTTGGTGTTAATCAATATTTTGCATCATCATTTAATATATTTGATTTTATTGTATGTCATTCAATTTATATTTGATTATTCATTTTTTTTATCGTTTTAGGTCATTGTTGGTTCGATATTTGAAGTTGTTTGGACACATTTTAATCCTGAAGAATCATTTGGTGTGTCTGTTTTGCGTTCCTTACGTTTACTAAGGATTTTTAAAGTTACTCGGTTAGTTAAATGAGATATTTTTATTAGAATTTTCTAAATTCTATTTTAGGCATTGGGCTTCTCTGCGTAATTTAGTTGTATCACTTTTGAGTAGTATGCGATCCATTGTCAGTTTACTGTTTCTTCTCTTTTTATTCATATTAATATTTGCGCTATTGGGTATGCAATTATTTGGTGGCGAGTACGTAGTTATTTTCTTTGATTGAAAAATTATGTTCTACGGACTTTTTTTTATTAAATAGATTCAGTTTTGAAGAAGAGACACCATTACAAAATTTTAATAAATTTGCTACTGCACTTATTACTGTCTTTCAAGTAAAGGATTTTATTTGTTTAATAATGATAAAATTAATCAATTTTATTTTGTTCATTAGATTTTAACTGGTGAAGATTGGAATGAAATAATGTATAATGGAATTTTTTCTCAAGGTGGAGCCAATGGTAAAGGAATGGTTTATTCACTTTATTTTGTTATCCTTGTTCTATTTGGCAATTGTAAGTTATTCTATTTAGTAAATATTCTATACATATATTTATTTATATCAGATACATTACTGAACGTCTTTTTGGCTATTGCTGTTGATAATTTAGCTAATGCACATGAACTTACAAAAGATGAAGAAGAAGAACAAGCAGCAGAAGAAGAAGTAATTAAATAGTTTTATTTGATTTTTAATTGAGACAAAACTAAATGTTTAGAAACGTCAACGTGAAACAAAAGATGTCGAATCAATGTTTAAAGTAAATTCAACAGCAGAATCAACGACAACAAATACACCTAATACAAAAATGAAAAAACCAGATCAAGTACCATTAATACAACGAAATAATCTTCAACAAACAGCAAAAAAAGAATATGTTGATAATGCAGTTAAAACAGCTTTTGATATTCCACCACAACATCATTCATCAAATTCTCGATCGGATGATTATTTAGATAGACAAATCTTTCAAAAATCTGATTTAGATTATATTCCTGGACTTGATTATGATCTCGGTCCAGTTATTATTCCAAGTAGAAATTTTAATTTCAAAAAATAACTTTATTTTATTTGTATTTAAAATTTTTTTTTCTATAGCATCATTAGATCAATTAACAGGAGCGAATGATCCTGCAGTTGCAAAAGCTCGTGCCGAAGAAGCAGCACGAAAAAGAGAAGCTGAAGCTGCTGCCGAAGCAGAAGCAAGGAAAAATGCAGAAGCACGCGTTATTAAACCAATTCTCGAAGCCAGTTCAATGTTTATTTTTAGTAGTACTAACCCGTATGTTAATTATTTATTTTGAACAATAGATTTTAGAGTCTACAGAAATACTACTACCAATAGTTTATTATTAATCAGAATAGATCATACATTTAGTTGATTGATTAGAAGAGGTATCTAAATCCTTCTACAGAGATAATGCATGACACTATCCGATGGATTCTGTACCGAATACAAGGGGTAAACAACAGAGACTTCAGGCATGAAGTCTCATGAAGTCTTATAAAATCTCATAAAGTCTCGTGAAGTCTTATGAAATCTTCTGAATTTCTATAGATGCATTTATTTCACGGGGAGACAAGGAAGGAACCGCAGAGACTTCATGCATGAAGTCTTGGAAGACTCTAGAAGTCTTTTGTAGTCTCTTGAAGTCTTCGAAATCTCTTGGAGTTTATGAAGTCCCTTGAAGTCTTTTGAAATCTGCGAAGTCCATTGAGGTCTCTTATAGTCTTTTGAAGTCTCTAGAAGTCCCCTGAAATCTTTCGAAGTCTTGACGTTCACTGTTACTTCCTTGACTGAATACTATCGTATTTTAATGATCTGATATTAGATCAATAAGAATTTCCCACTGAATTCAATTTCTGCAAAACATTGATTTTATTTTTATAGGATCCGTCGATTCTGTCATTATATTGTTACTCTTCGTTATTTTGATTTACTTATCATGATTGTCATATGTCTCAGTTCATTGTCATTGGCTGCTGAAGATCCTGTACATGAAAACTCAATGCGTAATAAAGTTCTCAATTATATAGATTATGCATTTACTGGTGTATTTACTATTGAATTATTACTTAAGGTACATAAAATGAAATGAAATATTTTTCGTGTTGCTAATATTTTTATTTTAGATTGTTGACTTAGGTATTATATTTCACGAAGGCGCTTATTGTCGTGATATATGGAATTTACTCGATGCAATTGTTGTTATTTGTGCATTAGTTGCTTTTGGTTTTACGTAAGAAATTATTTGTAAGAATAAAAACAACGGATTCCTATAGATTAATTTTTTTGTAGAGAAAATGGAGCTGGAAAAAATTTAAATACAATTAAATCATTACGTGTTCTTCGTGTTTTACGTCCATTAAAAACAATTAATCGTGTACCAAAATTAAAAGCTGTATTTGATTGTGTTATTACTTCATTATCTAATGTTTTAACTATATTGTAAGATTTTTATTTCAATAAGAATTTATTTTAATTTTAATTTCAATAGAATTGTTTATATGTTATTTCAATTTATTTTTGCTGTTATTGCTGTACAATTATTTAAGGGTAAATTTTATCGCTGTTCAGATTTATCAAAATTAACACCTGACGAATGCCGGTAAGTGTTAATAAATTTTATCATATTTTTTCGATACAAAATTTATTTCTAGAGGGAATTATTTTGATTTTGGTAATGGTAAACATAAACCAGCAGTTGAGAAAAGAAAATGGGAAGCATATGATTTTACATATGATAGTGTTCCACGAGCTATTCTAACACTATTTACTGTTCAAACAGGAGAAGGATGGCCAACGTAAGCTTCTTTTTTGAATTGAATATTTAGTATAAAATACAATAAAATTTAGTGTTTTACAACATTCGATTGATGCCACTGGTATCAATCGTGGACCAACACCTGGCCATCGATTAGAAATTGCAATGTTTTATGTAGTTTATTTTATCGTATTTCCATTTTTCTTCGTGAATATATTCGTTGCTTTAATTATTATAACATTTCAAGATCAAGGACAAAAAGAATTAGAAGAAGCTGAAATCAATAAAAATCAAGTTTGTTGAAATAAATTGGTTTTCTATTAATCTATATATATAAAATTTATTTAGAAATCATGTATTGATTTTGCGTTAAATGCTAAACCTATTCAATGTTGTAAACCTAAACACGAAGGTTCATTACGTTATCGAATTTGGCAAACATGTACTTCATCCTATTTTGAATTTTGTATTATGGTTCTGATTGCACTGAATACCTGTGTACTCATGGCAAAAGTAAGTTTAATATAATCAGAAATCTTACACACTATATTCTTATCTTTGATTTTGTATTTTTAGTATTATAGAAGTCCACAAGCTTATAATGATATGTTAACATATGCTAATACAACGTTTACTGCTCTATTTACTGTTGAAAGTATTTTGAAAATAATTGCATTTGGTTTGCGGGTATGTTGAAAAGAATTGATTATTGAAAAATAAATTCGAATTTAAATTTAATTTTAGAACTATTTTAAAGATAAATGGAATGCATTCGATTTTATTACCGTACTTGGTAGTATTGCTGATGTACTTGTTACTGAATTTCGAGTATAGATAGAAATATAATTAGTATACTTATGATAATGAATCTTTTTCTTTTAGTTCAAACCACAAGCTAGTCAAATAGCTGGTCCACAGAAACATAAAGTAAAATAATTGTCTTATAACTTAAATATTCTTTAGCGTTCTATTGATGATAAAGATTTTAGATTGATTAATTTAGTCGTTGCCGAGATATTGATGTAGTATTCGAATTTATATTCTCATGAAGTTCGGAAGAAGACATCATATATAATTAGTGGTGGGGTCAGCCCACCCTGAAATATTTTTCAGATCTTGAATATATAATGCTGAGCCCATCCTAGTCTAAATTCCTGGCGTCGCCGCTATCTATAATAGAAAGATATAACAGTATTTTAAGGCTTTACTACTTCTCTTCGAATTATAGATATACTGAATTTTTATCTATACACTTCAACCGCTTCTTTTATATCATATTTTATTTTCTATAGAATACATTACTCAATTTGGGTTTTCTTCGATTATTTCGTGCTGCTCGTTTAATAAAACTTTTACGTCAAGGATATACAATACGTATTCTACTTTGGACATTTGTACAATCATTTAAAGTATAAAACAAAAAAAATAATAAAAAAAGAAAAATTTTATATATATTATTTAGGCATTACCTTATGTTTGTTTATTAATTGGAATGCTCTTTTTTATCTATGCCATTATTGGCATGCAGGTATTTATATTTTTGTTGTTTCGTTTTTCTTTTTGTAATTAAGTAATTGGATAAAATAGTACATGAGTTGAAAAAAGACAAAATTTCCTTTACTATACAGATGTTTGGAAATATAAAAGTCGATCATACATCGACGATACACGATCACAATAATTTTCAGACCATTTTTCAAGCGACACTCGTCTTATTCAGGCAAGAGGATTAAACAAAAAGTTAAAACAACTCTAGATAAACATAGATGATATTTATTTTATTTTTCTCATACGTGACATATTTTGTTCTGTGGTAGTAATGGTGAAAGTTTTAAACCTTTTATTTTTCATATCTATATCTATATATATTCATATCATTTCCTATATCTTTGCATGTTATTTTAGTTTATTTTCTTTATATATAATATATTTTCTTTCTAAACAAGGTTTTTGGTAATGTTCGTCATGACTCGGGAAGAACCGAGATTAGTCGACACAATAATTTCGCCAGTTTTTTTTCTGCTTTAATGCTCTTGTTCAGGTATTCGTGATATATTGTCTGCTTGATTAATGCTTTAGATGGAGTTTTATTTTTATTAACAGTTGAATTTAATATTTTTTTATTCGAATAAATAGATGTGCAACAGGTGAAAGTTGGCAAGCTGTTATGTTAGCATGTAAATCAGGTGCTGAATGTCAACCATCATCACCTCATCGAATTTTGAAAATTTCAAAGAATTGTGGATCAGATATTGCCTATGCTTATTTTTGTTCGTTTGTTTTTCTTTCATCCTTTTTGGTAAGTATAAAAAAAGAAAAAGGAAAATTAATGAAATTGAATACAATTCAATTAGATGTTAAATTTATTCGTTGCTGTTATTATGGATAATTTTGATTATTTAACACGAGATTCATCTATATTGGGTGCACATCATCTCGATGAATTTTTACGATCTTGGTCAGAATATGATCCAGATGGAACGTATGTATTTTATTCCAAAAATGATTTCTTTTTTTGTTTATTCTAATTTAATTAATATTGATATAGGGGAAAATTGGAATATACAAAAATGTTTGAAATGCTGCGACTTATGTCACCACCAGTTGGTTTTGGAACTAAATGTCCATCAAAATTAGCATACAAAGTATGTATATTGTATTAGAAGTTGACAAGTAATAGAATAATTAGGACTTCGAATAATAAAAGTCTATTGAATTGGTCCTTCGAGTTCAAAATATTCTAAATTTAATTAAGTCATACTAATAAAAAGCTTATAATAAGTTAATTATCATAAGTGCACTACTAAGATTGTCGGAAAAAAATGCGTAGGATGTAATTATTGTTGATTAGGAATAATCGAATTTAAAATGATGTATTACATCTAACCCCTCGAATCTTCGATCTCATGCTGATGTCTCTCCGATTAATATATTTTACATTTAAAATTACATAAGTTTATCTCTTTATTATATAAATTTATTATGCATGCAAATTATGGAATTAAACGGAAAGATTTTTCTAGTTATTTCATTTAATAGATCTTTTTTTTTTTTAATAAATTTAGCGTTTAATTCGTATGAATATGCCAATTGATGATAAACGTCAAGTACATTTTACAACAACACTGTTTGCTCTTATTCGTGAATCTCTTGGTGTTAAAATGCGAACTGGTAATTTTCTTTTTTATTTTACAAAAACAAAAGTTTATATATATATATATTTGAATTTAGCTGCTGAGGAAATGGATGAAGCAGATAATGAATTACGTGATGTTATATGTAAATTATGGCCTAATCTAGCAAAAAAATCTATTAAATTACATGAAGGTGGAACAAAAACATTACTTGATCTCGTTGTTCCACCTAAACATGGTAAATGCTTCATTCTTCTCTTTATTTACAAATAAGTTCTTTTTCTTAGAATTACGTGGAACACCTGGTCATCCGAAATTAACTGTTGGAAAAGTTTATGCTATTTGTTTGTATATTGATAATTATCGTGCATATAAACAGGGTCATAGCAATGATACTGTAAGTTTAAATAATGAATCCTTTTTTTGCTATTATTAATATACACAGATAATTACTAAATGTGAAAGTAAATAGCTCAATTAATAATATTAAGATCAGTTGTGCATGAATAGAAATTTTATTTGAAAATCTCCTTGATTATTTTGTATTTCTAATATGTGTTTTTATATGAATAGGGTTTCAATTTGAATCTACTTGTATGTGCACTAAAAGAACGTGTACATTCAAAAGAAGGTATTAATGAACATGATCCTGAACGACGATCATCATTTCGTCCTTCGGGAGGAAGTTTTCGACGACCTGGATCAACTCGATCATCGGTAAAGTATAGTTGTTTTTATAGAAAAGAATACATTAAAATAAGAATAAAATTTGATTAGCATCAATGAATTATATTCTTTATGAAAAATGAATGAACTTTGCTAGAATGCAAAAATTATTAAGAAATAGAGTGTGGCATTTCGTTGAGTTAATCCAAAATACTGTCACGAATCAATAATTGGTTGAGTCAATAGCATGCCTATTATTAATCAATAGATGAGCTCTATTCTAGTAAATATATTTCGATTGTCATCTATTACACTTTCAAATATATTAATTTAATCAAAAATTTTGAAAATAAAAAAAAAATATTAATCCATATATCGTCGAATCTAAATTTACAATATCTTGTTAAATCAAAAATAAAAAAAGATTTTACTAATCGCATGTAACTTTTATAGTCTCTTAAAATTGACTAGTCTTCTCTTGAATAAATTGAAAGACTATCTTTTTGTTTGTAATGAGAAAATTAAATACTGATTATACTTTTTTCTTTTACAGAATATGGACAGTATGTTTTCGAAGAATAAACCTCCGACAGCTAGTCGACCAAGTCCTCCTTTTGCAAATGGAAATATCAATCAATCAGCAAATAAAACACCAAATGTAACTAATCTTGATGAAACGAAACGATCAAATCAACAATCTAGAGAGAGTTCTTTGACTCCATCTCAATATGGTAAAACATTGAACGTTCCAAATAGTAATGTTCTTCAAGCTCTACCAGCTGCTACACCACCAGCACCAATTATGTCACCTCGACCTGCAATAATGAAAACACCAAAATCAGCGGCATTAGCTGCGAAAAATGCGTCATTGGATTTACCACCCGCAGAGACACGACCACTGTTACTTGTTACAGCAGGAAATGATCGACGACAACCGCAGACAGTCACAGTACCTAATGATCGTCGTTTACCATTAAATGGAAAAATGGCAGCAGTTGCAACAATAAAACAGCGTCAACAACCACCTCCACCCATAATTAACAATAATAATAATGATCATCATCATCAAACAATCACTGAAACACTTACAAAGAAACATGTTAATAATCGACCACGAACAGCACTTTTCTTTACATCAACTCGTATGAAAATAAAACTTTATTTATTTAATATATTAATCAATATATTTAGGAAATTCGGATCAATCACCTTCACATCAACCATTATTAGGTAATAGAAACGACACAACTGGTCGACATAATTCAACTGATTCACGTAATTCAGATGATGACATGAATGATAATTGGTCTGTTGCTCCAAAGTTAGTTATTTCCTATATCTATCTTTTAAGATCTATTCAACTATATATGTATCTTGTTAGAATTCTACCACCGCCGCCGCCATTACCAGCTCGAACATTACCAGCTATTCAAAATCTCACACCTTTGATAAATACAGCTCAACCACGACCACAACCAGCGAATAGTTCTCGTCAGTTGCCATCGTTATCAATACGTCAGTTACCAAAAATAAATAAACCTGATATACCGGAAACATATTTTAATTTACCGGATGAAGAAGAAGACAATGAAATATTAGCAGAGAAATTTGACCGATCGGGTGAATTATTTTATTATCAAACATCATCATCATCGAGTCCAAATAATTCATCAATATCAGACAATAATGAAGAACAATTTCAAATTGATCAACAAGAAGAAGATGATGACGATGATGAAGATAATACACAAAAACAAAGATTACAAAGTGATGATGAGGAAGAGGAGGAAGAGGAAGAAGAAGAAGAGGAGGAGGAGGAGGATGATCAAACTTCTCCATTTGAATATGATGCATAAATGTGGTTCTTTATATATTGCTACGAGTTTTTTTTTCTGATTGACAAAAATAGTATTAAAAAATATAATATATTAATTTCTAAGCAACTGTTTTTTTCTTAAAATTTACATGTAACTGTGATGTATTTAATGACTAACAAGAAGATATACATGTATATGTTTTCAAATGGTTTTATTAACAACAGAAACACATTATTCAAACAATTAAAAGCTTTCTTCTAGTTTTTTTATTTGCTTAATAAAACTGTTCTCTTAGTTATTAATAAACAATTGTACTATATACTTCATTCAATAATATAAACAAATTTAAAATTTCAACTATTTTTACTATCTAAAATACACATATTAATAGTTTGTGTAATATTCTGTTTTGTTTTTCTTTTGTATTACATATTTAATTTAATATTTGTTCAAAATACGAAATGTATAGCGTATAACTCACTTTGATATAAAATTTCGGGATGTTAATTTTTAAAGTATTTCATTGTGGTTCAGTGTAACTTAGTTTTGTCTAGTTACTGCAAATTGATAGTAATGCATTTAATAATACCGAGCAGTTTCATTTATTAAAACTATATTATATCAAAAATTAACATCATTTAATCATTCGAAATATATTGTATTACAGAATTATTTTATAATTCATAAAAGTATTTATTTTTATAAGTAGAAAAAATAAAATTAACATATAAAATAATTTGAATTTTAAATATAAACTATGATATTAATGAAAGAAACTTTCTTTATCGTTTTTTAGAATGTTCTTTTTTTTCTTCAAAGTATTTTTCTTTGTGATAAGAAAAAAAGCAATTAATATTTATTTTTTACTCATGTAGAAAATCTTCTTCGTAAAATAAACACGCCATAATTTTTATACTAATTATCTATGATTACTAATTCTGTCTAAAAATACGTAGTTTAGTTTATTTTTTATTTTTTTTCATACTTCCTATATTTAATACTTTCATATTTGCTTAACGTCTAAACTAAATAACCTACGTCTTCTCTGACAAATGAAGCGTAAAATCAATAACGTGATATACGTTTTTTTGAACTCCTACATTCGATATTATACATGCATTTGTATAGATTATATATGTAAAAAGGATGATTCATTCATTTCTATATTTATACATGAGCCGTCGTCTCTCCGTTAGGCTTTATACGCATGTTTTGGTGTGCAAGCAATGCGACTATATTATCCGTCCGTCTGCGTAACTAAGGAGGGGGTGAGTGTAAGAGAGGAGAAGAAGAGAGAGAGAGGGAAAGAAAAAAAAGGAGCTAGGCTTGCGAGCTATTTATTTCTCTCTCACACACATTCTCTCGTTTTTTTTTAATATTATCTGGTCGTCGGACGAGCAATATAACTGTGTGCTTCTCGTTGCAGATCGCCGTCTTCTCTCGCACTTTCGATTCATCGCATACAACATCACAACCACAACAAAATGCGTGAAATTGTTCATATTCAAGCTGGTCAATGTGGAAACCAAATCGGTTCGAAAGTATGCTGATATTTCTAATCTACATTTTTTCATGGCAATCTCAATGAAATGTTGGCATTAAATAAATCAGATTGTTTTTTTCTTATTAAACCTAAAATAATATTGCACACTTGAATATTTTTGAGTGCCTTAGTTTATTTTTTTTTGCACGCAAAAAAATAATGATCTGTATACAATATTTCATGTATTATACTTATAAGTGAAGAAATGAGTTATTTGTAGTTTAACTTAAGCTAATAGAATTAATTATTGTATTCTTTTTCTTACAGTTTTGGGAAGTTATTTCCGATGAACATGGTATCGATCCAACTGGTACATATCATGGTGATTCTGATCTTCAACTTGAACGTATCAATGTTTATTATAATGAAGCAGCTGGTAAGCATATATTCTACTTAATAATAAATAATATATTATAAATCGTATATTTAATTTTCTTAGGAGGCAAATATGTTCCACGTGCTGTTCTTGTTGATCTTGAGCCAGGAACAATGGATTCAGTTCGAAGTGGTCCATTTGGTCAACTTTTTCGACCAGATAACTTTGTTTTTGGTCAATCAGGTGCCGGAAATAATTGGGCCAAAGGTCATTATACAGAAGGTGCTGAATTAGTTGATTCAGTGTTGGATGTTGTCCGTAAAGAAGCAGAATCATGTGATTGTCTTCAAGGCTTTCAATTAACTCATTCACTTGGTGGTGGTACTGGATCCGGTATGGGCACATTACTTATCTCAAAGATTCGTGAAGAATATCCTGATCGTAAGTAATAAAAATAATTATTCAATATTAAAATGGTTGTTCTTTTTTATCATAATTTTATAGGTATTATGATGACATTTAGTGTTGTACCATCACCAAAAGTATCAGATACTGTTGTTGAACCATATAATGCAACACTTTCTGTTCATCAACTTGTTGAAAATACTGATGAAACATATTGTATTGATAATGAAGCATTATATGATATTTGTTTTCGAACATTAAAATTAACAACACCAACATATGGTGATCTTAATCATTTAGTTTCAGCTACAATGTCTGGTGTGACAACATGTCTCCGATTTCCAGGTAGAAATCATTTAATTTCGTATCTTTCAATAATTAATTTTTCATTTTGATTAGGTCAATTAAACGCTGATCTACGTAAATTAGCTGTAAATATGGTACCATTTCCACGTTTACACTTTTTTATGCCTGGTTTTGCACCATTAACATCGCGAGGATCACAACAATATCGTGCATTAACTGTTCCTGAACTTACACAACAAATGTTTGATTCTAAAAATATGATGGCTGCATGTGATCCACGACATGGTCGATATTTAACTGTTGCAACTATATTTCGTGGACGAATGTCAATGAAAGAAGTTGATGAACAAATGTTAAATGTTCAAAATAAGAATTCATCATATTTTGTTGAATGGATTCCAAATAATGTTAAAACAGCTGTTTGTGATATTCCACCACGTGGTCTTAAAATGGCAGCAACATTTATTGGTATGATTATTGATACGAAAAGTTATTTTTTATACTAATAATTAATTTGTTTTACAATATTAAATAGGTAATAGTACAGCAATTCAAGAATTATTTAAACGTATATCAGAACAATTTACAGCAATGTTTCGTCGAAAGGCTTTCTTACATTGGTATACAGGTGAAGGCATGGATGAAATGGTGAGTTCAAATAAATAAATAGTTGATCTATTATGAGATGCATTATTTTATTATAGGAATTTACTGAAGCTGAATCAAATATGAATGATTTAGTTAGTGAATATCAACAATATCAAGATGCCACAGCTGAAGGTAAGTTTATTGTAATGAATATATTTCTTATATGGTTTGTGTTTTTTTTCTTGTATTCGTAGAAGAAGGTGAAGGTGTTGAAGGTGAAGAAGAAGAACAACATGCTTAAATATTCATAATGAAGAATCTGAACTATTTTCTTTATTTCTTTCTGACAATATTAAAAATTCTGTCTATCTCTACGTTTATTCTATTGTCTTAACGTCTTACTGTTGTGATTTATATTTCGTGTACTTATTCTTTATGCAATATGCTACATTTTTCACTTCCTATTCTTACCTAAAAAATAAATAAATTCTAAGAAAAAAAACATTAATATACGTGTAATACAATGTATATATACTAATGGTTGAAATTCATACTGCAAAGAAAATTATTTCAAGTCATATCTTAGCATAGCAAAAGTAGATAATAAAAAAATTGAATTTTATAACATGTTTGTAGAAAATTTTACATTTTCATATTGTATATATATTATTCATTTTTCTTTCATGTATGAAATATAATATAATTCATTTAATTTGGCTCTTTTATTCTCGATGCTTTAATATATTTCTTTATACCATGATATACTCTTTAATATCATCAACTGTTTCTCAAGATTATTTTTACTTTTAAATATCAATGTTTTGTATCGAACCTAATAGAATATATATGTCCATCTCTTTGTATCGATAGAATAAAAGAAAGACAAAGGATGATAGCTAGACACTGTTTTCATCAGTCACATTAAATCGAAACGTTCTATTCATTTCTTTTCTTCTCTATTATGTTTTGTTTATATTGCATGGAAAGACTGAAGTATATATACTATATCATTTGAATTTCTTCAAGAGAAAGGATGATGTCAATGATAATTTATCTGTTAAAAATGTGATCGAAATTGTTGACAGTTGACATTTTTGAAAGAAATATTTCAAAATTGAAAATAAAAGTTTCAGTTAGATTTATAAACAATTTATGTAGCTATTTCATTTTAAGATATGAAAGATCAAATAATTTGAATAGTAATTTAGTGAAATTAAACTAGCATGTAAAACCTATTAAAATAAGAGTTCAAGGAAAATAGAAATGTCCAGGATCTTCAGATCTACAAGCGTTTGTGAAGATACTAGCAAGTTGTGTGAAGGATTTATTGTGGTCAACCAGAGATAATATTTCTGTCTTTACTCTCAGTTTTATACTATTAAGCTATAGTTGATTCTATCAACAGTATTGGTAAGATTAAGCAGAAATTCAATTAATCATTTGATTTGTAAGCTATGAAAATTTCATTTTTGTCTATCGATTTATTTTACTTCTAGAAACTAAAGATTATTCAAGACAGAATTTATTGAACTAATGAAAAAAAGCTGTTTAATAAATAACAATAATTTACGCTGTATGTACACAATAAAAATAAACAAATAAATAATAATTTATGTAATAAACTGTAACAAAAAGAAAAAACAAATAATTTTTAAATAGAACGAAATTTTCCATGATATTTATCAAGAGCATATTCAAAAAGTTTTCGAGATTCTGAAAGAGGTAAAGGTTTCCATGTTTTGTGAACATTTTCACTTGAATAGTCCTCATATAAATATTTTAATTTATGATCTTCATTCTTTTGTTGATCAGAGGATGAATGATGATCTCTATTTCTTGGAAAATGTGATGAAGATTGTTTTTGAGGAATGAATTCATTTTCACGAAAAAAGTTATTTCGTTCGCTTCTTGGAAATCGACGTTGTCGTCGTCGTCGTTGACGTGGTCGTGATTTAGGCTTATATATACTTGTCAATTTTATATCTACAGATTTTATGATTACTTTGCGAGGATATGTTGAGGATGATGGTTTCAAAGTATTGTAAGATCGAATAGTAAGTGCTTCTGACTTCATTGCAGGTATTTCCATTGAATCTTCATCAATAAGATCCGCTCCTGATGATGATTCACTGGAACATATTGATGATCGTAGTCGTTTTTTATGAACTTTATCGACATCCTTTGAATCAATACTTGGAAATTTAGAATCGTGGTCATGATCAAGTGGAACTAAAAAGATATGATCATAATTATCATTAAAAATGAATTATAAAAGTATAAAACTAACCAAAAGAATTACCGTCCATTGATTCATCTGAATAACTCATTAAAGAGCGTAGTTTACTATTATAATTTGATTCATGAAAGTTTCGTTGATTGTGATATGTACCTTTTGACCGTAAGTATGCATCGTACGAATTCATCTAAAACTTATCGAATAATTGACTTAGCGAAAATAGACAAGAAACTGTAATATGTAATGGAAAAAAATCACAGATTTATTGTGAAAATGAAAATTGAATTCATGGACTGAATTTCTTCTTTGTAGAAACAGACGTATATTGGGAATTGTTCGTTATTATTATGTATTCTTCGAATAGTACGTCTATATATAAATATATAGTTTGGCCTATTAATAGATGACGCTAATTCAAGTTTTAAGAAAATGAAAAGAAAAATAATTTATACATAAACGACAAATATACTGTTACATATCTTATCATTGAACTCGAATATTAATCATACTATAACTCTTTTGAGAAAACAATAATAAATTTAATAGCTAAATTATAATTAAAACTCTGATGACTTTATGAAAAACAAAAATATTCAAAGACATTTATTTGTTTTTATGAACATGTTTATTGCTTCTTTTAGATGACATATAGTATACAATTAGTTGTCTTTTTATTAACTACATTGTATATGCACTAAATCCGAGAAAGAACTACGCGATACTCAAGAGTTTAAAATAACAAAGTTGAGAAAAAAGTAAGAGATTGATCGAAAATCTTCAACTTGTACATAAATGAAAGAGTTTTTTGTTTTGACAAACTATGAAGCAATACTACAAAATGCATCAGTTGTATTTTTTGTAGCATCAGATACCTTTGAAAATCAAACAATCAGCATAACAAGTATCGATAGGATAGAATTACTTTACTGCATGATCAGTAAATTTTACTAGTTATGTCTATTATGAATAGGTAAAATAAACAAAGATTCCTTGAAAACTAGCGTCAGTTGGCAAGATTATAGTGTTAAAATTTTTACACGATCATTGATATTTCGAACTTTTCTTTGTGTTTTTCCGATGATGTTATTTTCCATTTATGAGCTCTCTTTGAACACAATCTAGACCTCTACTGCGTGAAATATTTATTTGATGTGATATAAAATCGAATGATAAACATATACTACATATTTACAGAAAAAGATCCTAGCAAATCATCATTAATCATATAGTTAAAAAGTGTAGATCATTTATAAAATACAACGAAATTCTAATTTGCGCAATGCCTATCTACGAACAGAAATTTAATTATGGTTTCGATAGATTTTTTACATTTGAAAAAACATGTCTTGTTTTTATATTTTTGAAGTATGTTAAAAATAAAAAATTTATGCTGTGAAGAAAAGAAAATTAATGAATCAGTGGCGTCAAAATTTGATTGGGCAAACTTGGAGGACATGAGAGTATGTTTTTTTAAATGGCGTTCCAATTTTCATCATCCAAAGATATTTAATTTCAATTGTTCCATCAATTTGTTTTCTTCATTTCGGAATATATTCAAGTGTTCGCTTCATTCGTGAGTATTCAGATTTATTTTTTATTTTTTAATCCTTATTAAAATTCCTTACCGAAGAGAAAATAAAAAAATAAAAAAAAATTTTTTTCCATTGAAATTACAACAAAACAAAGAAAGACTTGTCCTTGTTTAGAAGTTCATCCATGTGCAATATCAAACTTACATACAAACAGACGTTTCATTTTCCATGGATTCGATTTTTTTATATTGAAAATATCATAGTTTATTATTCTAGGAGTGGTTCTACACAATCAATTCCTATTTTGTATTCTTTAAAGCAGGATAAAATAATTGAGCTTCCATTCTTTGCTTTTTTTTTGTCTATAGGTATCTTTCTCTTTATATTACTTGATTATATCAAGGTAAAAATTATGTCAAATAATTAATTTTATTCATTTGTTTTTTTTTTAATTTCATTTTTAGATAGGAAATGGCTGATGATACGGAAATTGAACGTATGCTTGAAGAAAAAATGCATGAAGATGAACAAATCAATAAACATCAAAATGGAGAAAAAAAGGAAAAGGAAAAAGACAAAGATAAAGATAAAGACAAAGACAAGGATAAAGATAAAGATAAAGATAGAGACAAAGACAAAGACAAAAAACACAAGAAACATAAACATCACAAACATCATAAATCTCATAAAAGTGATAAAAAACATGAGAGAAAACGAAGTCGATCAGCGAGACGTAGCCGTTCACCAATAAATGAACGTCGTCATCGTTCACCAACACCACCAACTTTACCAAGTGGAAAGCGACGTGATGTTAATTCTGAATTACATCAATTAGCACAAACTTTAAGTCGTCATAAAAGCTCAAAAGAAACTCCAGCCTCAGCATCATCATCAAAATCAAATCGTCGAGAAAAATCACCAGAATTAACACCAGAAGAACGAGATTTACGAACTGTATTTTGTAAGTAAAAATATTCCTATTAAATTATGATAAGATATGAAAATTGAGTTATTTGGTTTTTACAATGTCGATCAAATACATCTTAAAAAAATTGATTCTCGAACTGTAACTCAAAGTTAATATAAGATTCAATGTAAAAACAACTTATTTTGAAAATTTTAGAGTTTTTCATTTTCTCTGTCTTAATGACTGACTATAATAAAACTGTGTTCTATTTATTACTACTACGTTTCTGAATGGTACACATAGTCGAGATTCAAAAATGATTAAGCATTTAAGAGGCTTCCCTTGCCAGTGAGAAACTCTAATGAATTGTTCTTTTTTAAAACTAGGAGCCACCATATACACAAAAAGTATTATATCACCAAGGAGCCAGATCGTGTCCTGAGCGTTTGCGGATTGGGAAGGGACCATAATCTTAAAACTGTAACTAAACAATACCATTTTTGATACATTTTTCAAAGTCAATATTTTTTAATTATTAAGGAACGTTACACCTCGATGTCTTCAGCTCTACTTAGATAATATCTTTGTTAGAGATATTTTACTATTAGTATTTGTACTAATTATGATATTTATTTTATAGGTATGCAATTAGCAGCAATGATTCGACCACGTGATCTCGAAGAATTTTTTTCACGTGTTGGTAAAGTTCGTGATGTTCGTTTAATAACAGACCCTCGAACACGTCGATCAAAAGGTGTTGCTTATGTTGAATTTCGTGATCTAGCCTGTGTTCAAGCAGCTCTTGCTTTATCTGGTGAAAAAGTTCTTGGAATACCAATTATTGTTAAACCATCGAATGCAGAAAAAAATCGATTAGCAGCACAAGCAGCTGCAGCAGCTGCTGCTCAAAATTCAGTTATGACTAATGGTATAACACCACTTTCAGGATCAGTTATACCAACACATGGACCAATGAAATTATATGTTGGATCATTGCATTTTAATATAACAGAAGATATGTTACGTGGTATATTTGAACCATTCGGACGTATTGATAATATTACATTAATGAAAGATCCTGATACGAATCGATCAAGAGGATATGGTAAGTAAAGCAGAAAGTGATGTTTTTTTTTCATGACAAAATAATATAAAAAATATTTTTGTTTTTTTAAGGTTTTATTCAATTTGCACATGCAGAAGATGCTAAACGTGCGATGGAAAATTTAAATGGTTTTGAATTAGCTGGACGACCAATGAAAGTTGGTCATGTTACTGAACGACCAGGTGAAATGACCGGTTCAACTGGTACTACTTTTCCAACATACACTGCTGGCATACAATCATCATTTGCTTCAGCATCAAACCTTGATTCTGATGATCTTGATCATCGTGGTATTAATTTAGGTGTAACCGGACGTTTAGCTTTAATGGCTAAATTAAGTGAAGGTAGTGGATTACAAATGCCAAAACATGCAAGAGATGCTCTACAAGCTGCACATATTCAAGCAGCTAGTTCTCAACATGTTCGTATACCTGATGCACCTAATCCACAACAATTAGCAACAGTAACAGCTGTTGGTACACAATGTTTCATGCTTTCAAATATGTTTGATCCAGCTACAGAAGCTAGTCATAATCCTGAGTGGGCACAAGAAATTCGTGATGAAGTTATTGAGGAATGTAATAAATTTGGTGGTGTTGTGCATATTTATGTTGATGAAAAAAGTTCGGATGGCAACGTTTATGTTAAATGCTCGACTATTGCTAGTGGTAAGTTGTGAATGATGAAATAGTCTCTTGAAAGATTAGATGATTACAAAATGTAAGACGAAGAACAGAATGTAAAAAATGAAAATATATCCCGTAGAATAGACAAATAGAGAACTGCGTCGGAAAATGAGAAATACAAAGCAAATACTTACGTTTTCGATGAGTTGAATCGTTATAATAGTTCGTTGATTATAATATTGCTTTTATTTTACGCTTTTCGAGCAGCTAAAAAGATTTAATAAATATTTCTTGCACTCAAAGATACTCTATGAATAATCAATTTTCAAGTGATATTTGTTAAAACAGAATAATATGAAACGAATATATTTTTTTTCTAGCAATTAATACCGTCAATTCACTTCATGGTCGATTCTTTTCTGGTCGTACTGTTATGGGAAATTATATACCAGCACAATCTTATCATAAGCTCTTTCCTGAATCAAATACAGCAACAGCACTTCTTACTACTTCATATCAATAGATTTTCTAATCTATACAAAATGACCATTCCAGTCAGAAAGAAAAAAGACTCTACTTAATCTATATATATAATGTGTTTATTATTTCGTTGAAAACCTCAACAATTATGGTTTTTCTTTTTTTTTTCTTCGTGTATGTCTTTGTAAACCAAAATGGTTTCGAATGAGACTAAAAAAAACCTGTGCGTGTCTGTATGAAACAAAAAAAAGATATTTGATTTGAAAAATTTGTTTGTTTTCTTTTGTTGTTCTATTGAAGATAGTTTGTGTTAAAACAGCGACGACCTTATCATCAACAAATAAACTATTACAAATCACATAATGTTTTCATAAAAAAAAATACAAGAAAGATTTTCTTTTTTTATGATTTAGATAAATTATTTGAGATAATCTGACAACATTAACAAAAAGCGACTATTAATAACAATAAAAATTCAATAGGATAAGTCTATAATAATAAATTAAGTAATATTATCTCGACAATATTTGTTATGCTTTGCTTTTATCTCGTAAAATCGTTGTCTACTGGGAAAAAAAGTATATTGTGATTTGCTGTCTCTCATATAGTAGTGTTCTCTTTCCTTTCGCTTATTTTGTATATGGTTGTTATTTAAGGACAACAGTATACCGCAGGTATTTTCGATCACGCCATCCTGATCCGTTAAAATTGACTTATCGATAGACGTATTTATATATATGATTTACTCTTTTCTATATCTTCTATTTAGATTTATACGTATAAAAATATCGAATGACAACAATGCTTGTCGATAGTATTTCTTCGTATTCATTACGTTCTATTAAATTATTTACGTTTGGTTGTACATTAGCCGTTGTACTTATGACATTTCAATATGAGCACAAATTACGACTATTTAATTCTCCGCGTCTTATGCTAACTTTACCTGCATTAAGTCTTATATCTATATGTGGTTTCGGTGCCGGTAATCAAAAAGAAAAATTTTTTTTTCTATTTTTATAATTTTTTATTTTTATAAAAGCTTTGGTTGGTCTTGTCTATCCAATGTTTATTACTACGATTGATCAAACATCTTTTCCTGAATATAATGATAATATAATACGCAAATCTCAAGTTTGTAAATCCATAGTAATATTTGTCGGAATAAATCATCTATCTGCTGTAAGTTAAATATTTAAATAGAAATTCTTATAATTATTTTCGTTTTTTATTTTCAAAGAAAATTCCATTTCAAAGTGATCTTCATTTTACATTAACATTAGCGTTTTTATGTATCGCATTCTGGTGGTGGTTCGATCGAACTATAATTACTTTTATATTTTCAATTTTTGTATCATTTATATTAACAATGATTACAGAAATTTTATTACGTTCTGGTGCACTTCAGTAATTTGATTTCTTGTATTATTTTATCAAGTTGATTAAAGACGTTTTATTTAGATATACATATTCAGATTTTTATTTGAAAACTTGTGTGCCTTGTTTAACATTTGCCGGTGCCATTTTAACAATTCAAATAACAAAATTATTATCTCAAGTATGAGAAAAAACGTTTTTTATTTTATTTTAATAAGTATTTATTTATTTATTTTTCAATAGCCTGATCAACCATTATCAACAATGGATAATTCACATGAACAAGAACATGTAAAAAATGAATGAGATAATCTATATTTTAACAGATAAAATTTATTTGCATATATTATATATATACATATTAGTTTTGTTTAACTTTGTTAGTTCTTATACTTGTTATTTTATTGTCTAACATTGAACGACAATATTTTTTATGATATTTATCTTAACTTTCCTCCATTTATTTGTGCAATTTATAGATAAACTATAAATACTGAAAAAGAAAATAGAACTGATTTTGTCTCTTTCAATACATATTTATATATATATAAAAACAATTGATGAAAAAATATTTTTTTCTATAGCTAGATTATCCTAGCTAATCTATGCAAGAATGCAAGTTTTTTTTAAAATCTTGATATATGCTCTATTGATAAATGTATTATATATTTAATTTGATTGGAAGAATGATATTATGAAATGTAATGAATTTAGACGACCATGCTTTTGCTTCTTTTCGCAGTACAATATGTGTCAAGTTAGCAACATACATTATTTCTAGTAGAATTCAGTTAAAGAATATGAATATTATGGTTTTAAAGTCTACAACCATTTCACCAAAAACGGTGACAAACTATCTGAAGGATTCGAACTTTGAGTTTTTTAATCAACGTCTGCAAGTAATCGCTATTTCTAAAGAAGAGTAGCGTAACTTTTATTTTCATAAATAATTTCGATGTATTGTCGAGATAGTGGCATTGAATCCGCTAAAGTTTTGATTATATCAAGGTTGATGTTAACGTGAGCGTAATCACATTGATATAATGTTCATTAAGCATTCGCATGAATTTTTTATAAATGATTTATTTATAGTACATATATTCTTAGGTATACTTGTTGACAATCATGAATGTTCAATCAAATTTGATAGTGTATTTATAAAATTATGACTTCCGTTTGTTTTTTTTTCAAGAAGATAGTCATCAACGTTTATCTAAATAAAATAAATTACCAGAAAACTAAGTACTCGAGGCATAGTTGACATGTAACTTCAATTCATTTCTATCGAATTCAAACTTTGGAAAATGAAATATTGATATAAATGATTTATATCGCTTACTAAATAGCACTTAATCGAATGAACCATTCATTGATTATCACACATCACTTGATTTTATCTATACTACTCAGATAAAGAACATGATTGCTCAATATAATAAATATGCACACGTTGTTGATTATCCATCTAAATTGTCTGTTGGATTTGAAATCATTATTACACGCTTCATTATTTTCAATAGAAAATCTTATTCTCGAGTCTTTCAAAATTATCAATTGTCTAGTAATATTATATCTTTTTCTTTGTATTAAATGATTTTAATATCTAACAGATTTATTCTTGTTTTTCTCTGCTTACAATTCGTTGATATGATTATAGCCGCTCAAAAAAAAAACTAATAAATTAAATTCTTAGCTTCATCGTTCGACCGATATAACCAAGGCCTTTTTTTCGCTTATATATATATCGTAACAAAAAGTTAGCCATACGATTATCTCAATGTAATGAATGCTCTCTTTTGTATGATTATTATATGAATAGCAAAAGAGAAGGAGAGAGAGAGAGAGAGGGAGAGGGAGAGAACAGAGAACAGAGACGAGAAAAAAAATCTCAAGTAACTCCCTACTATCATATAACGTTCAACGGCAACAGCAGGAAGCAACACATACTATACAAGCTCATCTCATTCTTTAACCAGTTGTTGTCTCAATTGTGTTTTATCGTTCCGACATTCAAGTACTCTCTTTATTTCAAGGAACGGTACTCATTCTCATCTAGTTTTTGTTATCAAACTTTTAATAATAAAAGCAAAAATATACAATGTTATGGGCATTTTTTATTAGCTTTTTATGCATTCTTAAAACATCGTCGTCTTCTGTTGATATTAATGGTAAGAAAATTATCAATAAGATATCAGTCTAAGTGTTCATGCATGAAATTCAAAATAAATGTGTACTTGTCTTGAAAAAGATCATACTCTACATATATACATCAGATCAAAATGATAATATAGGATATAAATAATTCTTGTTCAAGTATAAATACAAAATGTATAGTGATGATATATATATATAATTGTTTGACCATACGCACATTATAACTAAGTTTAAAGTCAGCTGTAATATATACATAAATTATATTTTCATCTGTGTATATATGTATATAATGGGAAATCTGGCATTATTCAGCTGTAAAACTTTATAACATTTATAAGTATCATTACCTATTTATCATTCCATTTGTTTTGACTCATCTACTTGAATAGTTGACAAGAACTCTTGACTATACTTACATCATATATATATGTATGTATATATATATACATACACAGCATCTCTCAAAGTGGTGCTCATAGTGTTGAGTTATTCTATCTGCTCATATACAATCTGTTTACCTTGGAGAAGAAAGAGTGATGAAAGATTATGTCATATCATCATCATCATCATCATTATGATCACACAGGATGTTAGCCGAATATTGACTTGTAGAAGTATCACGGATCATCTGTCCGTAATTACCATGGACAATGGTCAGAATAATAGAGAGAATGATCTTCGTATTATATCTGTTCATCGTTATGCAAATTTAAATTGCTCTTACTAACAATTTGCATTCCAACACATTTATAAGTTCATTTGGGGATGTCTGTTATGACTTGTGAAAGAAAAACTAATTCAATAGAGAATAAAACATATCATTTGTTTATTTTTTTCTATGCATGTTTGATGAATTGTATATAATATATAAAATAGATCAAGGTTAAATTTTTCTTTCAATATTAAATATCATCATCTTCTTTCTTTTTTTTACTCTAGGCGAAAATCGAACAATAATTAAGCCATTAAATTCTAATGTAACAGTAACAAGTGGACAAAAAGCAATATTAACATGTACATTTGATCGAATAAATCATGATTTAGTTCTTTTATCATCACATCAATTAATATGGATACGTCAAAATCATGCAACATATGATGCTGATTTAATATTAGCACATAATCAAGATTCTTTAATATCGGATGATCGTTTAACTATTCAACGTACTGATATTGATTATTCATTAATAATAAATAATGTAAATATCGATGATGAAGGAATCTATGTATGTGAAGTAAATACACAACCACCACAAAAAACGTCTATTCATCTATATGTTCAAGGTAAGATTATTTTGTATATGGTATAATGTCTTGAATATCAATTTAGTTAGTTATTATGTCTTGAATTGAATTGATTAGCAAAGAAATAGTTTGATTTAGCCAATTGTTTATATTAGAAAGGGAATGAGGACGCCAGACGAATTGAAGATGAAATAAGAAGAGCAACGATTCTTTCATTTAGCATTATATATTAGCGAGTGTTAAAAGAAGAAAAAAAATCGGTAAATGATGATTATGATCGGAAGTTCTGGCAAATAGATAAATAGAAGTAAAGTAAAGCGCGAGATGTTTATTTAAATGAGTGATGATATTCTATTGTCTATACATATATATATATAGAATTGCTTTTCAACATGCGTTACATATCAATAAATTCTTTTGTTAGCTGTCAGTTATGCCTAGAAGATCTTGGATTTTTTGACACGTAAATAATATATATGCACGTTAGTGATAATGTGATTTGATGGATGTGCAAATTCATAAAAAAAAAGAAAGAAAATCGCCGTAATATCAGAATAATGATTTGTGTTTAGTAAAGAAAGGTTCTTTTTTCTATATATTAACATTATATCATACGAATATTTAAAAACAACAGACATGTATAACGCATCATTTCCCTCGATCTTGGAATTTATAGTAGTCATCTTCATCCTTGAAATGATTGTTCTTTTTATAAAAAAAATCAGTTAAATCATGTAGAAACTGCTGTTTTATGTCGATTCCAATTAGCTCATAGAACAGTCTGTTTCATGTTCGACTAGATCACGCAAAGTGATCTGTATTAATCAAGATAAAACTATAACGTGAGATATAACTATTAACAGAAGATGAATTTAATGATAATGATATTTTATATGAACTTTCTCGTTTGAAGAGATAATTATCCATTTGACAACGCAGTCATACTAAATTTTGATTCCAATATTTGACAAAAAACCTTTGTTGATTATTAATAACTTATGAAATTCGTTGGTATATAATTTCTTGTAGTTAAGTTTCGAAGTGACTTGTTGAATAACGCGTAAATATTTGATGACTCATTGTTGAATGGATTAATAAAATGTACTTTGATTACATCATATACAAAGGGTTTAAATGTTACACGCTTGATTGATTCAAAGGCTGAACGATTGTGTTTATTCATATCATGTATTCAAAATAAGATAATAATGCACAGTAGAAGTTCAGATGAATCTTTATCGATTTCAAGTCGAGGTGATGATCGTTTCTTTCTTATTGCCACTATATTTCTACCTATTTTCGCTCAATTAGCATATATATTTGATGTATATTATTATCATTATAATGGAATAACAAGTAATGGATATGAAGGTTTACTTTCATCAATTTTAAGTGTTTTTGCTTATCTTCAATATTGTGTACCAATTCATTCACGTTTATTTCGTTTTTTCTATCATTTATTTCTATGGATATTGTCTCAAATTGGTACATTAGGTCATTTAATATCATACGCAAAAAGAGATGATAAATTTCATGTTATTTTATATTCTATATGGGCAGTAGTAGATTCATTTTATTTTGGATGTTTAATTTATTGTCGAGTATTTCCACATATTCGTAATCTACGTATTCATATGGCTATTGAACAACGACATTTATTTCATTTTATATCACGTTTAGAAGTTATTCTTGCTATATTTATTCCCGTCTTTTTTGATACACGTCTTATAACATTAACAAAAGATAATATAGCATTCTATATTTTATTTGATTTTTTTGCTGAATATTATCATCGTTTTCATGGTGTAACAATTAAAGCAACTTTATATATATTTGTTATTACAGTAACAGCATCTGTTGCAACTGAATGGATTCATATTGCAAAACATGAAATGAAATATGAAATAGCTTCATTAGCATGTGAACTTCTTGCTGCATGTCTTTGTTATTCATTAATTGTTATGCAATTTTTTCCAAACAATTTTATTTCACGAAGACAATGGGGAAAATATAAACGTAGACAAACAGTATCATCAATATCTTCTCAACATAATCGTCATAGTATAGATACGAGTACAGAAAACAATGTATGCTACTTTTAATTTAATAAACGTAAAGATATTTGTTTAATAAGTAAATGAACGAAATACGATCATAAAATCTCAGAAATTGTAAACTAGAAGATGATTATATCGTGAATCAACTAGAGTGATGATGCATTAAAGAATAGAAGTCATTTCACATATTATAAAACAAAATCTATTTAAGGTATTCATTCATTGAATTTCATTTGTTTAAACATATGAATATTCTGTAAGCATTGAAAATGTTCTTAATTGTAGACTTTAAATCTAAGTCATTTCGATGAGATTGCATAAGTACTTCACAATACTCAACAGATTTGTTTTCATCCTAAGTATTATGTACTTAAATTAAATGATACAATATTTGTCATGCAATTAAGATTTTTCAAGTAATACATTAACAAGGCATAGTACGAGCTACTTTATTTTCTCGGAAAAAGTCTGACTAATTATTGATGTTTTTGACAAAAACGATAGTCAAATAAATACTTATAAAATACATTTTATTTGTACTTTTTTTCATAATTCCAAAGTCATGTATTCGAGTTTAATAGAACTGATTATTCATTAAGAAAAACCAGGTTTTTGTCGAGTTCCGTATATGATTTAAAAATAGTTAATTTTACAATTTTATTAACGCATAAATTATACTTGAAATGTAAACTAGCAGAAAGTCTTTTTTTTTCAATTAAATCTATTCATTACAGACGATCGGCATTCGCCTTAGATTTTAAAAAAATCATGAACAATTTCAGTACAATTAAAAAAGAATGACTTTCAGCTTGAAAAATCGTATTTATCTACAATTATCATGAATATCAATATAACGATTTATTTGTAATTACTAATCATATTCAATCATTGAAAAATTTTTAATGATTAAGTTTTATCTGAAATGAAAAATACATTAAAATTTTCTATAATAATATGTTTACATATCAATATAAAATTATTTTTTTGTATAGAAATGCCAATAATTATTGATAATGGCACAGTATCACCAGTTATTATAAATGAATATGATAATGTAACAATGGAATGTCAAGCTCGAGGTCGACCTCGACCCTATATAACATGGTTTAGACGAAATAATGATCAAAACAATCGAACACAATTAGAAAATCAAGTTTTAGCTAATAGTACAGATGGTCAATATCATTTAATAAATGTTAATCGTTATCAAACTGGCCATTATGAATGTCGAGCATCGAATGGTGTTAATGAACATGTTGTTAGCAAAGATATTGAATTACGTGTTCTTTGTAAGTAAAAATCGTCTTATATACTTTTAAAAAAGATAATTTAGTAGTAGAAATTTGTTGATAGATTTATATTGCGTACTGATAAAATAATTTATTAGAAATGAACACAAAGATTTATCTTTTTAATGATGACATTAAAATTTTTGTCTTAAACTTCTTGCCCTTCAACTGGCATATATAACCTCATGTTTCATAGAATGATCCCTTGTACGATGAATATCATGTTAAGATTTATTATTATGACGCATACAAAATTGATTCAATCCTTTTTGTTCCCTAACGTGAATTTACATCATTTACAGATGTATAATATATAAGAGAAAAATGATGAACATTTGTTCTTGAGAGAAAAGAACGATGCCGACCATCGATCAGCAATATGCAAGATTGCATTTGACCTCAATCGTTCTCATTATCACAATATTATAGCTAACAATAAGAACAATAGTATGGAAAGCAGAAGGAGAGCTTGACCTATGTCTATCTACTGTATTCAATAACGAAAGAGCATAACCGGAAATGGACGGCGCGCCGTCGTTCAAGCTGACCGATATGAACAACAAAAAATAATGAATCTCTAGTAAAGTCTCTCTATTACGTATAATATCACACTTGATTTCATTTATCAAATAGAATAAATAAACTGATTTTCTTAACAAAGCAAAAAAAAATAGTTTGTTAATGAATAAAATAAAGTAGAGTTCTGCTAAAATAAAAGAAGAAGAAGAAGAAGAAAAAAAAGTAAAATCAGCATTTCGAAAGAGCATAATTGATATATAGTTTTTTTCACGCAATATTTTGAGTGGCACTCAACTCAGGTTTCTTTTTTATTCTAAAAGGAAACTTCGAACATCAAAATATCTCCATAGCATCATGAATATTTGACATAGAAACTCCAAGAACAATATTTTTCATAATATAGGACTATGTAGGCGCATTTAGAATTAAAAATGAATCGACGCCGACTGATATCTACAGATAAATAATTATTCAACCTTTTAAATGATATATTTTCGATAAAAGTACCGACATTTATAAATATATTAAAGATAAATCAAAGTCGCTTTCAACGAATGTCTTGTTCTTCTGTTGACCTTTAAAATAAATGTACGTATATTCGAAATAATTTTTTCTTTGAATTTGAAACTATGAATGTCAACTACCGCAATAATTATCGATTGAAAACATTTTTGTTTGCTTGTGTTAGTTTTATTTTCATTTATTATTAATTCTTTGTTTATCACTTTGATTTATATTATCAGCCAGTGTCATTCTTACAGCAAGAAAAAAAAGTAAAAGAAACTAATGCACGTATCAGAGTAAAAAGAGAGAAGAGAGAATTATTAAAAAAATATGAGAGAAAGATAGCTATTGCACAGTTTCTCTTTCTCTCCGTCTCTCTTCCTCCCTCTCTCTCCCTCTCTTTGTCGTTTCTGATTGTTGTGTTGTTGTTCATCTTCATCTCTCTTTCTCTATCTCTCTCTTTCTCTCTTGTGTTCGGTTATTTCTCGCATAGTCAAAAACACAGATGATTACCAATACCACCTACACGTCTACTATTGTTTACTGACGTCATCAACTCAACATCTACCATCTATTTCATATAAAGTATTTCTCAGATTTCAAAGCACAATATATATTTTTCTGTCAACAGTAAATTTTCATCGACACGCACACACATATATATATATAGATATATATATACATACATACAAGTATCATTAATTCAAATCTTTTTACACGTCTTTTTGACAAAAGCAACAAGAAACAATATACAATGTCATCTTGGTTTATTACTTTAAACATTATTCTTTTATTATCAGCAACAGTGTTGGAAGCTCGTTTTCGAATTAATTCAAAACGACGATATTCAGTATCAACAAAACCTTTTTCACCACCAGAATTTTCTAATGATGATGATCCTTTGATAGATTCATCATTAACAACAACATCACCACCACCATCGGATAAAAATCAAGCAAATGAACAACAAATCGCACATTTTATACGTCTATTATATAATCGTTTAAATTTATCCGAAGCACCAAATGTAACAATGAATTTTAATGATGGTGCTGGTGTTCCATCATCAATTGTTAAACAACTTAAACAACTTGAACAACATAGTAAGGCTTATAATAATGAAGGCAATCCATCAGCACAACAAAAATATCGCGAAGATAATCAAGCAACAACTGAACGTGCTATTTTACCTGGTGATATCATTCAATATCATACATGTCAACGACAATTAGCCGTTAAATTCAATCTTGATAAACAAAGTGCAAGTAAAATTGATTGTTTTCGTTTTGCAAAATCACCAATGGAATCAAAAAGTTTACCACATAATCAATATATAAAAAAATTATGTATTTATGTTAAAAAAACTTATTTTGATTTCAAAAAAGAAGATCAAAGCAATTTAAAACGAGATATGTTTCATGTCTATCAAGTTTTTCGACCAACATCAAATGAAACATCATTAAATCCAGCTCAAAGTCTGACAGGTACAATACGTTTACCAATTAGTGAAGTTAAACAATTAAATGATAAATGGCTTGAATTAACTATTGATTCAAAAAATGGATCAACTCGTCTTCAACAAATCTATGATCAATTTCTTTCACCTTGGTATGGACTTGCAATTAGTCATGAAATTGAAATGTCACCATGGTCATCTTATTATCGACGATATAATTCAAAACAAAATTATGATGCTTATTTACGTTCAAATGATAATGATCAAGATAATGAAAAAGAATCTGAACAACAAATACCATATATGCTTGTTGAATATGGTGCCAAAATTCCATCATCTTCATTTGGAAATCGTGCTACACGAGGCGTTATAAGATCTCGTCCAGCAACAACTTGTGACCCAAAAAGTCCATGTTGCCGACGTCCTCTTATTATTGATCTTGATCAAGGTATTAATGGATTGGATTTTATTATTCTCCCAAGAAAAATTGATATTGGAGAATGTATTGGTTTATGTGGTGCAGGTGGTTCATCACTTAAACATACAGAAGTTAAAAACGCCCAAGCTAAAAATGAAGCACATGCAGGATACAATTTACTTTATCTTTATCATAATGGTTTATCACATAAAAATGCAACAATAACAAATACAAATAAAGCTGATCAACGATCAAGTAATTGTTGTTCGTATTCACGTACAGGTGGTATTGATCTTTTGTATCAAACGCAAAATGGAGCTGTTATACGCAAATTTCTACCAAGTATGGTCGTTGAAGAATGCAGATGTGGATTACCAGCTTTAGTTTAACAATTCTAAAGACAGACTGACATTTTTCTAAAAAAAAAAAGTTCATCATCATCGTCATCGTTATTATTGTTGTCTTCATCTGCGTCTGTGATACATATATTATAATACAGAAAAAGTTTTAAATCGAAGGGTAAGACTCACGAAAAGCTTTAAAAAAAATCATCTTTCTTATTCTTTATCTGACTCGGTGATGTAATCTTTTTGTTTCATTTTGTGCCATTTTTTGCTCGTTATTACCATTTTGTTGTCTTTTGTGCGTGTATGTATTAATTATAGTTGTTTCTTTTTTTTTTTCAAAGTCGCATACAGTGAGCGCAGATGTTCATATAAATGTAGAAGACATTTATTCTGCTGGTCAGTTGTAGTTGCGGTTATTTAGTTTGTTTTCTCTATCATTTTACACACTTTAAACGTTCAGTCAGTAAGGCGAACAGTTTTACCGCCCAGTCACTGAAAAAGTTTTCTTCTTTTTTTTTTCTTCAATGATTAATTGTTAATTGATCAAAATAAATATTAAAAAAGTATTAATATTTTCTTCTCTAATTAATTGTCACGTATCGATCTTTGCTTAACATTGCATAGTTAACGATAAATATTTGATATTGTTACTGCTGCGTATATCTCGTTTTCTTCTTTTTTCATATATTATTTGCATTGTAATGAACAAAGTGCAACCGTTATTTTTTTCCCTCTTAATTTGTGTAACAAATAATACCATTTTTTTTTGTGCGCGTGCGCGTGTTTATGTAATTGTATGTGTCTACATGTATATTGATGAAACATGACTATCGTCATCATCCGATGAAAAAAAAAGTATAATCTTCTATCTTATTAACTATTGTTAGTTTGCTTTGGTAAATATCATGTTAAATTATCACACTAAGAGGAAAAAAGGGGGAGTAGCGATAATTTCTGTTTATTATATATATGCGAGAGAGAACAAGTGTAATCTGTTTTCTGAAACTCTTAATGACCTAAATAGAGTAAATTTGTATGAGAGTGTGTAGTTAATTAGATTATGATATTTGTCTGTCACATGAAAAATGACGAAAGCAGATGATAATATGTATGTTTAAGTGTATGAAATAATCACGAGATGTATATTTAGTGAAGTATTTAAGTTAAAATTAGACAAGTTAACAAAGTAATTTGTCATTATAAAGAGAAATGTTCTTAAAGAATAAAAAAAAGAAAGAATAACATTACCCTATTCACCTTCAACTATACTAAAGTAAATTTCGTTCAACAAATGTACTGTCGAAGGTTATAAGACAAGTGTAACTTGAGGTATTCATTTATCCTTGAATTTCTATGTATACATGAGATTAACCTCAAACAAAATGAAAACTTATGTTTATTAAACCATATGACTTTTTTTTCTCTTAATTAAATTCTAGTTCCACCATCAATTCGAGCTGAATCAACTATTATTTATAGTACTAATGGAAAAAATGTAGAATTACGTTGTTCAGCTATAGTTCCATTTGATACAAAAATCTATTGGCAGCGATTAGATAATAAAACACTATCAAAATCTCAAAAACAACAACAATATACATCGAATGACGTCATACAAGCAAGTTTATATTTAACGGATATTGAAAATTATGATTTTGGATTTTATGGTTGTTTTGCTGAATCAATATCAGGTCAAAATCATGCTATGATCGAATTACGAGGTAAATAATGATGTTTATTGTTGTATTAAAATAAATATGTGGGAAAATTCATAGAACATCATCGTTCGTCAACATCACATCTAATAGAAAAAAATGAAGTAACAACAGCACGTATACAAATACTTAAACGAAATAAAAGTAATCCGATATGTTAAATAATAAAAGTTTATTGTTTTTTTTTAGTTTCCGATCAAACAACAGTTTTCATGAAAATCAATAGTGCGTCATCATTGCACTTTTCTTTATTTGACTTGTCATATATATGTATTCATTTAATATTATTGTATAATCTCACGTAGATGCTGCTTTTATTGAAATATATAAATAAGAATAAAATTTACATAGATATTTAGATATGAAATTGATTAGTATTTAAAATTCTTATTGTTTTTATATTAAATAAAGAGTGTCTTATAATATGAAATCGTCTTATTTCATGGAAAACAAGAAAAAATATAATTATATTTTATAGTAAATGATGTTCTTTTGTCTCTATTATAAGTTTTTGTGATAGAAATAAAAGTACTTGAAATAGGAGATCATATATATGACGTGTACTTGAATAATGTAAGAATAACTATAAAAACAATTTTGCAATTCTAATGTCATTTATTATAAAAAATTGATGATGTTATTTTTTCCGTATTATTTTCCAAGAAATTATTTTTCAGTACGAGAATATCACGGTACGAAGTTCAATGATAATTTATGATAAATAGAAATAAAATTAAATATTAATTCGTTTACATAAATAGACCTGTATTAATACTCATTTATTTATCTTATTAATATTTTATGCAATTAAAAATCTTTTAAACTAATAATATTCAAAGATGTTTATTTCCGAAAATAAAAATATTAATTTTCAGACGATAAACAAACCCATGATTTGTGCTTATTCTTTTGATTAGCTAATATGCGCGGGTGTTATCAAATAATATATTCATGACATGCTAAAACAGGATCAATAATTGACAAAAATTATACCAGTTAAAATAGAAAAGTGTAGGTGGTAAGATGGGACATGATAATCTTTTAAGACTTCGTTCGGGATAGTATTAGTTTTTTCCGGAAATCAAATCCATTTTCTCGTTTCTAAAAAAAATATTAAATCAAGCTATTGTTTTTCTTTGTAAAATTTAAATTAGATTAACAAAAACACGGATATGAAAACTAACAAACAACAGTTACTTGAATAATATTCAAGAATACTTTACTTACGATAACTAATAAACAAAAATCAATTATCTCTTTACAATTAAAACTAGAATCTCTTAACCTATTATCTAAAATCATTGATCTGTTTGCAAGAAGTATTGATACTAATTAAAATGCAAAAAAACATTTAATTAAAAAAACAAAATTGCTTGTGTTGATTCAATGATTCAATATTAAGTATTATTCGTGTCAGTAAGTCATGAATTGAACAAATAATATTAGTAATAATTCAAGTTTATGTCTTCAATCGTAAAAATAATGATATTTTCTTCTTATTACTCATTACTTATAAAAAATGAACTTAGGTCACTCGGAATAACATCAATCGTTTCGAACTAAGTCACAGTGCCTTAACTTTCAGAATCATTTTTTACAGGTTATAAATAAAAAAATAACTAAATAGTGTCATTTCATATTGTGATCCTATTGAAATTTGCTTTATTTCAAAGATTTTCATAATAATTTGATACATTGAACTAAATATTTGATTCTTAATATGATCTTTCGATATCGATTATAAACTGAATTATAGATCATAAATGAAAAATTCAGTCGTTACTTTCATCGTGTATGCGACCAATAACTTAGTTCAGGAATAACATCAAAGAATGATTTTAAAAGTAACAATTTAGCCATAAAATATTTGACTAACTCTTCTAAATATTTTTCAGCACTAAAAGAAATTCTGAATCAAAGTAGGTTAATCACGAGATTTGACTTAATATTTAACCCCTTGAGGACGGGGTTACTGTTAAGAAAACAAAAGAAATTTTCCAAACCTTGAATAAATTTGTTTATTCATCCTGATAAAAAAAAATGTACAGATCAGTTAGGAGTTGATTCAAAACTGGACGTATATATGCGTCTCCCGTCTTCAACGGGTTAATAAAATTTTCGATCTCAGACGATTATTTATTAGATATATAGAAAGTTAACTAAATACAAGTAGTTATTTAATATCCTATCATCATCGTGAAATAAAACAATGATAACTTCTCATTTATAACAGTAAAAATCAGCAGATCATTCTACTGCACATATCTTAGTTTACATGCGATCTTAACCCTTTCCGGTCGGATATTACCAAATGGCAATATTTTGCCGTAAGGTGGTACGGTATTTTTGCAAATAACCGGCCGGAAAGGGTTAAAAGAATTAGTGTATCATTAATTATGATCAATTAACTTTTACTATATTTTTTAATTGTGATTTCTTCAATATAATATTTATTTGAAATCATAACCAATCAATTCGTATGCATTACATAAACGGAGATGATCAATAATCAATGAATGCATTTCGCTTGCTTATTAACAATTCTAGATAATTATCCTTTTTTTTGTAGACGTAGTGTATGATTTGAAATGAATCAAGATTTTTTAATTTTTAAACTATTGAAAATATTCAACATAATTCAATCGTCATTGTGGATAATACCAGTTTATTTGTCTTCAATAAACACAAATATGTAGAATATGAATAAGAATAACAACAACTAGAACAAAACTGTACAAGAAAAGCACTGTTATTTGTATAAAAAAGAAGAAGAAGAAGAAGAGAAACCCGTTGTTATTTACATTGTTCAAGACACAAAAAATTAATTAGACGGAGGTGAAGAAATTGTTGTTGTCGCTGTTGATGCTCGTTTTAAAGTTGTCGATTGTGAATTCCAGTATTGATTTAATATAGTTATAGCGTCACATTGAACACTGAATGATTTAATTGGTACTGGAGAAAATTTTTTCGAACCATTATTATATTTATAAAAATTTTCAACCATAGTTTCAGTTATTTCACGTGGACCTTGACCATATAAACGTTCAATACGTGTTGGAGCGTCTGATGTTGGAGTTGGAGTATATGTATAAACGCCGCGAAATTGTAAACGTGAATCACGAAATAAGATAACAAAATGTTTAACCTTGTCTGCATTACGCTCTATTTCCTCTTTTACTTGTTCGCGTACTTGATCATTAACACGACCAGCGAGTATGGCTTGTGTTAATGAATTGATTATTGTTTGTTTATTACTTTTACCTGATAGTGGTTTAGCTAATGGATAACGTGGTTCACTTACTGGAATGAGAGGTAATGGAGGTTCAGTTGTTGAACGTGCTGATGAACGTGGTAATGTACGTGAATCGACTTTAACTCGCTGTGTAAGAGATTTATTAGAACGTAAATCAGGTATTTGAATGAATGATAATGGTGTCGAAATTGTTTCATTTAGATCGGAATTATTAAACATATCTCTGGCAGATGGATTTTCTACTGGTGTACCAAACGTTGAAATTACTACTGGACCTAAAGAGAAAAATTTTTCATTTTTATTTTAAAAATCAATCAAATAATAATAAGGAACTGTCTTTCGAAATTTGTTTCTCAAAAAAAAATCGGATATTGAATTAGAAACATGTCAAATTTTGAGAAAAAAGTATGAGATTAAAGTTGTCATATGGATATAATTAGATTAAAAAAATAATTCTTGATGAGTATAACAGATGAAATGATCAGTAAAAATCTACCAGTCATATGTATATATATGTGTCCAGTCAGTGATGCATCAGATTTGTTAATAAATTGGATTAACAATCGATTATATCAAAAACAATGTGTTTATGCACTTCGCACTTAAGTAGTACAATCAGTAATCATATTTTATACTCAATGTCATTGATTTTCTCATGGTTTGTTTATATACAGAATCATTAATAGAGAACACTACAGTATTCTTTGTTAATTCAACTGAACGGATTAATTTTCTCATTTAGAAAAGAGATATATTCAAATTTTTGTATTTATACAAATGATGTGAATAAATTAATTGATCTAACTAGATAAATCTCATCGATTTTCTAATAAGAAGAATAGATATAAAACAACTCATAACTATTTTTCATCGTTGACAGTAACAAGGATAATTGTATAAACAAAATTCTTCCGTTGGGCAGACGAGAAGTTATTGAAAAGATTCTGATTATATAACTAATCAATAGCAAGAAATCAAAACAAACCTTTGTAATGATGTCATACAGATGTATATAGAACACACTCCTGATAATTGTTAATTCAAAAGTCAATAGCTACCATATCTCAAACCTTGATTTTTCTAAGTAAATTAATGTTTCGGTATCTGAACGATTTAAAATTCATGAATATAGTTTCCTATGTTTGTTCTATGTCTATCAAATATGATATAATTAGCAAGGTCTGTTTTGGTTTCTTGTTATTGGTGTCTAAGATCAGAATTCAAAATGCGCTATAACTCGATCGAGATCTATTTCATTTACTTGACATTGCGTCACATGTCCAGAGTGAAATCGATAGTGACACTTCAAACTAGTATTTATTGACATTAATCGCATGGAGAAAAAAAAAGCGATGAATGGACCTTTATTCTCAAGAAGAAAAAATCAACCTAATCGACTGAATTGGAGAGGAGATACTCTAATTTTTTTTTGTCGCTTAATTATTTATGGACTACTCAATATATGTATATATAACTGTCGTTTTGAAAAGTAAACGACAGAATGTAGTATTGAGCTGTCACACTAATCATTGGCTGACATCTCGCCTTCATATATAGTCTGATGTCATCGAATAAAAATGATAAAATTAATACAAATTACTCTATGTAAAAGTACTATTTCAGATGAAGTGATTAGACAAGAAAACAATGTTCAATTAATAAATTAAAGTGTCTCAATTCAGTGACTATTGCCTTGATATAATAAATAAATCAATGATAATATGATCATATAAAAAAAAATTACCGGTTTGTCGTCGTTCAACAGGAGGTCTTTGTATTGTTGAACTTTTAGGTCTCATTTTAATGATTGGATGTTCACCATTCGTATGATCATTACTATTAGGTGATTGTCCATCTTTTTTCATTAAATATTGTTTATAAATTTCATCTCGTCGTTGTTCACGTTCAATTTTTTTCGCTGATTCTTCATAATCTTTTCTTCGTTTTTCATCATCACGTCTTAAATTTTCTTCTTCTCTCATTTGTCGTCGTCGTTCAAATGCTTCTTGACGTTGTAGTTGTTTCTGTAAAACTAATTCACGTTTACGTTCCATTTCAACAGCTGTCGATGCCGATGGATCTTCAACAATATCAAGTACTAGACCATTTGTTTTATTTGATTTATCAATATTTTGAGTTTCTTCTTGTTCTTCATGACTTATTACAGATGATAATCGTCGTGGAAATGTTAATGATTTTGTTGTAAATGTTGGATTTCGTGATACATTACCACCACCACTTGAATTTACTACTTGATTATGTATTTCTTCTTGTTTTACTGATAAACTACTTAATACCTATGAATTAAAATTAATACATTAAAATTTATACATAAATTTGATTAATTATTCTAAGTTATGATGTAGAAGATTAACAGATGAAATTAATAATAGACAGTAGACTCATAAGATGCATTTGTCTAGAGACAAGAAAGAAAAATTCTTCATCAATAAACTAATCCCCAAGGGATTTGATAGATATCGTTGAAATCACACATGTTTCTTTATATTCAATTATTATTAAGATTAATTTGAAAACAAATTGTTTAAGAAAATATAGTCTCTTATATGTTAAAATAAGATGAATGAAATAAAAATTAATTTTCATCATTTGACAATGTCATTAGTGAAAATAGAACTGTCGTATAGATAGTTAATTATTTTTTTTCAAAAGTGAATAGACTAATGATATTGTCATTTGAAATGTATGATCTATGGACAAATGTCAGATGATTTATGTATATTAAAAATTAGATGAATACACGTTTCTCAGTGTATAATAAATATTTGAACTAGATGAGTAATATTATTCATAAATTATATGCATGATTACCTGTTGTAATTCTCCGATATTTGAATTAAGTTGTTCGATACGATGTCCTTCGTCATTTCGAGTATCTTCAGCAGTAGTAGTAGTAGTAGGTGGAGTAGTTTCAAGATATTTTTGCTTGAGTATTTCAAGTGTATTTAAAAAATCATCACGTGTCATTGGTTTAGATAAATCAATAATGGAAGTTTCTTCTTTTTTAGACTCAAGTATAACCGGTTGTTGTAATGGAGGTGTATTTGTTTGAGAACGAAATTCAGATGTTGTTTGAGATTTACGAATTTGATTATTATTATTAGTATTATTAGATTGTGGCGAAGATAAAAATTCATGAGTTAATGCTGATGTATTTCGTGTTTTTTGTTGTAATAATTGTTTAAATGCTTTTTGACTTATCGTTTGTCGTTCATTATCACGTATAGTTTCTAAACGTTGTTTCTCACGTTCAATCGAACGTTTTTTCATTTCTAATTGCATTTTAACAGCTAATAATTCATTTGATAATTTATGATCATCGACAGGAGTTGTTTGGTGAAGAGTACGTGTAGTATTCATGGGTGTCGTTTGATTTGATAATGCTTGTCGTTGCCATGTTGTAGTTGTTGGCATAAATGTTGTCTTCTTTGGAGATGTATGTATTGCTGTTGATGCAGATACAGAAGTTTTTAAACTACTTTTTATTGGATTAACCTAGAAATAAAATAGAATAATTCGATAAAGTGAACTAATAAAACTTCATTTTTAGTATTGAAAATCTATGTCATTAGGGGATACTATTGTAAAGGCTTCTTTCATACATACTATTTTCATTAATACGGCTTAATCATTTGACCTTTGATTATAATAGACAAAATTTAGGATTGTAGAAATCATTATGTAGTATTTTTATTTAGTGATAACCTTTAAATGATCTAAATCTCACGTAATCACTTGAAGTGTATTTGTTTTAATGTGTCAATTAAAATGATTTTGAAGGTTTCTTTTAATCCATCAATTAATATTAGCAAAATTTTGTGGGGTTTAATTATTATACTTAACACATTGTAATAGATGTGCAAGATAAAAAAAAACATTTTCTCAGAGACAACTAAGGAAAGAAAAAAAGAATGATTTGTTTACCATTTGTCTGTCATGATTTGTACTAGTTTGTAAAATTCCACCGGTAATTATTTGTTCATTATTATTATTATTATTGTTTAAAATAAAAAATTCATTAATATCATCCTCATTATCATCACCATTTATCGAATAAGTTTGATTCGATCTAGTTGTACACATATTTTCTTCATCTTCATTTTCATTAAAATTCATAAAAAAATCTTTCTTATCAAAATGTTCTTCAATTTCATATAAAACAAATAAATCAACAAGCATTGCATGTAGATTTATATCTGGTATAAGATTGTCACATAAATTTTTTACTGTAAATGGAAATATATTTGTCATTTTACTTCCATGATGATGATTTAAATAATTTCGTAAAGAATTTAAATCATTTTTTGTATGATATTCTTTATCATAATAAGAAACAAGTGCATGTAAACATGTTCCATCGATTAATGATGAACGTAAATCGATAACAGGTGGAATACGTTGTGACCATTGATTAGCCATATATTCACATATACCATTAATCCATATAATTAAAAGAGATTCTGTATTTAATTGTGTTGCTTTATTTAATAAAGTTAAAACATTTTTTAATTGAAGATTTTCAAAACGTTGATAAAGAAGATTTTGATCGAGTATTAATTGAAAATATATTTTCATAAGATTTTCAATTAATTCTAAATGTACATGAGCATTTAATGGATCATCTTGTTTTAATAGATCTATATCAATAATTATATTTTGTAAATAAAAATAATTTATTAAATCATCATATGTTATTAATTGATTTTGTTGATTTGTTATATATTGAAATGCACGAATGTATAGATCACCTGATAATAAAACAAGTGCGATGTCAGGAGATAAAAAACGTTCATTATTGTCATTTTGAAAAAAATGTTCATTTGGTAAATAATCAGGTACTGTACTATGAGGAGGATATGCTTTACTAATTAGCCAACGTAATGAACAACTAAGACGAGCTTCATTTTCATCTTCATCATCACTTGATATATCATAAGGTTCATTATTATTATTGTTATTATTGGATTGCATTTTATTTTTCAAAATGATTAATCATTTATCGATTGATTTGTTTCTCCTCTTAGATGCGTGGTCTGTAGCAACATAAAGCAATAGGACAAATGCGAATCAGTGCTTTAATGCATTTATATGGGCGACATCTGAGTCGTTTTTTTGAGAGTAAAAAATTTTGAATTTTGTTGAAAATAAATTGAGATATATGTTTTTAGACTATAGATATTTTGTTCTAATTTAAAATGTATATTATAAGACAGATGGCGGTAGAAGATAGAGGTAACCATTGAACAGTAACGTAAAACATATCTGCTGCTGCCATCAACGTAGTATATTCTGAAAGCAAAAAGGTCACAACATGAATTCAATTTACATTGTGTCTATTCATAATGGTAAAGTTCAAGTGTGTAAAACGTCACCTCACGGTCAAACTTACAAGAACACCATTCTAATTGTGATATACTCATCACAGATCTATAGTTTCAACGTATATTAGATCAATCTTGATTATTATACAATATGAATAGACTTAAGATTAGTTTCTATTTGAAAAATGTCATTATATAATCCTATCTTTCACGCATATATTCAATGTTCCAGTCGTTTAAATTTATGTCAATGAATTCTAAATTTTTTATATACATTCAAGTTTATTTATACATCACTAGCACCGGAATCGAAACATTCTTTAGATATATCTGACAAACAAAACCAAAAGTTTTCAAAATAGTCGAGCACATAACTGATAAATTTTTTCAATGCTTGTTATTATTCGGTCAAATACATTTTCGATCAAATTATTTAATGTACTACATACTTACATTTTTCTGATACGCCATATTTTCAAAAGATATTTTCCTCAGAATTTCTAGTAAACAAGATTATTCTAATGTCTTTTTCTTTTTAAGTAATAACTTTTTGATTATCAGTCAAATCGTACTTCAGTTACTTACGTGGCATTTGCTAATAGTCGACTTTTGTATAGTTAGAAAGAAGCATAATCTTTTATATCAAGATTATTCCTGAGAATGCAACTGAGATTTCTCAGTCTGATTACATGTATAACAAGGCGCCGAACTGAAGCAAAATATTTGTTCATTGTATAGTAATCTTACTAGTGTAAGCTAATCCTTTGACATTCAACGTTGGTTGTGCTTTGAATCATCATACGATACAATCATAACAGTGTAATCTTACTGAATTCTACTCATTAGTCAAGTCGGACAGCTTCTTATGTATTACTAAAGGAATCACATCACTATGTAGTATAACATGTATGTATACATTCTATTGTAAGCTCTTTAACTAAAGCAAAACTATTTTTAAGCAACAAAAATTAACTATTAAACACTAATTATTTTTTAAATGATAAAAATAGTTGCTTGAAGTAAAAGCAGTTTTACATGACACATAATTGAAATTTTTATATTGCGTTAATCAACTAGCTGGCGATTAATAATACGTCATTCAGTATATTTCTCTTTTACATTATAATTAGTCATCGTATACGTAGAAATTATACAAAATATTTTTATAAACCTATCAAAATACGCTTTAGTTCAAATCCAATATACAATGAAAAAATATTGAACCGTTAAACATTACATGATTGGTTACAGAAGTTATTACATTGAATACTATTCTATTTATCTTTTTCGTCTTTTATTTTGAATAAAAAAAACTTTTTTTTATTTTTAAAATATTTTCCTTAATAAATAAATAAGAAGGATGATTGGCCTTTTTCTCCTATCTAAATTGAATTCTATTGGTGATTAAATTCAAGCAATAATTCTCAATGTCTTTGTATTCATATATACGTATTGTTCTGAATATTCATTAGACCCTTTGTTGAAGAAAAAAGTAGTGAATGGCTCAAGCTTGTTTAACCCAATATTTTACGCCAAAACGATCAAGACATTCTTCAACCATACTCGCTAATGGTGATTCAATAAAATCACAGAAACGAAAATTAAGAATTGACGATGAAAATAATGAAAATGTTTGTTCATCATCAAATAACACAAATAAAAAACGACGAATCAGTAAAAGAAAAACATGTTTTTCTCTATTAATCTTTCTACTTTTTGTGTTGATTTACAGGTCCATCAAAACCAACGGATGGTTATCTACAGGGTTGTGATTTAGATCAAATTGATAAATGTATGTAATGATGAAAAAGAATAAATTTCGAAATTAGTTTTATATTTTAGTACCATTAACAAGAAAAAATCGTAATCATGATATGAAAGATGAGAAAAAAATAAAAACTTTCGAACGTCAAAAACAATGTTTAGTAAAAGTAGCCGATATGGATGAATTACGTAAACATTTAAAAGCAGTTCGTACTCATATTGATGAAGTTAAACAACACCAAAAAACAACTTTACCATCAAATGAAAATGCAAATCAAAAACCGTAAGATATTTACTTTCATCCGAACATTGTCTTTCTGTTTGCAACATAAGAATCGGACTAATGATTAAAACAATAGTTTAATTTCAATCTAAAAGCTTTATTTTTTTTTCTTTAGAACTCCGTTCATTCCGGCTCATGAACGTTTTGCTCATCTTCTTGTTGAAAAACCATCTATCAATGAATCATCAACAACACCGATAAAAAAAATTGCTTCGCCTGCAGATATTCGTCGATATGTTCAAGTGTCAGAAAATGAACGAGTATATTTTATAGAATAAAAATAGATTTCTTTTTTTGTATCATAGAATTTTATTTTTTTTTTAGTTAAAAAAAGTTTTATCTAATGTTGATCAATCGATTGTTGAATCTTTACCAACAACACCATTAAAACGTATTGCTGGTGTAAATAATCGTTTACTTGAACAAATACGTTTAAAAGAAGAATCACGTTGTCAATTAATTTCACTTGAAAATACGGGATTTGTTAAGAATGAAGAACAACGTGGTAAAACTTATGAAATGTTTCGTCGTATGCGAGAATCAATAGATATTATTGATCAATTATTTACAACAGAACGTCAAGTTGCTTTGGAATGTGATCGTATTCGTAATAAAATTATTGAATTACATACAGCTCGATTTAATCATGGTTTGTTGAATATTTTGAAAATATAAATTATACAAAATTTATCTTATAGATCAAGCAAATGAAATCTTAGATTTTATTATAAAATCTATGGAAGAATGTGCACCTGGTTATATGTTACCAATTAAATTACGAAATAAACAATACATGAAAATTAATCGAGCACATATAACAATGACTCAATTAAATGAGTATATAGAAAAAAAATTGATCGAATTCGGTGAATAATTGCTTATATTTTTGTTTGTGTCTTTCTATACATATTATATTTTGTTTCTTCCCTATACATATATTATAAATTGTTATTCTTCTAGAAAATGTAGTTGAACTATTTTTCTTGTTACTTTATTTTTCTTTTTCCTTTTTTTTGTATATTGTTCATAACTTGTTATATGTATGAAAATGATTTGAACAAAAAAAAAATGAATACTTTGTCTATGAAAAAAATAGAATTATTTTCTTGTTTATTGCAGATTAAATATGGTTCTACTTAAAGAAATTTCAGAAGGAATTTGGGGTAAGAAAAAAACATAATCATTATTGATGAAATACCAGCTAATAAATAAATTTGAACTTTCGAAGATAATTCATAGAAATTTCTATCGGATTAGAATTGTATTAGTAAAAAAGAACTCATTAATACTCTAGGACTAGATGTTATCAGCATTCAGCTTATACGATTTTCTTTGTATCGAAAAACTGTTTAGGTCTTACTGTTGGACCAAATACTTCATCCGACGTAGTAACTGATCATCCGTTTCGTTTAACAATGGCTGCACTTGAAATTAATGATGGTAAGAATTTTTTTTCAATAAATTATATATTGAATGTTAGTTTTTTCTAAATGAAGAAAGTAATTCGGCATCAAAAGGAGTTACTCGTGTAACCATCAAATCAAGTACTGCTGATAAAGGACCAGTAACAGATTTAATTTTATGTAATTTACATTATCCACAATGTCTTCAACAACCATTAGATATTGAATTTTATGAAGGACAAACACTTACATTTGGTGTGAAAGGATCACGTAAGTAATTTAATTATAAATTTATTAATAATTAAAATAAAATTTTCTTTTTTTCTAGATAAAGTACATCTAACTGGTTATATTCTTCAATCAGAACCCCATGAAAGTAAAAAATTTACTTGAATAAAATATTTTTATATTGATTATGTTTAGTGTGCGAGGAAGGTCATGAACACTGTGGTACAAAACATGGTCATTTTGAAACAGCTAATGATTCAAGTGATGACGATGATGATGATGACGACGATGATGATGATGACGACGATGATGATAGTGATGACGATGATGATGATGTTGAAGGTTTTCAAGTAGCTGGTCGCCATAAATTACGTGATGATGAAGTAAATTGAAGAAAAAAAACAAATTATTTATTTTATTCACTAATATTTTATTTTCTAGGATCAAGACTTAGGAGCTGATTATGAAGATGGTTACTTTCCAGGAGAAGATCAAGTAAATTCAGACTCATCTTCGTCAGATGATGAAGATAATGATAAACAAAAGAAAGCATCAGCAGCATCTGATAAAGGTAAAAAACGTGCACGTTCCGAATCAAATGGTCATTCAAAAAAAGAAGTAAGAAACGAAGAATTTTTTTTTCAAAATTCTTTCATAAATAGATTTTCTTTTAGGAATTAGAAACCAAAAAATCAAAGAAAAATAAGAATATTAAAGAAGAACCAGTGACACCAAGTAATATTGAATCTAAAAAAACGAAAAACGCAGTTAGTAATCATAAAATAATAATACACAATAAAGATTTCATTGAATTTCTAGGCAAAAGAAACAACCGCAACACCATCAAATGATACATCTGCAACCACTAGTACAACTGCTGATGCCAAAAAAAAGCCAAATTCATTAGAAATAAAAGACCTACAAGTTGGAAATGGACCAGAAGCTAAACTTGGAAAAACTGTATATATATTTTTTTTTAAAAAGAATATATCTTATTTGTTTCTTTTTAGGTTGCTGTTTATTATACTGGTCGACTTAAAAGTAATAATAAACAATTTGATTCATGCACGAAAGGAAAACCGTATGTATATCAGCATGCTCAAAAAAATAGAAATTATAATTTTTGTTTTTATACTTTAGATTTCGATTTCGTCTTGGTGCAGGTGAAGTTATTCGTGGTTGGGATCAAGGTGTTAAAGGTAGAATGTAAAAGTTTTTAAATATATATAAATTTATATTTATAAATTTTAGGTATGCATGTGGGTGGCAAGCGACGTTTAACAATTCCACCATCATTAGCGTATGGTAGTCAAAAACTACCAGATATTCCAGCTAATTCAACACTTGTATTTGATGTTGAACTTAAAAATGTTTTTTAGAAGAAAAAAAGATTACAGGAATGTTTCAGGAAAAGAATAAAAATAGAATTTATATGTTCTTCTACTATGTTAAACAAAATAGTATTTCTCATTGCCATTTGAAATAAATAAATAAAACAAAATATCAATAAAATATTTTATAACTGCATAATCAATAAGAATACTATGAAAGTTTTCTGAAAACTTTATAAAATCGTAGCGACTGACGAAGAAATTTCCTTTATTTATTTTAAACTGTTGATTTTATTTTTGATAATCAAATATTTTTTTTGCTTAACATATCGATCTAATCGTATAATAAGAAAGCAAAGTATTTTGTTTTAACTTTTCGAAGGTACATTCCTCTTAGTAAAGCGGTTAAAAACTCTTCATTAATGAATTCATAAATATGAATAGATCAAGCTTTTTGTTCAATCTAATATTAAAATTGATTTATAATAATAAAATAAAGTCAAACATTCGGAAATAGTTTATAATAACAAATAACAATGTTATCTTGTAACTTCTGTATTTGCATCATAAATGTTAGACTAGCATTTGAACATTATGATCGTTTTTTAGTTACGATGAACGATATTACAAGTACCACAAACATTTATTTCATTAGAATGCATCTTGTTGTGATAAGAAGAAAAAACAGTAATAATCATCAACTAATATATAACAGCCCTTGTACGCTATTAAAAATTTGATCTGATTTTGACTATTGGTTTTATTAAATTTAATAACCGAGAAAAAACGTACAAATCTACTTCTCATTTATTTTGCTATTGTTTTCTTAAACTAACATATCTATAAAAAATTTAGATGAATTACTTCTACCATATTACTATCAACTAAAACATATCGAAATTACAATTATGAATTAAACTATCTAATAAAACATAAAATACATTAAAAACAGTACAAATACAAAATATTAAGATTTATTTTGATAATGTATTGATATTCATATTGCTGTGTACTTTGATCAGTATTAATTGATCTATCTGAATAAACATATTAGAGATTAATGAAAATATATATTAACAAGCTTACTATGATGAGTTTTTGTGAAATACAATGTATTTAATATACATTATAGTTGTTACAAGAGAAACAATAGCAATACAACTCAGACCAACAATTAGTAGAGGCCAAGCTTCAGCAAAACCTAATCAATAGAAAACATAGAATAAAACCTATGTTCGTATATTAATTTCTGTTCACATGAAAATCAAATACAGTCATCTCATGTACAAACAATGTATTTATTATTCTATTTACATACCTAGAACTTCATTAGATAGTTTCATGTTTATGTTATTTTTATTAAATGAATGATGCACTATTACTATATTGACATGCAATCAAATAAAGCAATAAATATATATATCATAGATCTTCTTTTTCCTTCTCTTAACTATTTTCACGTTGGTAGATCGTACCAATCGCATGTTTGTTATGTTCATTATAACGATCGATAGTATTTCTATAAAAAACTTTCTTTCTTTTTTTTTACGAAGAATCTTATTGATACTTCCTTGAGTGCTATAATAGACGACACGATATTCTTATTTTTTTTATGAACTCAGTTCTTTAGTTTTTATCTATTTCGTTTTTCCATTATCCAAATATATATTTGCACGATAAACAAAAAATCAATGAACAATACTACGATCAACCCATTGATAATCACATTAATTTTCTTTTGTATCGAAAAAAGAAATAACAAATGTTCCTATTAATAAAATGTATTTTATCATAAATCAATTGATTTATGTGATGACAATAAATGTAGTTGGTTAAAATTTCAAAAGCGTTTAGATTTTTTTATTGAATATAGTATAATAGTTGTCAACTAATGATCAGAATATTCCTAAAAGGAGATCAGAGACAAAGACAGAAGTTTGTCAGCTCCATAAATAAAACAACTTTTGTAGGAAAAAAATCAGAATAGTCTATACTCTCTTCAGTACGAGTATTAATACAACAAAAATCACACTTCATAAAGACGGCAGTGTATATAACGAGTAGAATAGATGGATAGTTTGCTTCATCTATGAATACATTGTCATGTAATACTAATTATTTGAAAAAAAATGACATTAATCTGTCTCTTCTTTCATAAAATGTAAGATGGCATAAAAGTTGTTTAACTGTGAAACAATTTGAATATCTCTATCACGACTCGACTGACCGAACTCATTATTTTTATCAATGATTGAGAGATATTCACATTTCAAACTCAGACAGACAATGCTAACGAGCGCCTTTGTTAACTATCATTATTGATTTTAACAAAAAATAGGAGAGACTCAAAAGTCGGTTAACTGAAAAAGAAATTAAAGATCTTCATGACGGCTTGAGTAAACGAGCTGATTTTTCACCAGTAATGGAGGTATGTTCAAGCTTTATCTCTCCAGGTATGTCTATAAAATGAAGAGTACATAAACTGATCATTAATATAGAAGTCTGATTTGCTCTAGACCGCCCTCTATTTAAATATATTATTTTTATTGGTCGATGATCGATGAAAAAATTTTTTTTTCTTGTAATAACGAAAAAAAGATGAAGCTATCAACACGTCAATTCTTTCAAGTAGAAATTTTTCTTTTTCATGCCTATTAACGAACAAATTCGAACAATATTTGTTAAAAAACCATGTTTAATTCAATCATCTTCAATTATTTCTCAAACAGATGATAAAAATCCTTCTTATTCATGTTCTTACTGCTCAAAATTATTTTCATCACCAAGTCATCTCTCACGACATATGCTTATACATACAGGTGAAAAACCATGTTTATGTTCGGAATGTGGTCAACAATTTAGTCAAATATCATCATTAGAACGTCATCAACGTACAAAACATGAAAAAGTAAAACAATTCCATACAGTAAATAATCATTTATATCAATGTACACTGTGTCATGAATATTTTTCTTTAAAACATAATTTAAAAATGCATGAAAGAAAATTACATCAAATACAAACAAATTTCTTTTGTAATATATGTTCGGCTTATTTTACATGTAATTCATCATTACAAAAACATCGAAATTTTCGTCATCGATCATTAACTAAAACACAACAATCGTCTATATCAAATGAAACTTCAATAACTAAGACAAATAATATATCAGATAATTGGACGTTAATACAAAATAATCAAGTAAGATAAAATACTGAATTTATTAATTATGATTTTATAAAAATATAATATCTTTTTTTCAGCTCAATTCAGATACTAATATATTTGATTCATCACCAACATCGGTATCTCACCCATCATCCGAAGAACAATCATCCGATTTTTCTACTAAAAGATCTTCAATTAATAGTAATGATTTATTCAATAGCAATAATATAAATATTAGACAGACTGACAATACAAATAAACATTCCTATCAACAACAACAAGTTCATTATCAGATTCTTAAATGCAATGAAATAAATTGATACAAAACAATACCATATTTTGCTTTTTTTTTATTTAAAAATTAATAAAAAACAAATTTGAATTAATACCGTTAGTAAATATTATATTTTCTATAATTATCATAGTAATATTACAGTCATACATAGAATAGATGAAATATATTATCGAAGTCTTTGATACAGTCAAATTAAATCAAGAGATAAAAATATGAAGAATACCATTTCGATAATGAATTATGAAAATCAATTATCACTGTAAGATTACAGGCTTAGAAAGATACTTCGCACATGCACTGGAAGCAAGTATTTTATTGTACCAGATCTAGGACTTTTGTGATGGAATGCAATTTCGATCAGAAATCGTATCATTGTCCCTATTTGGCATATCATCTACTAATTTTTGGATCATTTTTGCTGATAAAAAAATCGAAATAGACTAGATGTGATCGCACTCTCTCCCTCTTAAATCCGCCACTGTGCACTACATATCTTTCTATAATCCTTCAATTTCATGATATTATCACTTTGTATAAAATTATGAGATAACATATCTATTAAAAGATTAGATATTAAATCCAAGTGTATTAAGATCTACTTAATTCTATTGAAATAATTTGTTATATAATATTATTATTTCATTTTTTTTCTAATGTTTATGTTTAATATAAATAAATATTATATTTTAGTGCGTATTTTATTAATCAATTGAATCAATCCAATTAAGACTTCAATTATTTCTAGTAAAAAAACAAAAGTAAAATATTTATATATTCTTCTAACAATATCATTAGTAGAAGTACATGTTTATATAGCTCTTTCATCAAGAATATATATATATATGGCAACCTAATGACATAGAGTCAAAAATATTTATTCTCTTGAGATTAACATGTCTGCCGTAAATAATTGTTTTGCCAATTTAGCAAAAATTCTCATATCTTCAATTTCTATTCAACACAATCATCAATACAATTATTTAATCAAATAATTTTCTCAACTTGCTCACGCAAATTATTCTCTTTGTTGTCTATTGAATAGTTGATGTTTTTCTGAACAGCAGGAACAAAAAATTGAATCGATTTTATTTAATATATATATATATGATATTTTCAAAAAGATATGTCTCGATGACATAAAGATATTTTGAGAATATTAATGAACCATAATTATTCTATTTGAAAAACAAGAAATAATGAGTGAAGTTCTATCTACTAAATTAGTTGTAATTAATAAGATATGCGTGATTTGAATAGGATAGCAACTGAGTTTAAGCTAAAATCCTAGCACGCTATCTCATAAAAACAAATTAAGTAAGTAAAAAATCATGTTTTTTTAGTACTCTTTTACACCGATATTGTAGGGTTTATCCTACATTTACGGATTAACATGACAAAAAAAAGATGAAGGTTTTCATTATATATTGATCAAATAGAAAGTTTTGTTTTCCGTTGATGTTAAATAAAATAATTTATTTTTCTTGTTAACATATATCAGTTGGATTCTTCTATTTTCAAGGACTTATTAAAGAACAACCTCATGCCTCTTATGACATTCATCAACAGATGTTATAAATTCCTTCATATATATATAACAATAGACCAATGTTCTATTTTGCTATCATACAATATTAGTAAATATTTGTCACATTTGTTAAAGTAATTATTCTAATAACATATAGAATTTTTCTCCAGATATCATTACCCTAAACAAGTAACAATTACTTCAATCAATCATTGAGTGACATAAATTAAATTCGAAAAAAAATAAAATAACAAAGTCGAAATTTTTGTTGTTCAAAATGCAATATAAATAATTATGCTTTATTAGTATGAGTTAAATGATTGACATTGAAAACTTTTAATAATGTTCAGTATTAAAGTTAAATACTCAATCATGATGTTAGATTGCTCATATAATATTAATAAAATATGTCTGTATTTTAAGTAAATAATAATAAGTTTAACATGTTATTAAATTTTGCTCATATCTAAGTTATAATAAGAAGACGGAATTTATTTTTTTCTTAAGATTAATTGTGATAATAAACCAAGAAGAAATGAGTTTGAGTGATGAGAAAGAGAGAAAGAAAAAACGAGAGCAATCGAGCATATGTTGATTAAATTAGAGTAAATAGAATACATCAAACACTTTCGAGGTCTTTTGACAATTGAGTTGTCATATATATATGTGTGAGTATATATATTCGATCATCCCATGTGTTATTTCATATATTCCTTCTTTTTTGTTCATTGATATATATATAAATTATCTACGTTTTCTTTTCCTAATTCTTAAAAACTATGCAGCTGTATAAATATTTGTCTATTTTTTTGTTATTGGTTGACTATCGTAAACGGTAGAGTAGCATTCATCAATCGATTTTTTAGGTTCGAATAAAATATTTTAATTAGTTATTTATAAATAGCAATGAATTTTTTTTCTGTTTTTTTACTATATAAGTATTCACTATTTCATTAGTATTATTATTCTTGAAATGTCAACGATGATGAAGCAAAAGAAGAACTATATAGTCCACAACCTGTTTGATTATTTGTCACGTCTCTCTGCCTCTCTCTCGTTCTTCTTATGGTACATGCTCTGGTGCTCTTACCATATTTTTAGAGTGTCTTTAACATCTTTTATTTTTTTCATGACAATATTCTTAATTGATACTAAGTTAATTTCTGGTAATAGTTATACATAAATAAAAATTTTGTTATTTGACATCAATTGTTAAGATTATATTGATAATGATCAATAATTTTTTTCATCTATAATGCTTATATGAACTATATGTCTCATGAGTTTTAAGTTAAGCTAAGCATGATATAATCTGTCTATGCAGAATAATGTCTTCCTTTCTTCTCTTCTTCTTCTTCTTTTTTCTTCTACTACTCTTAATGTCGTCGTCGTTAACTATATGCTTGTCTTTTATCTCTAAAAGTCTCTGATCGACATGTTTACTTGTTGTAACTTCATATACATCGACGATAATATACATTCGAATAGTAATAATAATGCTAGTAAAACAGTCTTGATTTAATTCATCCATCGTTAACTAAATACTAGGAGATCTGTAGTTAATCTTCTTTTCTTAGTCTTTTAGGTTTTCTTCACTCTTCTTATTGAAAAAAGAAAAAGGTTTCTCATGCTATAAAACATTCATATATAAATACAACTACATCTATAATATTTTTACTTTACTTTTAATCACGATAATGAAGATATATTCATATAGATATTTGTGTGTGTATGTGTAATTTGAAAAGTATGAACTAGTTAACATACATCGGATATGTGTTTGCGTGTTAATTACTTATATTCAATTCTGATTCTCTTCCCTTTATTAATTATTAAGAAGATATCCGTTATTAAAGATTCACTAGTTTCCAATTCTATAAACATTAAAGCTCATTCGTGGTTGATTTGCGTGCAATACCTTTTTTTCTCTCTCTCTCTCTTCCACGTGTAAAATCCTTTCTTTTTTTCTCTACCTGTTTTTTCTTCTTCTTCTTCTTAGTTTGAATGTTTAAAAAGTGATCTCTTTTTTTCTCTCTCTCGTCTTATTTTCTTCGACATTAGTAGAAAAGAAAATGAGATGTTGTTCCGGCTTCGCACTATCAACTCACATAGCTCATAATTCACGGTTTGTTTTTTCTTATGAAATAGTCAAAATCCATCAAGCAATAAACATTTGCATTTTACAAACCTATAAATCTTCTTATGAGTTTTTTTTCTATTTATATTCTACGAGACAAAAGAAATCGAAGGTTATAAATAAGAACTTTAGTTTTTTCTAAAAGTAGCTAATGCAATCATTAAATGATTCATTATTTAGAGAGGAGAAGAAAAAAAAGATGACTAAAAGGAAATCGTGGGCGAGAGATAATAATATAATGATAGTAACATCGATGTATTCTTGTTAGATTATTTACTATATATTTCCGATAATAACATATTGCTATATAGTTCATTTTGTATGTTGATGATAAAAATAGATCGAAACTAAATAGCTGACGAGCATAACAATTACAATATTCGAAGTTATTAATACGTCTAATCAGTGCACGAAATCGATGATACTTGCCGCCGAGATATTTATCATTTCATATGGTTTAGTTTGTGAATAATATGAACAGTAGACGACTGATTATCGTTCTCGTTTTTCCTTCTTCTTCTTCCTTCTCCGAATGATTGTAAAAACAAAAAAAGCAATCGAGTGTCAATAGTTCATAACATGCTTATCTAGTTCATTGATTTTCCGAAAGAGAAAAAAAAAACATACATCAATTGATGCTCGGTAGTTTCTAAATCTTTATGATATAATAACAAAACATTGAATAACTTCAATCGATTACGCATGTCTACGATTTTCTTTTTCTATTTTTAGTTAAATCTTTATGTAATGTATCAATACTATACATATAATTTTAAATGTTATTTACTATCATTGATTTAATTCAATCATTGATTATCTTAATATATTGAAAAATGTCATCAGTTACTGCTTCATGTAATGCTCTTATTGGTCATCCAACATTTAGTCGATCAATTGAATCTCACAGTAGTGCTCATTCAGGCGATACAAATTATCATGGATGGCGTCGTGGAGGAACAATTTGTAGTGAAGATGTTGGTACTCAAACAGAAGCTATGGGTGGAAGTAGAGGACCTGGTGGAAGTGTATCAAGTAGTGGAAGAACATTATTAGGTGAATTAAAACGACGACGAGAAGATACAATTGTTGATATTAGTCTTGAATCAATGAAATATAATGGAGGTAATTTCGTTTATATATTTATGTCACTTACCAAACTTTTTCTTATTTATATATGTCAATGTAAACAGCTATCTAAATTAGTTAAATTCCATTCTCAAGAGAAGAAAAACAAGTCTCATTTCTTTTATACTATCATCGATAAATTCATCCATTAATTGTAAACGACATATCTAACCGAATTTCATTGCCATTAATGGCATATATATATATATCTTTATGTTGAGCTTTTTAAAGAGAGGAAGAGAGAAATATGAAAAGAAAGATTGATAATTGATCAGCATTTTTTTTTTTTGCTTTTTTCTTTCTTTGAGTATGTCTTATTCTTAGCTATACCATTTCGTCAATTACAAAGACCTGATCGTTTACCACGACAAGGATCCCGTCAAAGTGAATGTGACGGTTCATTGCTTGGTGATTTCATGTCGAATACATCGCAACCAATTACATCCACTACTTTACATCCAAATGTTGAAAACCAAAAAAAAATGCCTACATCTACAATATCAACAAATATTACCAATCCAACTGATTTAGCATCAGTTACAGTTTCAAGTCCTTTAACAAATATAAGTAATAGAAATCTAAATATAATATAATATTTCCTTAACTTTATTCCTTGTTTTACAGATGAAGCAAAAAATGATGAACGTGCAACACGAAAAGAATGTTATCGTTTAGGAAGACGTAAATTACTTTTTGAAAAACGTCGTAAAGCATCAGATTATGCTTTATTATCTGCTATGATTGGTCTTATATTCATGGTGCTTGAACAAGAATTAACAATGGCTAAAGTTTATGACAAGGTAAAAATGATTAATTACAGCTAAAGGATATAATATATATTCTAAAGAGATTAAAAAAAATGATTCGCTACTGAATACATATAAGTGATCTTTGATTTGCTTTCAAAAGAGCACTTGAAGTGTTCGCCTTTTTTTCTATATAGATATATATAAATATATATAAATGAAAAGCAACCTTCATCGCATTTGTACTTTCTCAATAGGGCTTTTTTTCAAATTAAAAATAGAGAGAATAAAGAATGTGAAGTATTTACATTCAACATAAAACATGAATCTATGGAAGAATGTAATTTATAAATCTTCTTCCAAGAAGATTTATTATGCAGGAAACATTTGAATAGAGAGAAACACTAATGTCTTATAGTTGTTTTCTTTCTCTATTCTTCATTTCCTTTTCTTTTGCTCAATATATTACACTTTCTTCTTTTATTCTTCTCTAATAGTAAATGCTATAGTTATTCGCTGTAAAAAAACTAACGAAACAAAAAAAACTTAAAATTTTGATGAAATTATTTTTTTTCTTAGAACAATTGGTGCTCATTACTTCTCAAATCATGTATATCTCTATCTACAATATTCTTAGTTGGAGCGATTATTTTCTATCATGCACTTGAAGTTAAAGTAAAAAGAAACAATATTTTTGATTGTAGTTGGTTGAATTATTCTTTTTTTCTTGTACTCATAGTTATTTATGATTGATAATTGTTTGGAAGATTGGCGAATAGCTATGACATTTCAACGTGTACTTCAAATAGGTTTAGAAGTAACAAGTAAAATAAGAAAATTCTTCTGATATTAAAATATAATAATCATATTGAAAATATTTAGTATGTGCTATTCATCCAATACCAGGTAGTTTTGAATTTGACTGGACAACACATATGTCAAATAAAGCCGATTATCATTTTCAATTAAAAACAGTTCGTGTCTATATTGATATATTACTTTCATTACCAATGTTCTTTCGACTATATCTAATATGTCGTGTAATGCTTTTACATAGCAAATTATTTACAGGTTTAATATGATTATTATTTTTTGATAAATCAAAATAAATTTTCTTTTTCGTTATTATTATTATTATTGAATAGATGCATCATCAAGAAGTATTGGAGCTTTTAATCGAATTAAATTTAATACAACATTTGTATTGAAAACATTAATGACAATATGTCCAGGAACAGTTTTACTTGTTTTTATTCTTTCACTTTTTATTATTGCGAGTTGGACATTGAGAGCATGTGAAAGGTAAAATAAACTTTAAAATCGATTTGTTTTCTGCAATAATTTTCAATGAAGTTCTTTCAATGAATTTCTTAGCCACCATGATCCAAAACATCATGGAAATCTTCTGAATTCAATGTGGCTTGTTGCTATTACCTTTCTAGCTATTGGCTATGGAGATTTAGTACCAAATACTTATTGTGGTCGAGCAATTTGTGTTGCATCCGGTGTAATGGTATGATATAGAATTTATATACTTGAATCTTTTGAGATATTCACACATATAAATAAAATATAGATCATATACATGAATATAAAATTCTTATTTCTTCTTAATAGAAATATACAAATGCACGCACAAATAGTATTCTCACGTGTATTTCCATAGATAATCTCAAGTCGTTCTTTCTTTCTATAAGATATATAATACTTAAATAAGCATGAAAGTATCTAGCCGCTTGTTTTTATATATATGCGTATGATAGATGAACCTTTTTCAAATTCTCTATGTCGATATATCATAGATCATCATATACACTTCAAGAGCACGTAGGCGATAAAATATAAAAAAAATATTTTCTTTATAAGAATGCACGTATATATTTTCTATGCAATCTCATGAATTTTTAAGCATAAATAAAACGTAGTTCATCGAGTTTAAAAAATGTAAATACGAATTTTTTGTTTCTTTAGGGTGTATGTTGTACAGCTACAATGGTTGCTGTACTTGCTCGTAAATTAGAATTAACACGAGCGGAAAAACATGTTCATAATTTTATGATGGATACTCAATTAACAAAACGAGTATGTTCATTTTATGTTAATTATCATGTTATTATCATAATCAAATTTAGTTAAAAAATGCTGCTGCCAATGTTTTACGTGAAACATGGCTTATTTATAAATATACAAAACTAGTAAAATATATAAATACATCTAAAGTACGTACACATCAACGAAAATTTCTTCATGCTATTCATAGGTAAATATGATAAAAAATAATTTATTTAATTTCAAAAAAAGTAAAAAAAATATTATTTTTTAGTTTAAGAAAAGTTAAATTAGATCAAAGAAAATTAAATGATAATATTAATGCTGTATCAAGTATAACACGCGTAAGTAAAAAACAAATTAGATCAATTCAAAAAATATGAAAATTTTATTTTAGCTTCAATCATCTATATATGATCTTGTATCACAAATGCTTACTAATCAAACTGTACTTGAAACGAAATTTCAAGATTTAGATACTAGAGTAACATCTTTACAAGTAAGAATTTTGTAACATGAAACTAGAGACATATTAAACAAATAGTTCAATCAGATAATTGCCATTGACTAGGAAGAAATGCTTTTTTTTTGTTTACATCGTATTCAACTATAATAGACAGCTTTCTTTTTTTAGACACAAATTGAAAATTTACCAAATATAATAGCATCGACAGTTAGTGAACAAAATAATTGTTTGTGGCAACGTTTAGAATCTCATGTTCAAAGACAATTAACTATGATACCACAACCATTACCAATAATATCCGTGACTTGTCCTCCTCAACGGCAAAATACTGTGTGATGTAGTTTTTGTTTTTGCTTTTTATTTTTCTTGTTTGAAATCTGGTGCTTTATGAAAACAAAATTCTTTTACAATACAAAGATTTCGGTTTTGGCGATTATGTAATACAATCAATTGCTCAATAATTCAATTCACACATAGAGCAGAAGACATAAAACAATTTTTATTTTCATCATATGTTTATTTCATATATATGTTGTTTGTTTTTGTCGATGTTGTTCTATTTTTTTTTTCGTATTGTTAATAATAATAAAGTGATATACATTCTTAGACTATATGAAATCTTTAATCGATGTAAATATTCTTGTGTGTTTATATATATATATATATACTGGCGTTTTTATTTTACATAAAGAGTTTTTTTTGACTGAACAAACGCAATATGGAAAATGCTTATGTTTTGTTAATGTTTTTTTATTGTACTTAATGAAGAAATTATTTTGTTTATATATATACTTATGTATTGTTTATATGAATAATAAACGTATGTCGAATAATATACTCCTTTATATCAATAAAAAGTAGAAACTGCGAGAGAGAGCAATCAGTATATTTTGGTATGGATTAAATATGTATATTCGTGATACAAAAATATGTTAATCGCATTAGTGCAATAGTGCATTTCGATATTTTTAATCTTTATGTACCTTATACATCAAGTAGAGACGTGTAGGGTAAGTATTTTCTATACCCTGACCCTACCCTATGAAAATTTCTTTCACCCTAACTCAGTGGCGGATTTAGGGGAGGGCGACGGGTGTGATCGCCCCCTTTTCCGAATTTATTTTTGATTTTTTACAGCAAAAATGAACGAAAAAATAGGTTCACACTACTTCGATTGGACTCAACAAATAGCTTTTAGCCAAAATCGCCCCCCCTCCCCAGGTATGGCCCCCACTTCCAAAATCCTAGATCCGCCGCTGCCCTAACCGTACCCTACCCTAGTAATTGAAATTTTTTAATCAAAGAATGAGTATGCAAGAGAAAGATGTGGTTCTGTAATGATATATCTAGTTAAAAAAACTTACTCTAGAGCTGCACTACTCTAAGATCCTCTTACCCTACCCTGCACATCTCTAACATCAAGTTAAACGATTCTATTTCTATTAATAGAACGAAAGGAATACATATGAATTGTTATTACATATTTTAGTAGGATTTCATAAAGTAATCAGGTGACCAAAAAAGAAAAAATACGTTCTAGTTCTTCTTTTTTCCTTTATTTATCAAAATCAAAGAGCAGAAAACTTAATGAAATAACAAAAAAAACGACTAAAGAAAAAGGAAAAACAAATCAACAAAAGAGGAGTGTATACATTTAACTGTATACTTTATCATCCTCAAAAACAAGAAAAGTATCCCACCACATACACACACACATACAACAATCACATACTGTTTTGTCTATGAATAACTGAGAACAAAACCGGTGATTTTAACATAAACAAAAAAAAACAAAAATCGAATATTGTTTTATCTTTATCAACTATTAGAATTTGAATTTGATGACATTGTTGAGACATCCGATACGGATTGTTCAAATTGATTAGTTAACAAAGAAGTAGTAGGAGTATTAACTGTTATTGTAGGATCGTTACTCATCAATATTTGTTGTTGTTGACTATTGATTATTTTTTGAATATCACCATTAACAGGACGTGACTAAATAAAAATAGGAAAAATATTTAAATTCAACAAATTTGTTTTTTGAATTTATTACGTTTCCATAACGTTTTGTTAATTGAATAAATGGTGTATTATCATAATGATAACCAGTTACAATTGCTTTGAAACATGAGCCAAGTATTGTTGTTTTAACTGATTCAATGGATTCAGGTGTAAAATCCTCTTGATCTAAAATTAACAGATAGTTCAATAGATATATAGAATTGAACTCTCATTTCGGTTGTCAATGACATACGGAATTACGAATAATCTCAGTCATATTCACTTCTACTTAGATATAATATTGAAATCAGCCACTTACTATCTGCTGGTACAACATTGTCCAAATATACTTCAACTGCTTGAAATGGAATAATCATAAAATCTTGTCTATAAATAATAATAAAATTTTATCTAATAAAAAAAGAAACTCTCATTTAATCTACCTGAGAACACGTAATGAGCTTGCAGGTATATAAAGATAACCTCCATAATCAAGAAATTTAATCATAGCCATATCATCATTACTGTTATATACAGTAATCAATGCTCGAAACCAGCCAGCTTGCGTTGGTGCTGCACATATTACACCAGCTGTATTAAATATAAAAATAAAATATTATATATTTATACTTTTTTTAAATAAATCATACGTTGAATAGGTCGAGGTAAAACCGGTGTCATTTCTGTATGATGATAGAAAACTGACATTGAATTATCGAGACGAGTAAGTTCAGGATAAGATGGATGTAAGATCTGTTGTACAAATATATGATTACATGAAACAACACTTGTAACAAGAACTTCTGTTGGTATTCCATCGGGTAAAGAAAGCTTTAAAAAAAAAAAAGAAAATAATAATATTTGAAGTTTCGTTTTTCTTTTAGTTTTCTGATTTATACTTGAGCAACTGCTGAAGGAATTGGTATACATTCAGGTGCACGTTGACGTAAAATAATCTTTTTATTAATAGGTTTAAATGCGACTTGAGGATAACGTTCAGGTGGAAAACGTTTTGCTATTAATTCAATTGCTCGTTCAATATCAACACGTCGACCTAAATTTCAAATGGATATTTAATAAAAGAAAAATACCAAAATATAAACTACATACCATGTAAAGCAACAACTTGTTTTTCATAAGAAACAGCATCATCTCGTACAACTAAATCAACTTGAGTCATCTGACGTATGTAATCAACATGAACACCTTGTCGACCAATAAGACGACCACAAAGATCAATAGGAAAATGAAATTCATAAATTATTATTTCATGTTCTTTTGTTTCCTATAAATACAAATAAATAAAATGATTCGTAAAATTGCTAGAGAAAAATTCAGTAATCCCTCTTTAATGTAAAACTATCTGTGAGATCGCACATATGATATAGCTCTAGGATAGGAAGTAGGAAGAAAATATAGAGAAATTTCTCATATATAATGTTTTATATTATACATAAGAGGGAGAGATAGTGTAGGAGATGATAAGACAATACAGAAATTTCTAAGCTTCATGTCTTCGCTGCACGCTTAATATACGTCGCTTCTATTTGATAAACTATACCATCTTCCGCAGTGAGTACGGAGTTCCCTGAAAGTTTCTTCAGTTGCTTCACGAGTTATGTAACCTGTCCTCTATTTCGTATATGTAGTATGATGTCTAAGAACTTCGGAAAGTTGTAAAGCGTCTTCGTATAGTTGGTGGTATGGATGATTCGATATAGATTTTTCGAAAAATGCGTTATAATTAATTAATGTATTATTGTATGAACCCTTATGTGGCAATGGATGGTGGTCGAAAATCTGAACACTGCTGTTGAACTTATTGACTAGTTCAATTATTTTGCTAATTAAATATTCTATTATGTTTAAAAGAAGATAAAAACAATAAAGTAAGAAAAGATTAGGTGAAATACGAGACGACTAAAGTCTATCTAATGTATACTATAATTACAAATCATTATTCTTTCATTCTATGCATCAGCTGCTTTATTTGAAATACACGCACAGTTGACACCCTAGCCTTTTTATCTACCTTTTCATTAGACTCGATTGGAAGATTACTAATCGATGGTGAATTAATATCTTCTTCAAATGATTGTTGCTGTTGTGGTGATTGTTGTTGTTGTTGTTTATTCTCCTTGTCCGTCATTTTAGTTTTTTGTTTAATCGAAGCAGATGATGATGGTTTTATAATAGCACTTGATTTTGAGCTTGAATTTTGATTTTTCATCTAGAAAAAAAAAGATTTATTACATAGATAAGAAAATTTTAAAACTCAAGCTTCTATATTATTAGTAAATAATAGATCGAAGAGTCTAAAGTAAAATTATATGTTTATTCTACAATAGTATTTGTATGAATAAAATGTAATAGTTCAGCTATTTAAATATATGATGAATCTTTTCGCACACTTATTATTTCTGTTACATAAAATATTCTAAATAACGAAATGTCCTTGAAAAGCTGGAAGCGGTCATTTTATTTTAAAAAAAACGTAATCGTAAAGTAGTAGTCATGTCGATCTATTCTATTCGATATTCTCATGTAGAAATTTTGTATAAATCATAGAATGAAAAAAAAATGATACTTTTCACGTGATTATGAGAAAAAGCGGAAGAATTTAAAAAAATTAATCACTATGCTTTTTCTTTTCGAGCGTTATGTAAATGCACGTTACTCCATCGTCTATGATCGATTGTTATTCTTTAGTGTAGATGATAGAAGAAGGATGAATAAACTTTTTTTTTATTTCTATAGGCTAATTTCAATAACCAATAGAAAAAATTCTACTAAATTCAAATGCATTTGTAGATTATATAAGAAACCATTAATATATTTTCCAATCCTCAATATAACTATTTGTTAATTTAATATCACTGAGATTTTTAATTGAACAAATAAATAACTGGTTCAGAATAATCGACATCACATCATACCGATTGACGATCGTTCGTTTTTTTATACATGATTTTTTATTTTTAATACATATGAATTAATACAATGACAACGTCCAATCTACAAAAATTAGTCGGAGCAAGTATGAAGAATTCAATATGTTTTGTTTTCTTCGTTTTTTTCTTATTAATATTAATCTATATTTAGAATTAATCAATGAAATGTTACGATGTGATTCCGTTCGACAAAAAGAACGGAATGATTGGAAAGTTCTTGTTATGGATCGTTTAGCAACAAGAATTATATCTGCATCATGTAAAATGCATGATATTATGTCCGAAGGGATTACAAGTAAAAATTCCTTGTTTTTGGTTTTATAAATATTAATATAAATTTGATTTTAGTTGTTGAAGATATTATGAAAAAACGTGAACCATTAGGAATGCTTGAAGCTGTTTATTTCGTTCAACCTACGGAAAGAGTATGTCGAAAAAAACAACCTAACCATTTTTTTTTACATATTTTCTTTCAGTCCGTCAACGAACTTATCAATGATTTTGATAAAGCAAATGCATTAGTACCAAAATATAAAGCGGCACATGTATTCTTTACTGAAGGTAGATTATCTCTTTCGTTTGATAAAGAAATAAACAAGGGAGAATTTCGATATATATATATAATTATAACTCTAGCTAATACATTAATCTAATATCCTGCGATAAAATATTCTCGTTTATAATGAACGCATGGTTGAAGCATTTAGAAAACATCTTATTTTGAATTTTTTCGACATGATAAAAATTATATGTCAAAGAAAGGAAAGATATAATTGTATACGTTGTCAAATAAAATGACATCTACAGTAGAATAAAAGCTGTCATTATATATATATATATATAATGATATTAAATTCAGTCTATAATTTATTACATAGTAATTATATTTCGGAGTTTTTTAATTGTCAAGTAAAGTATTAGTTCGATTTATATTCAACGATACTTTTATAATTTAGTTTACATAACGAATAGTATATTTTAAGATTCTTTTTTCTCAAAAATGTAAATATGTTAGATCAAGTTTCTACGTAATTTTTACGTTTAATTATACTATGTCAAAACGAATCTAATTCAACCGGATTTAATCATTTATCGAAACGGAAATTTATTCTGAGCTTTTATATTGTTTTCGCTTCAGTACATCTCTAATTAGAGTAGAAATTTAGGTTATAATCTTACAAAAGTAGTCTTGTTAACCTAGAAATTATTATATTACTTCATAATGTAAATTAATTTTGTTTCTTCTCTAGCATGTAATTCTGAATTATTTACAAAATTAACTCAATCAAAATGTGCAAAATATATCAAAACATTACGAGAAGTTAATATTGCATTCTTACCATATGAACGTCAGGTAATTCTAAATTTTATTTTTACTTTATAATCTTATTTATTATTATATAGGTTTTTACACTTGATTCACCTGATACATTTTTTATTTCATATGATCCATCACAATCTAGTGCACGGGCTCCACATTTAGATGTCATTGCTGAACAAATAGCAACATTATGTGCAACACTTGGTGAATATCCAACAATACGTTATCGAAGTGAAAATGAAAAATTACTTGAATTTGCTCATGCTGTTCAACAAAAACTTAATCAATATAAAGCTGATGATGCAACAATGGGCGAAGTAATTAAATCAACTGAATATACATATATCGATATTCTGTTTTTTTTTTGTTATAATAGGGTGGTGATAAAGCCAAATCAGTTTTACTTATACTCGATCGAGGTTTTGATGCTGTATCACCATTACTTCACGAACTTACATTCCAAGCAATGGCACATGATTTATTAAAAATTGAAAATGATGTTTTCGAGTATGTATTATAGAAATAAATTTTTACGAAATTTATTATTCTTGTCTTTAAACTAATTAGAAATGAAGTTCAAACACCTGGTAGCGATCCAAAAGTAAATTCTGGACAAAAACAAAAAGTTTTATTAGATGAAAATGATGATCTATGGACTGAACTTCGTCATCAACATATAGCTGTTGTTACACAGTATTTTAAAAAATTTCTACGTTCTATCAAATTTCATTTTTATATTTCAAAGGAGTATAACAAAAAAAATCAAAGATTTTGCAATTCAAAAACGTGTTAAAGATTCTGATAAAGGTGAACGTACAACAATGAAAGATCTCTCGTATGTTTATTTACAAAATTTTTGTTTATTTATTTCTATATATATTTGAATTTAGAATCATGATTAAAAAAATGCCACAATATCAAAAAGAATTAAATGCATATGCACTTCATTTTAATATTGCTGAACAATGCATGAATGCATATAATAGAGATTCAGGAGAAAAATTATGTTCGGTTGAACAGGTAAAAAAAAAACTAAAGAATTGTTTTTTTGATACGGAAATGAAAAGGCTATAATTTCTTCTTTTTACCCCCTCTATAAAAAGAAAAAAATATATTTTTAGTTTTATAGAAAGGCGAATATTACTTCCGGCAATGTAGAGTAAAAAATTTGAATAATTATCTTTAATTATAAAGGTAGAAAGCTTTAAAAAAAATTTGTCCGGAAAAAGAATGACAAACTAATCGTCTATGGATGATGTTAATACCTTTTTGATTACGAATTATAATAGAGAGAGAGAGAGAGAGATATTTATTTTGTTATTTGATTGATAATAAAAATATTAAATTTATATTTTTTGATCACTGAAAATTTCATTATTTTAAAGTGAAAAAAAAACGGAAGTAGATTTGATGTTATTTGTATTATGCAAAAACAAAATTATTCCGGCTGTAATCCGTCAGCTTAGTTTTTGAGCTTAAGAAAGACGGCGCCGTAAAGCCGTCAGTTTACGATGCTGATTTCCTCAATCTATTCACAAGACTAATGGAAATTATGTGTAGTTATTAATTTCAATTGTTTTACAACATAATCTATACCATTAATTATAAATAAATCTAAAACAAAAAAAGAAGACAACGATAATATAAGGAATTACTAGTTTTTAATGGATTTTCATTGATCGTCCGATTTCGTTTGATCTTCGTCCTAGTGTAATAAATTAAATCACAATAGAAAGTACGGACAACGAGCTTTGATCAAGTAAATAACATTAGTATACTTCATTTCCCTCACAGTTATTTCCGATATATCTAACTATTTAAAAACAAGTAATAACTATTATTTCTTTTAAGAATTTGGCTATGGGTACTGATGCTGAAGGTGATCGTATAAAAGATCATATGCGTAATATTGTTCCATTATTACTTGATACTGTTATTGCAATCGAAGATAAATTACGTATTATTATGCTATATATTTTACATAAAAATGGTAATTATTTTAATTTAATTTTATGATTTATTTGAGATACACAAAAAATAAAACTTGATAGATAAAAAAATAATAAACATCTTAATTTAGGATATTGTAATAACCCACCAGATGCATACGGTAAAAATAACTAAATCTCACTGCTAGTTTGACTTTGGGGATTTTTTTCCTACGATTAATACTGATTAATATAAAAAAAATTTTATTGAATATCACAAATAAAAACTAACAAATTTTGTTTTTTCTTCATCAAGGTATTACGGAAGAAAATCTCGATAAATTATTAAGTCATGCATTAATTCCAACAGAAAAAAAAGCAATAATATCAAATATGCAACATTTAAATTTACAAATTATTCAAGATCAAAGTCGAGTAAGTTAGAAAAATCCATTCATTTTTCTATATATGAACACTCCTCCAGCGTGAAAGTGGAGTATCAGCCGATTTAGGGAGAGCAACTGCCATGCATATGGCTACAGAATTATTCATAAAACCGTCAGGGGTGATTGAATATATTTCTTTTACTCTGAGCATGACTAAATATATCTTCTTCAAAATATATACCTATATCATTTTTTTTACTTCTTCTTCTTCGTTTTTTTTTCGTCTGTGTAAGCATGAAAGATATTTTTATGCATGTTTATAAAAGGCATATTTAAATATATATAAATGATTTTATTAAGGCTGGCCGACGAAAAAACATTCCACAACCAAGAAAAGAACGTACAGAAACAACATATACTAATTCAAGATGGACACCATATGTCAAAGATATTATGGAGGTAATAAAGAATTATTTTTTCTTTTTTTGGAAATTTTTATTTTATAACATTTTAGGATATTATTGATGAAAAATTGGATTCAAGACAATTTCCATTAATAGGTGGTCTAAGAAATGTTTCAGCAAATTATTCTGCTCAAAGGTAAATTTGTATTTTATCAATATTTATTTTCACTAATTCTATTTTAGTTCTCGAGAATTTGGTGGTTGGATGCAAAATCGTAAAGGTGCAGTTCGATCAGGTCCACGTTTAATTGTCTTTATTCTTGGTGGTGTTAGTTATAGTGAACTTCGTTGTGCTTACGAAGTAACACAAAGTAATACGAAAAAATGGGAAGTATTCATTGGTAGTGATCATACAGTAACTCCAAGACAATTTCTACGCGATCTTGAAATGAAACCAAGACAAGAAGATGAACAGTAGAAACATGCAAATCATCAGATTTTCACGTAATTCCGTGTTTATTATTATTAATATTACGTTTCTTTCTTTCCATAAAACAACACAACATTTTTATTCTTTATTGTCTTGTTCTCCTATTTATAATCTTGTACACAGAGCTTCTTGTTTGTTTGTGTAGCTTGCTCGACGCGCAATATTTTTATTTCTATCTTTCGGAAAATTAACCAAATATATATCTTAATATATTCATACGTCAAACTAATCTTGTGCAATCTATATATTTGTCTATGTTGTAGAACGCGCGCGTATATACATAAAAATCAAACTTTTGTCTTAAAGCGAACAGTGTTTCCTTTTTCTCTGTTAGTGTATTCGTGTACCTATATTTGCCTCTATTTATTTATATGCATCTTCGTATTTTTTTTCTCTTTTTCTCTTTTGCTTATGCACAGCAAATGTATGTGTTCTAGAGATGAATTAATCAAATAAAAAATTAATCACGATATAATTAATTTGTCTTTATATTTGTTCATAAGAAGAATTTGTTTATATGCATCAATGATTTAAAAATAGAATTGTTCAACGATAGATAATATGATTATGATTCGAAGCGATTAGGAAAATATTTTTCTTTCTATTGATTTGATTATAAACGAATATAGGATAGATTAATATAACGAAAACATTTTGGAATTCTTTTGGAAAAAACCTGAAAACAATTGACTTTAATACATAGTTGAATAACGATATCGAGATGTCTCAATGATTATTTTCCTAATTTAATTATATACGGACTAAGAAATGTTGTCTTGGGTCGTTGAGTCTTCAATATTTTGAAACGACAATCAAATTACGATTCTATTAGAATTGAATAAGTAACTTCATCTATTACAAACTAACAGTTATGACTTTAAAACTATTTCTAACGGAAGAAATAAAAATGTATATATCTATCGGTTTATTCAATTTTTTATTTTTAGAAATATTTATTCACATAAACAAATCAAAGATCTCAGGTATGATCAAAAACATTTAATTAATTGATTGTATATGATTTTCAAATTTAACGCTTAATAAATGAGTTAAATATAGATAAATATGAATTAGTTGAAACATTAAAAAATTAGTAAAAAATTTCATTGATTTATTTCTATGTTGATTATAATCAATAATAAACATGATATTAAAAGTAGCAATAAAAAGACCAATAAATGCGATATAATTAAAGTAACTTGTATGAAATTCGATTCGAAAAAAAATATTCATAGAAAATAGAAGATAACAAATAAAAGAACATATAAACAGAATGGAAAATATATGAGATTGCATCGCATAAAATGGATATTCAGTAATACCGATCATAAATACAAAACATGAATAAATGATCAAATATGGTATTGTAATATAGTAACCTAAATAAATATATCTTAGAGTAAAAATTAGAATATCATCAATTTCGACTATAAAAATTGATTACAAACCAGTAAGGGAAATAGGTAAAAGACTAGTAGGGAACCACCGGAGGTATCAAAAAGCTTTTGAGGTGTAGTTTTGCCCACAAGTAGGGGATGCATAGACTAGAAAAAGCCTAAAAGTTGGTGTTTGACTGAGATATCGACTATTTATGATGGTTTTCCTATAGAACCCTACCTGTGTGGTAAAATCAAAGTTTCGAATTTAGACCTGAAACTTCGTCCGCACTAACACCTCAACGAGACAAGCTTGCTTACAAAATTTCAGATCTAAATTCGGAACTTTGATTTTACCATACTAGTAGGATTCTATAGGAAAACTACCATAAATAGTCTATGCATCCCCTACTTGTGGGCAAAATTACAGCTCAAAAGCTTTTTGATACCTCGGGTGGTTCCTTTGTCAGTCTTAGTCTTTTAACTATTTCCCTTACTGGTTTTTAACCAAGTTTTATAGTCGAAACTGACAATATTCTGATTTTGTCCGGACAAATTCTAACCTTCATCGATTGTATAATCTTTATATGTATAATTAATACTTATACTAAGTGTAATAATTAATAAAATGGAAATAATAATTCTAGTCGTTTGTTCGTTTATTAATATATTTATAATTATTAGACAAAATGAAAATAACATTGCAATGAAATTTGATAATTTCGATTGAAATTTTTCGAAAATTTTAAAAATAAATTTGGTTTCATTTTGTAAATAAACTAAAGTAAAAATGAGTAGAAGTTGAAGACTAGCTATACCAAATATAAGAAAAATATTCTCCATAAATAAACTTTCGAAATAATTATTAACCACTTTAGAAAAAAAAAGCGCTATTATTTATTTGCTTAACAACAAACAAATGAAAAAATAATAATAATAATAATAATAGAATTCATTCCCAAAGAAAAACAAAATTCAACACACACACACACAGATGAAAGCAGAAAAAGAAAAGAAAAGAAAAGAAGGCATTCGATTTATATCACAAATAAAAAATCTTTTTATTTATGCATGATAATCTCCTGATGTTGGTAAAACAATATGTTGTAATTCATCATGTATTGATGAAATAATATTTTTTGTATTTAAAACACTTCGTTTAGCCATGATATATTCATCTCGATAGTCAGTTCTTTTTGATAAATCATTATTTATATCGGGTTCATCCCAAGCTATACGTGTTTGTCCTCGATTTTTTGATATCGAATCAATTGAAACACCATCATTATGAAATTTATGTTGTCGTTGATCAATATGACCACCATTATGACGCATTATTGCTTCATGATCAGTTTCAAGACGAGTTTTAGCTATTCGTTTTTGATTAGCAAATGTATCTGTTGCTGTAGCTGAACGATCAGCTATATTTGAATCATCATAAAATAGTGGAGGATTTGAACGAGAAGTATATTGATGAGAATTTGGATCTTTTATATCATATTTTGGTATTAATTCAACTGGTTTTAAACGTGATATATCATGTGCACGATCACCTGCTTCATACGGATTATAACGTAGACGAAGTAGGGAAGGATCAGGACGTTCAGATACTTGAGGAATAACAGGTATATGAGGAATTTGTTGTTGATTATTATTGTTTATGGGAAGAATTTTTGGTTCGTCAGATGTTGATGGAAGACGACGACGTTGACGACGACGTTTTTGTCGTTCAGCATCACTATCAGGATTATAAATTTCTTCACTATCAGCTTTATCAAGAACTTCATCTAATAAACGATGTAATTTCGTACGTCCAGCTTCAACTTCTGGTGAATGTAATGTACGATGAGATGAATGAGATGAAAGAATTTCATTTGCTGGTGGAGTATTAGCATTTGAACGATCATACTCAAAAGCTCGATTATCATGTTGATGTTGGCCTGAACGATGAGTACCTAAGAAACAAAAAGACATAATAGATTGAATTTAGTACTTAATAATATGAAGAGAGAAAACTTAGAATAAAAGAATTATACTCAGATTCAAGTAGTCTGATAACAAAAAAAGAAGCCTTTATCATTTATCTTGAAATTTTAGATTATAAAATGAGTTCTGTACTTATATTTGGTGCTGCTTGTCTTGATTACATAGCTCAAGTTAATCATTTTCCTCAACTAGATGAAAAACTACGTACAAATTCTTTAACGATATGTGGTGGTGGTAATGCTGCTAATACGGCTACATGTCTAAGTCGTTTAGATATAAAATTAAAACTTCTAACAAAAATTGGTAATGATTTAAATGGTGAAAAAATTCTTCGAGATTTTCAGGAAGAAAAAAATATTGATACAACATTAATTCTTATTCAATCATTAACAACAAGTCCGTTGACATATATTATTGTTGATAAAGAAACAAATACTCGTACATGTTTATATAGTGCAAATAATGAACAAATTCTTCTGAATGATATTAATTCAAATTGTTTAAATGAAATAAATTTTATTCATTTTGATAGTCGTTCAACTGAAGCTGCTGTCTATTTGGCAAATTTAGCTAAAGAAAAATCTATTCTATGTTCACTTGATCTCGAACGTGATAGACCTTATTTAAATGAATTAATTCCATTAATGGACTATATCATAACAACAGAAAATTATTCACAGAATGTTTGTAAGGATTCATCCTATATACAAACAGCAAAACGTTTTCTTCTTCATACTTGTCAATTTGTTATAATAACATGTGGAAAAAATGGAAGTATACTTATTGAAAAATTAAAGAAAAATTCATTATCTCAAATAAAGAAATCGAATCCGAATGAAAGTATAGTTACACAAGAAATTTGTCAATTAGATGGAGAAGATTTTCTTCTATGGAAATGTACAGCATGGCCTATAGAATTACAGGATATTATCGATACAACAGGTAGTGGTGATGCATTTATTGGTGGAATTATTTATGGACTTTTAAGAAGAAAAGATCTATGGTCAAAAGATCAATTACTTCGGTTTGCTTCTTATATAGCTATGTGTAAACTAAAAGGTATCGGAGCACGTTCTTCATTACCATATATTTCAGAGATTGATATGAATTTATTTCATTAATAAAGTACTTACTTGATACAGATGTATTTTGATGTTCACTCGGAGATGACTAAACAGACGAAAAAAATTTTAAACTCTTTTTCTTCAATAAAATATTAATTTACTTGAAATTTTTCGTCTAAACGAAGTTTATTTCGCCAACGTTCAGCATCATTTTGATGACGTATTTCATTCATTGGTATATCATTCGATATTGGATATTGTGGAAGATGAGTTAGACTGTCGTCAGATTCAGCAGATGTTAAACGATGGAAAGATGTATTAGCACCAACTAATGGATTATTTTGAGTTAATGAATGAATATTTTTTTCAGTTGATGCCTTCGGATTTATTACACCGTTTGATATCGTTGCATTATTCTAAATGGTATGTAGCTTGATTTAGTTGTTAAGGACACATATATATTTCTTTATTGAAATAAAAACAATCGAAAGAATTTAAATGCACACTTTAACTCAAGTAGGAATGTCGTTATTTATGTTTTCTTTTGGTCAATACTTTACAAAAGAAAAAAAAAATCCAGTACAATAATCATAACCCTGAAAGAAAATTACACGAGTGCTTATGTTTTCAAGTACCTTTTACTGACACCTTATGTATTTATGAACATAGGAGATTACATTTCAAGCTTTGAATCTTTTCTGAAATAACTTACCGTTGATCGAGCTGATAATGGCACATTATGAAGAGGCTAGAAAGAAAAAGAAGTATTTTTAAAATAACTAATCGATCATATATATATACTTTTCCTAATGGTCGATTTGTTTGTCTTGGTCGACATTTATAATGAAGATAACAAAATATAAAGATAAGTAATAGAGTAAAAGCAACTGGTCCAAGAACAGCACCAATAATCCATAATTTTTTATCGGACGTTGGATTTGTTGGATTGTCAATACTCGTACTTTTGATTAAATCACCATCATAGTCAAAACCAAGTATATTACTAATTTGTGTTCGTGATAATGTATCTGTAGCTGCTTTAACTTGAATAGGTGGAACTAATTGATTTGAATTGCATGAATCAAGTACAGTATAATTCGTTTGATATCGTCTTGGTACACTATTATTTGAAATCTAGATTAATATAAGAAATAATGTATTAAGAAAAACGCGTTTTTTTCTATATAGTCTTTTGTACTTGAGTTATATTTGAAACAAGATTAACATCATAACCATCTGAACATGATTGACGTTTCATACGTATTCTAGTTTGTGTACAATTAGAAGAAGATGGATGCGATGCACAATAAAAAGCGAAATTAATGATTTGAACAAATTTTTGACGAATTGATTCGCGAGTATTAATATCATTTGGATTAAATGTTTGACTTACTGGTACCATAAAAACTAATATAAACTAATATATATTTTTATGTCCATTATTTAAATATATATCAACAAACCTGTAGATATTACATATGGTAATGCTACTGTCGTTGCTGTTGTTGTTTGGATAGTAGAAGTAGTTGTATTTGTTATGCCTATTGAAATAGGAGCAAATTACAAGAGGAATTAAAATAAGTTATTTATATTGAACAACATTAATTGTTAAATATTGAAAAGAGTATTTATTTTTTGTTCGATTTTGTTACCTGTAGAAAAAGAAGTCATTGTTGTTTGTGTGTTTACATTTGTAGAACTACTCGGAAGTGTATTAGTGGAGGGAAATAAAGTATTCACAATCGATTGTTCTGAACTTTTTAGTTCAGTTACAACAGTCGTTGTGATTTGACTAGAATATGTTGATATTATAGGTGAAGTTCTTTGAGATTCTGTAGTGATCATTGTTGAAAAAATGGATAGATTATTAGATGTTATACTATTCGAGGAAACAGAAGATGATGATACCATTGAAATTATTGATGTTGGAAATAAGGGTGTTGAACCAGTTGAACTGATTTCAGAGTTATGAGATGGAGTAATATGTTGAGTAGTATCGGTATGTATGGAAGTTAATGTTATTGAACTACTAAGTGACATGGAATTGGTAGGATTAGTGGAAGTTATAGTGTTTATATGTGAAGATGTTTGACTTGAAATAATGTCAGTACTTGTTTGATACGATGTATCTGTATGGAATGTTGAAGAAATATCAGTTTTCGATCCAGAGTTAGTAGAAGATTGTGAAATATGTATTGAATTAGTGCTAGTAGCAATTGTATTGCTTACTAACAATGTTGAAGCAGTGCTTGTGCTTATATGAGAAGAGGTTAATAGAGTTTCAAGAATATTTGTTGATGAATATCCTGAATTGGATGTGTTATTCATACTAGTAGTAATAGTAGTAGTGAATAAAGCTGTTTGATTAATATTTGTACTTGAACTACTTGTAATTTGCGAATGTAATGAAGAGCTTGTAGGTACTGTTACAGTATGTAATGAAGTTAAAGTTTCAGTCGTTGCTATTGAACTAGTATATGTTGTATGAGAGGTGTCATTTTCCGCTAAAATCAAAGAGAAATAATCTGTTTATATTGTTGTTTCAATACAATATCCGTTCTAATTGTTGTTAACCATATATAATTGTTAGTATAATTATAGCGAGTTATAATTTGCTACTATAGTTGAAGGAAAAGAAAACTATTATTTAATAATAAGCACATTCACATATAAGAATAAGCATGATTATAAATAAATACAAAGCATAAGAATAACTAACTCACCATCAGCCCTTTTAACTAAAGAAATTAATAAGAAGAAAAAAAAGAAGTTAGGTAAACTAATTATTAGTATATTATATATCTACATCTACATCTACTTTAATCTAAAGAGAATTTCTTACCTCGTATAATTGTATCAAACTGATCGTTCATGACAGATAATTCTATAAAATACTAATTAAAATTAGAATCAATTTATTTATTTTTACTAACGATAATTCTTCATATTATAAACACTAAATGTATTGGGACCACCACAACAATCTGTATTCATATCGTTTGAACTTTGACTACATTGTCTATTGCATAGAATTGAATTTAATGATGCCGTATTTAATTCATCTCCACAATAACATAAATTACTAATAGAAAGAATAAAAATTAGAAATAGAAGATTTTTTTTTTGATATACCCATCCATAATTCCTGCATAATTATATTTCACAGAACATTGTTTAATACATTCTTTAAGTGAATTAACATCATCCATTTTAATGTTCAATACTTCACTATTAAAACATCCTTGATAACCAATTAAATTATTCTGACAAGTAGAGGCTAAATTGAATCAATGTTATTTTTAGTAAAAATTGGTTTGAAAAATAAACCTGTTTTATATTCATCTAATGAATTAATCACATTATAAACACTATTTCGTTTATTCCCACCACATTTTTCTGATGTTAAACAAAAATGATCACATTCATCATCTGATACTTGACCATATTTTCCATATTGATCATCACAACGACATTCACTACCATATTGTATAGCTGCATAGGAAAAATTTTGTTCATGACATATAAGAATACATTGTTTTGGTGTTAATTGTTCATAATCACCAATAAATATATTCAAATCTCGACTACCAATTTGATCAATAAAACAACCCAAATAATCATTAGAACCTAGAAGAAAATTATTTTAAATTTGGATTAAATTTTTTTATTTTACCATAACTAATCGTTGTTTGAACGATCAAATAATATAATAAATATACTACTTTCATCGTAAATTTCGATCATACCGATAGATACAAAAAGATTTCTCATAAAATTGCATCATTCTAAAAAAAAATATACATTGCCTTTTCTCTATATAAATGTAAACTGTTGTTGTTTCATTCAGTATATATATATATATCAATAATGTAAAATTGATGTAAGCTACATACATAATACAACAATCTTTCGTCTGTCCTTCTCTTCATTTATTGTTACATTAATAGTATATGAAAGCGAAGAGAAGAAAAAAACGAAGAGAAGGACTTTTCTTTTTTCATTTATAATTGCATGATTAAAAACAAAAAATGTAAAGGATTTTCGATTTAGACACGACTAGAGAAAAATTTATTTGTTCAATATTCATTAGAATATTACACATAGTTTTATGAAGGAAAAAAGTGATAAGAAAGAATCTCTATGAATTAAGTGACCTTGATGTACAAAATTGATTGCTTTTCTATTGAGAAAATAATGGGAAAAGAAAACGTGTTAAAGGTTATATACCTTATATGTATAAATGATATGAGATATTTCGTCGATTTTAAAAATGGTACACTCGTGTGAAAAGAAAAACAGAATAGATTACCTGTTAACTGACACGAAGAAAAAAAAGAGAGAGAAGGAGAGAAAGAAATTGATGAGAATTAGATTGTGAAATCTGATCAGTTTCGTGTCAATTATTTTTCTTCGTTTTCAAAAGATTGTGTCATATGAAGAATCATGTTGCGACAAAATATGATGAGATCATATATAGAACTTTTATTTTAATTTATATGTAAATATCTAATAGATTCTTTTTAGAATGAAAAATGAATTCTTATCAAAACGAAGTCATATGAACGTTTTTGTCTAGACAACTACGTTTTAATTAACTGTTATTCTTTAATTATTAATGTGTAGAACATCTATGTAAATATGTGAATGATTTAAAATAATTACTTGTAGAATTTTATAAGATGTTTTAGTTTTTTTGCGGTAGATGATGTGATTCATATATATTCTCATGTTCACCATTTTGCGTTCGCTTTGTTGCCAAGCATTCTCATACAATACATGTAGTTATTCATTCTTCTTGGAAAGTAGCGACATCTGAAACGAGTTAGTATCAATATTTTATGAAATAAAAGAGATCACGCCATTTAACTAAAGATGATCACGCCATTTATAGACGAGATTGAAAAATCATACGATTTATCATGGGTACATCTATATATATATATGCATGTAATTCATTGTAAGACTATGCGATATTTGAAATAATGACGGAAACATTAGTAATAAGACGATCAAACAATGCTGTTCAAAAAGAAGTTTCTTTTTACAATTCATTATTTGAAGATTCAACAACAGTTGAAAAACGTAAAGATCAATATAAAACGTTAGTATCAAATTATTATAGTTTATCAACTGATTTTTTTGAATATGGTTGGGGACAAAGTTTTCATTTTGCTAATCGATTTCATGGTGAAACATTAGCTGAATCATTACAACGACATGAATCTTATTTAGCATTGAAAATGAATGCTAAATCAGGTGATAAATTACTTGATCTTGGTTGTGGTGTTGGAGGACCATTAAGACGTATTGCTCATTTAACTGGAGCACACATAACTGGTGTAACTATTAGTCAATATCAAATTCAACGAGCTAAACAAATCGGTAAGTATATAACATTAGAAAAGAAGGCTTTTAAAACATGCTTATATAACCTAGAGAACGATGTAAATCACACAGGTTGTTCCTGCTCTATGTAACATGAACTTAGATAAACGTTTCAACTCGACAATAAATAGTAGAACATGTTGTTTCATTTTGTATGATCATTTGCAAATAGACTAGTACCACTAATATTTCATTTGCGTTTTGATTACTGATTCTAAGGAGGTACTTGAAAAATCTTCTATTCTAGCGACATATAGGCCTCTGAAAATGACAAATCCTTAGTACTATATATGTAATATATGGTCAAAATTTCACGTTGTTCTACTTAAGTAATTTTGTATTTTTAACTTAGGTGTACCTAGTAATTGTCAATTTATTCAATGTGATTTTATGAAATTACCATTTGAAGATAACACTTTTGATCATATATATACTATTGAAGCTGTGTGTCATGCGCCAGACAAAGTAGGTTTAGTTAGTAAAAATATGATTTGTTTTTATAATGTTTTTAGGCAAAATGTTTTGCTGAAGCAATTCGTGTACTTAAACCAGGTGGTTCTATTGTTGGTTATGATTGGTGTTTAACTAATAAATATGATAGTTTAAATCATGATCATATTGAAACAAAACGTTTAATAGAAGAAGGTGATGGATTACCTGATTTAAAATCTACACAACAATTAGTTGTTGATCTTAAATCTGTTGGTTTTATTGTGCAAGAAAGTAAAATAATTCCAGAAGGTGATATTCCTTGGTATCAACCATTAGTAGGTGGAGATCCATTTTTATCACCAAGTAATTTTCGTACAACATTAGTTGGACGTTGGTTAACACGTAATGGAGTTTGGTTATTAGAAAAAATTGGAATAGCTGCTCAAGGTAGTCTAGCAGCATTATATATACTTGAAACAGCAAGAGAAGGTGTCATACGTGGTGGTATAAGTGATATATTTACACCTTATTTCTTTTTTCATGCTCGAAAATCTTAACTATATATATTGAAGATTTTTATTATTACTAGTATATTAATAAACTCGCTATTTGTAACAATAAACAGTATTTTAAAAATATTCTTCATTCTTTTAATATTCTAAATTGCTTTGATGAGAAGATTGATGACGAAGAGATTGTGTTTCATTATTTTCCATTGGTTTGTATGCATAAAAATGACGTAATATATATAAAGCAGGTGCATATAATATACTACTAAGAAAAATAAGAATATTTAATGTAAAAAAATTCGTTGTATGAACAATTGAACCGGCAACAATGGGACCCATGGCATATGCAACTGAATATGATATATCCGCAATAGCATAAACAGATCTATTACAAATCAAAAATATTCTTTCTAAACACACCCTTCATTTTTCAACATACCCATAAATTGATGTATGACGAACATCAACAATATAAGCAAGTGTTGGTAATAGAGCTGTATCAACTAGAGCATTTCCTAAATTTGAAAAATAATTTTAAAGAAAATCTTTTTTTCTATAAATACCAAAACATATTCCACTTATTGGTATCATCAGTAAACCAAAATTTGTGCAAAATGGTATTAACAAACACATTACACCTTGAAGTACAAGTCCAATAGCAGCTAATAACCATTGATAATTTGGATAATATTCATAAAGTTTAACAGTCAAAAACACACCAGAAATATGTGGAAGAAAGCCAGGTAACCATATTAAACCCATTTGCCATTCAGTTGCATTCATTTCTTGACGCATCCATATTGATATTGTTGGTTCAAGAAATGCTAAACCAACATTTGCCTAAAAAAAGAAAATTCTTATTAAATTAAAAGAAATTCTCTCATATTAACCATAGCTAATGCTCCGGCACATATAGTTATATAAGGATCCATTAATAAACGCCAAATTGGTGTTCCTTTCGGTTTTTTAATTGTAGAATTATTATCAGATTGAACTCGAGTCGAATACATAATAGTAAGAAGAAGTATACCATCAAATAGAGCTATTAAAGCTAAAGTAATAAATGGTACACGTTTACCAAAAAATTGATATAAAAATCCTAAATAGAATATTTAATAAATAAAAATAAATTCATTTCTTTATACAAACCACCAAATGGTGGAGCAACAAGTGAGCCAAATGAAATAAATGCTAGGGCAATTCCTAAGTGTCGACTTCGACTACTTTCATCTTGATATCGATCAGCAATCATAGCTTAAAAAAAAGAAAAATTAAATATTTGTTTTTTATTACAAAATCTTATTTTCGATTTACCTAAACCTGATGTATCGGCAAATGCTGATCCAACACCTTGAAGACTTCTTGCAAAAAATAAAAGACCATATGATTTTCCAAATGCAAATACCATTGTTGATACAAATATAACACTAAGTCCAATACACATTGGTATATCATAACCAATACGATCAATTAATGCACCACTAAATGGATTTATGAGTAATTGAACTATTGCTTTCGAAGCAAATAAAAATCCAACTGCCATATCTTCATTTTGAATATGAGTAGAATATCTATTTGAAATATTCTTTATAATAGTTGTCCATTCTCCAATACTAGTCAAATAATCCGGAATAATTGGAACCTTTAAAAAACAAAGTAACTATTTTAGAATAAAAATTCTCAAAAATAAATCTTTTTTACTTACAATAACCATATATAACATATTATCAAGTAATAATGCAATACATACAATAAGCATAATAAGACGTGCTTGTCTTCCTGGTGCATTGACAATGTTTTGTAATACATTGCATATATTCGATACATAAAATTGAGGTGTACTCGGTATATATTGCATGTTGATTTGTTTTTCTATAAAAGAAAAAAAAACAAACTTTTAAATGATAATATAAATCATTTGTGTGCATCTCTAATATAGAAGGAAGAAAAAATAGATTGTAGAATAGGAAATAAAATTATCATTTGTTTTTGTCAATGGGTATTCACATACAAATACAATATCAATAAATAGATATTCGTCTTTGATTTAATCAAATCAGAGCTATATTATTGTTAATAAATAATTTCTAATACGTACTGTACTATTGCTTTTTGAATATGATTAATTGACAATGTACGACTATCACCTTCATCGCGTAGACTTATTATATAGAATTTTTAATTGAATATGTAAGTTTTCCGGTATTCTCGATAAATAATAGTAGCGGAAAGAATAATAATTCAAACCTCCGATGAATGTACATTTATTATTAAACAAAGGAAATCATTTGAATAAATAGTTGATCATCAAAGAACAAATTTATCATTTATTCATTTGAGGAAAATAATCTTATATTATGCAGCAATCATTATTTACAATAGTGCTCTTGTTTTTATCGTTAAAAACAATAAAGAAATTCTAAGATGAACTATGCGAAGCAATAAATTCTGATCACTAGTTCAAATTTTTCTAGAGGAAGCAATAATCTTTTATTACTTCCTCAATTTTTTTTCTAGGGGAAGCAATTGCACAGTCCTTTAGCTATTATTAGATGGATCATATAATTCTCTAGTCGATTTGTTACACTGTAATTCAATTATATACATGTATCTTTCTTTCTCAATTTTCCTTGGTTTCTTGTGGTCAGTTGAAGTGTTCATCTTATTAACATGATTATTCAGTAATGCCGATATATATTATAGACTATAGACATTTTCTTGAGCAAGTAGTTACACGTATTAGAAATCAAATGATTGAGTTCGTTACAAGTCTAAATATCATCAAATAATACAAAATTCTCTTGTAAGATTTCAAAAATAAATTTCAGATACATCATGTTGAATTTAAAATATATAACATGAAAAAGTAACATTTAATACATGAAGTTATTCAGATAGATAATGAAGTAGTTGTTTCCACAACATATGAATAAGTGATAATGATTGATGCATTGTCAATTTCATCGTTTTGGAACACAATTTACATTTAAAAAGAAACTACAAACAATGCAAGATTCTCATGAAGTTTTGCTAATATCTATATCATTCTATTAAGATTCACATGAATATTCAAAAATGAATTATACAGTTATTGTTTTGGATATATTAGTAAGAAATATGTACTTTTAATTCCATGTTAAGAATACATCAACTTATGACAGAAAAAGTCATTTTTGTCGTTCCGTTCATTTATTAGTCGCCAATCATCGTTGTTCTTTTCTTATACACAAAGACAATTACCAGTTATTGATATTGAAGAGAGTGTATCCCTTATCATGAATTTGTTCTAGAGATGGCTTAAATTAGAATCGGTAGAGCAGTAAATTATGTTGACAGTATTGTGTTTATGACATAGTTGATCACTAGAATGTGAGCGTTACTTCAAGAAAATATCATTTCTCTGGCTATGCAGCAGATATATGCTTTTTTTCAGTGTTCGACTACCGTTCATAGGATCAAAGTTGATAAGTATATAATGGTAAATCTAAGGATTGTATTAGGTATTCTATGGATTTGTATAGGTATTTTATGCTTTTCTTCGGATTAGTTAAGCCCATTCAAAATGTGACTACCCATTGTGTACGATTCGCATCAATGAATTTGTTTTATTCGATCTGTTTCTCGCTAGTCACAATATTATTTCAAAAGTAACCACGTGAAGTTTGTCCTCGCGCAACAGCAAAATACCGCAAACATTCGAGACCTTCAAAAAATTGAAAAAAAAAACAAGTCACTGTCTATATAAAGACGGACGTTGATCTTTTTCTATATTCAAACAACAAATTACGATAATATTAAAATGAGCGAATCAAAATCAGCATCCTCATCTAGTTTTCGTCAACAACGACAACGAATCACTCGAAATTATCTTCTCGTTTGGGTAGATACCAGCATCGACGAAGAAAACAAAGATTGTCAAGACACATTGGTTCAGCTGAAGAACGTGGACAACGACATCATCCTATGTACTAAATCGGATGAGTGTATCCAACTAATCAACGAGGCGGGAAATCAACGAGTCTTTGCCATAATATCAGTCTCCTTAGGTCAACAACTCGTTCCTCAAATTCATGATATGCCACAGTTAGATGCAATTTACATCTTCGCTGACAACAGATCGAGATATCAAGAATGGACACAAAACTGGACAAAAATTAAAGGCGTTCATACAGATATCAAAGACATCTGTGAAGCATTGCAATCGGCAGTTAAGCAATGCGACCAGGACTCAATTGCCATAAGTTTTCACTCGGTAGATGAAATGGCTTCACTTGAGAATTTAAATCAGCTTGAACCAACATTTATGTATACCCAGATATTCAAGGAAATTCTCTTTGATATGAAACATGATGAACAGGCCATCAAACAGTTTATTGCTTATTGTCGAAATAATAACAGACTATCGCCAAACAATATTAACAACTTGTCATCAATTAATATTGATCGTTTTGAGAGAGAATATCATGCTCAATCAGCTATTTGGTGGTATACTTTCCCAACTAATATCTACTCTATGCTCAACTGTGCTCTTCGAACATTGGACGCCAATACAATTATTACTATGGGTTTTTTTATGTCTCACCTGCATCAACAAATTCAGCAGCTGCACGAACAACAGGCCAATAGTTATGAAGGAAAACCTTTTTTAGTTTACCGAGGACAAGGTCTTATGAAATCAGACTTAGAAAAACTTCAGAAAACAATAGGTGGACTTATCTCATTCAACAATTTCTTGTCTACCAGTATAGATAAAGAAATGTCCCTCGGTTTTGCTCAAAGTGCTTCTGAAAATGAAGACATGGTACGCATTTTCTTTATAATGTCCATTGATCCTTGTATTAAATCAACTCCATTTGCCTCAATCAAAGAGGAGAGTTATTTTAAGGAAGCAGAAATTCTTTTTTCAATGCACACCGTCTTTCGAGTAGGTACAATTGAACGAATGGACAATGAGACTGAACTTTATCAAGTTAACTTACAACTCACATCGGATGATGACCAACAACTACGAGTACTTACTGATTGGATACGAAAAGAAGCAGGTGGTGGTAATGGATGGGAAAGATTGGGTGACTTATTGCTTACAATTGATCAATTTGATAAAGCTGAAGAACTTTATAACATATTACTCGAGCAGACATCTAATGAGTATAACAAAGGGCTTTATTATAATCAGTTAGGATTGGCAAAAGATGCGCAGGGTGATTATAAAAAAGCTATTTGGTATTACGAGCAAGCACTTGAAATCTATCAAAAAGCTCTCCCTTCAAATCATCGTCATTTGGCTACTTTATTCAACAACATCGGTAGGGTGTATTACCAGATGGGAGAGTATTCGAAACCACTTTCATTTTACGAACAAGCACTTGAAATCCAACAAAAAACTTTGCCTTCAAATCATCCTTCATTGGCTATTTCATACAACAACATCGGTAGTGTGTATCGCAAAATGGGAGAGTACTCGAAAGTATTTTCATCTTACGAAAAAGCACTTGAAATTCATCAAAACATTCTTCCTTCAAATCATCCTGATTTGGCTACTTCCTACAGCAAACTCGCGTTAGTCTACAGACACGTGGGAGAGTACTCAAAAGCACTTTCATCTCTCGAAAAAGACCTTGAAATTTGTCAAAAAAGTCTTCCTCCAAATCATCCTGATTTTGCTCATTCATACAACAATATCGGACGGGTGTATGAGAGCATGGGAGAGTACTCGAAAGCACTTTTTTACTACGAAAAAGCACTTGAAATCGATCAAGAAACTCTTCCTTCAAATCATCCTGATTTGGCTACTTCATACGGCAATATGGGTAGTGTGTATGACAGTATGGGAGAGTACTCGAAAGCACTTTTATACTACGAAAAAGACCTTGAAATTTGTCAAAAAACTCTTTCTTCAAATCATCCTGATTTGGCTACTTCATACAACAATATAGGTTCAGTGTATGACCACATGGGAGAGTACTCAAAAGCACTTTCATTTTACGAGCAAGCACTTGAAATTGATCAGAAAACTCTTCCTTCAAATCATGCTAATTTGGCTACTTCATACAACAATATCGGTAACGTATATGACAAAATAGGAGAGTGCTCGAAAGCACTTTCATATCATGAAAAAGCATTTGCAATTCGACAAAAAACTCATCTTTCAACTCATTCGCATTTGGCTACTTTATACTGCTGCATGGGAAGTGTGTATCGCAAGATGGGAGAGTACTCGAAAGCATCTCATTTTACGAGCAGGCACTTGAAATTGACCAAGAAACTCTTCCGTCAGATCATTCTGATTTGGCTATTTCATACAACATCATCGGCTGGGTTTATAGAAATATGAAAGACTATTCGAAAGCACTTTCATATTATGAACGTGCTCTGAACATACTAATACGTGCATTACCAACTCATCCTCATACAAAAAGTGTGAAAAAGAACATTGAAATTGTAAAAGAGGAAATGAAAAAGATGATTTAAATAAATAGAAAAGCATTTTGTTCATTTATTTTTTAATTAATTCTAGTTTGTAGTGACTCGCGCCCGTGTGGACAGAAGAACATTGTAAACAGTATAAACGTAATTGACAAAGCCGACTGATAAGGTAATACACATACATACGTATGTGTAAAAATGATCTTTTGAGACATATTTACATTTCCAATTTTTTAGGAGAAAGTTCCCGGTAATAAAAGAAGAATAACTTTTATGGAATTGAAGTGTAATAGTGCTGAATGAGGTCTTGTATGTTGAAGAAAGAGTGAGAAAGCTGCGATACACATATAAATATGACGTCAACGCATGTTCTAATTGATTCAATCAATTAGAATGCATTGTTAATTAGAAATAAATGAAAATAATAATTACTTATTCGTGATGGATTGATCAATTTAGACATAGTTCAGGATATGATGTATTATAATTTATTCTATAATGTAGAAAAGTCAACTATAATCCTGTGATCTCGGATTCAGACTAGGAGAGAAATTGTTTGATGAGATGTCTTACAGTAATATCTCATTTTTCAATCACCATACGTAACTGTTTGATAGGGAACAGTGTAAGATATCGAAATAGATCGGCTTAGTTTAACGTATGCGGAAAAGCAACTGACCTTTACGACAAAGCAACTTCCAAGATATTTATATTTGATGGAAATGATTGAGTGTTATTCTCTACTTCTATATTCCAAGATCGAATAAGAACAATAGTCAAGAGTCATTTATGAGAGCAAACGGAGAGATACGGCTATACGGTAACGAACAATTTAATAAATAACATTTCAGTTTTATCTATTTTGCATTAATGTGCTTTCTTTCAAGTTGCCATCGTAGATCTTGAAGGTTACTAAGTATTTTTATTTATTTTATTTCATTTATAGAAGGTCATCTAAGTCGATTGAATTAATAAATAGTATGCATTTTTATTTTCTTATAATTCATTTAATTGATAAACAGTTGCAATATTTTGTTTTGAAAAGTAAATGCACTGATAGGGAGCGAAGTGATAGACAACAACAAACAACATTAATCGTGTTTATACTATATCAACTAGAGATAAATTCAATTAGTATAGCGATATAAGTAGATACTTGTCATATCAAGATAAGATTAGTCTTACTAACGAGATAAGTCTTGTTCTAGATGATCGAAATTAATTCAAAATACTAAACTTAGCTCTTTAAATCACAACTATGGGAGTGAGTATTGAATTAACTGACTGAATTTTGATTTCAATGATTATTCAGATTTTGATAAAGTTTATACAATTAGTAGAGTTCATCGAGTTCACTATTATCTTTTATGACTCGAATGATTAAAATAAACTCATCCAATACATTATTTCAACTTTTATTTGATTTAACATAAAATAATGAAATTCAAAAGTAATTACTACTATATTTATTGTAATTAACAAACTTTATGTTCTGTCTCTCACAATAGAATTAAGAGTGATCATAGTTATTTGTATTTTATATATTTTTAAATAATCAATGTCCATCATAAGAAATGATGATGTTATAATGAAAGTAGTTTTATTGCATTTTTACATATAGAATCACATGTATATTTTTTGTTAGAAGACAACTAAATTACATCCTAAAAAAGTGAATATGACGAAGTGTCTTCTCATTATTGATTATTTACAAAAATCTAATCATGACTTCATAGTTAATACCTTCAAACTATTTCATATAGATAATATCTTGAGGGTATGCGTGTGGATGTTGCTTTCTTCTTTACCCACACCCAAATACACACTCACCCGACTCTTATCATGACAAATAGACGGAAGGAGTCTAAGACTTACATGCTTATCATTTGGTGCGAATATAATAGTATAAATCAATTAATGAAAATTTATTTTATTTTATGCAAACAAAAAATGGCAATTAATTAAATTCAAGTCTTTTATCTTGTTGTTTCAAACGAGTTTTCACACCGGCGGAGAGGTTATTATTATTGTAGAGATATAATTGCTGCAGTGTCTATAAAAATAAACAGAAATGAATACCATAAAGAGTATGTAGAAAAATAATAAATTTCACATTATTCTGTTTTAATTCTTCCGTGAGGTGCTGTACTCCGTTGTCTCTAGTTTGGTTGTTTTAAAGGTTTAGGATAGTTAGTGTCTGAGTGTAAAAGTGACTATCAATATGAGAGTACTAATTGATTAAAATCATAGCATCGTTCTCTTTAACTGGTTTGGTCTATGCTCGGATGACGGGAAGCGTGGAATATTCGAGTTTCACGGAACACAAAATAACTCAATAAAAGTTTCATAGAAAAGTAATCTGATTTGTCTAACTCTAAAAATGATGAACAGCATTTAGCTAAAGCATTGTTCTTGATATATTTAATGAAATTCATCATATAGGATACTAATTGTAGAAATATCTCGACAACACATTTTTATACAGAAACGACTGAAATATTTTTCAAAATTTCGAAAAATCCGGTTGGTTATTTATTAAATGTTTATCCAGTCATTTTGAGTACCATGCAACTCGAAAGTTACACGTCTCTTTATTCGTACCGTAGATAAACTGATCATACAACTGAATAGTTGATTGAAAGATAAACAGAAGAAAAAAGAAGACAACAAAAACTCAAGCGACAGCAACAAAATAATATTTTTCGAGGAGGAATCTAGGAAGCCGATTTTTATGGAAAAGAACAGAATATCAAGCATTGTTAGATAAAGATGTATACTTCGAAATACATATAAGATCCTTATTTAGGCCATGCTTTGTTTTTATTCATGTCTTATCAAATGAAACTGAAAGAATACACAGACTCACACCTTCAAAAGAAATTTCGACAGAAAAAATCTACAAAAATTATCGCTTTTTAACTTTAAATGATAGATTTTAGTTTTTTGATTTTAAGTTGAAATTGATATTAGTATAAACCTTCTGTGGTTTAAGACTAACTAACACAGTGCTTTTAAAACCTTAAATTACTGCGATATATGTATTAAGTTGCTGCTGTTTTATAGGAATCTACGATTTAGACATATCAAGTTTGTCAAAAGATTATCATAGAATCTTATTGAAAATGTGGAATACGATTCGAAGACATTTTCAATCGAACTTGAAAATGGTTTATCACGAACTCTAAATCTGCTTGAGATTTCATTTACTTGTTTCGTATATAGCTATTTTATAAAGTCAACTTTTGAGATGCGACTTGTGTCAAAATAACCGGCATTATCTATACTATATCCATGGAAGATTTCACACCTAAATGTTGAGTTATTGTGAATTTATAGATGTAATAATAAATAGTTATCAATTCCAGTTGAGGGATTTTTATTGAATGATATTGGGAATTAGATTATTTTTTTCCGAAAGAATCTCGGAAAGGATTCAATCTGAGTTAATGAAAAGAGAACACGGACTACATTTTAATAGCAAAAACTTCTAAAATCAAAATGTCTATTAAAAATATAGCTTGACTTCTCCCTTTTCTATAAATACGCATTCAATCCTTTTCGAATATTTATGGAAAAAAATAATTTAATTTAAAACATTGTTCAACAGAAATTAACAACCGTTAATTGTTATGTCTACAGTTTTGCTATAACTGAATATTTAGAGATGAAGTCTTCTATGAATATAGTATAGATGATGCCTGATATTTTGACACAAGTTGTATCTCAAAAGTTAACTTTATAAGATAGTTATATACGAAATAAATCGTACGAAAGATATTATTCAGTTGGTGCATAAATGGTTCAATCAAATTTCATTTTATTTTATCAAAACAAATAAATACAATCAAAAATAACTAAATTTAATTCGACTGTCTTGTCTTTTCAATTGAGTTTGCACATTATCAGTGACTTTATTATTCATTAGATTTAAAGACTGTAGCGTCTAAAAAAGAAAAAAAGAGAATCATGAGAAATAAATCTGTTGATTTCTAACACATTTCACTTTGTTATTTTCAATGCCTGTGGGAAGTGTTGCGCCCCGCAGTCTCTAATTCGATTGTTTTAAAGATACAGCTAAGTACCCAACTGAGTGGGGAAATGGCGACGAATATGAACCCGTCAATTGATTAAAGCTATCTTAGACTTTTTCTCATCTGATTTTACCTAGAATCTGATGAGACGGGGTATGCAATTTTCGAGTTTCATGGAACTGAAAATGCTTATAAAGATAAGCACTTCATAAAAAATCAAGTTGATTTTTCAAAATTTAGCGACATGTGTACCGGATTCCGCTAAAAGCAGAGCTATCATCAATATTAACTTCGCTGTATCATGAATAGTGCTGGCCTACAAAGATCTCGAGAACGCTGCGATAACCAAACACGGTTCAAAAATTTTTAAAGTCAAAAAAATCAGATTGATTTTCTACGACTTGTCTATTCAATCATTTTTTGTTTTAAAAATCTTGAAAATTGTACACTTTACTCCATCAGAATACAGATGAATTAATCGTAACATGGAACAGTAGACCAGAAAACAAAAAGGAGAAAACAGGTAACAACAGCAAATGCTTAGCTGGCAATAGCTAAGTAAGACTTTTGCAGATCATATCTTATCCTTGCATTTCTCAAATAACATCTCTTTGATTATATACAGGAACTGTTTCGCTTAAATAAAGGAAATATATTCGCGCTTTATCTTTTACAGATGTTTACTTTAATCTCAGCATTAAAATGAAAGTACTCTTAAATATGAGCTAATGTTGGTAAGGATAGGCGCTGTCGATATTTACATCACTGAAGCGGAGTGACAATGCTTTAGCGTGATTTTTCGATGAGTCACATAGGAAGCCAGTTCTCATGAAAAACGATAGACTGTCAAAGCTTATTGGATAAAAACGAATATTGC